CTTGGCCTGAAAGATACCTGACAAGCTCCACTCCTTAGCCCTTGTAAATGGCTTGCTTTACCTCCTGACCCCAGGTAACCATCTAGAAATGCTGTCAGCATGGTGATTATATCCTTCAATCTCTGTCTACTCCCACCAACATGCCCCTTCTCATCTCTGATTTTATTGAACATTTCCTATGAGATTCTGCCAAAGACCTGCTCATTTTAGTTACTTTGATTTTCTTTTAAGAAAAACAAAATTTATGGAAATCAAACTGGTTTTGACACAGGAGCCATAACAAAAATTTCCATTCCTAAGTGAACATAAATCATTGGTTCTGACACACTGCCTTTGACTTGAACTATAGCAGCTGTAATTTGGAGGCATACAGGTGTCAGCTCTCAAGTGCAAGTCTGCAATTCTTACCTGGGTTAGGAGATACCCAGAATCAGACCTACAGTGCTGAAACAGGGACCTTTGGAAATTCCTTTTGGAAATTTTCATTGCTCCTGAGCTTACTCAATAGCATTTGATTGGGGTTTTCCTTTGGCCTAGGTATTCTAAAACTAAGAGGATCAGTTTGAGATTTTCAGTTAACCCATAATCCTTGCCATGGGGCATCAAAATGGCAACATGTAGACCAAAACTGCACAGGAGGGCTTCCTTTGTTCTGTAGCTAAAGGAGTGCCTGGTAGTAACTCTTCAAAAGACAATCCTGATCCACGGTGCTGCTTGCTGCTCAAGGGGCACAAGCCTGCCACTGCCATCTGCACTATGAAATTCCCTGGACTGGCCTGAGGGCAGAGAAGGTCCCTTTTAAGCAGAAACTTTTTTTTTTTCACTGCTGGGGACCGAACTCAGGGCCTTGCACTTGCAGGCAAGCGCTCTTCCACTGAGCTACATCCCCAGCCCCTTAACAGAAACATTTCTAAAGCTTTCCTCTTCCTCTCTTGTTTTCATCTTCCCACTGCCACATCATCTCTAATCCCTAGATAACTGAGATAGCATCCAAGCTGAGGAACCTTGCTACTATTATTAGTGGTCAAGCAGCTTTGGCAGGTTTGAAAATACACCAAAAAGTCATTTTCCAGAGAGTAGTAACTTCACATGCCTGTTTTCCTCCAAACCAATCTGACTTTTCAGAGACACAAATAGTAATCTTATTGAAGAACAAGGCCTCATGTTAGAGGAGGCTTCTATTTGCTGAACTGTATTAAACAAACATCAATGAGAGCCTGCCATGATAGGGCCATGTGATTGCTAAATGCTAAAGTTTGTGTGATGGTAGAAAGTTCTGACCTATAAAATGGATGAGATACTTGTTAAGACTTTTGTGAGTGCTAGTTACCCAACTAGGACCTATAAATGCATTCATACATTGAACCCTCAAAATATTGTTGTCATGAAATAGTGAGAAGACCCATTTAGAGGCTTGATTCTTCACGTAGTGCTACTGGGAGACAGTAAAACCTTTAAGATGTAGGGCCTACTGGAAGGAAGTTAGGTCATTGAGGATGTGCCTTCAAGGGGATACAGGGGTTAGGCCCCTTCCTGTCACTTCATTTCTGGGCCACCATGAGGTTATCAGCTTCCTCTGCTACATGCTCCCACTATGATGTTTTGCCACAGGCCCAAAGGCAATGGAGTCAAGCAGCCATAGACTGAAATCTCTGAATACATGTGCCAAAATCAACCTTTCATCCCTTTTAATTGATACCTCAGTATTTTGTCACCATAATGGAAAGCTGACTCACACAGATAGATGGAGCTAGTTTTACAGCTGAAGAGACAACAGCCTAGAAAGAACTGACTTGCCTAAGGTTACAAAGATCCTGTAAACTAATTTACTTCTACATTCATGTATCATGCAAAAAAACTTATGGAGCTTTTATTGTGTGCCAGGCACTTGAAACATGAGGACTGGAAGGTAAAATAGCTGTGGCCCTGCCCTCACAGAGCTTGTTATCTAGATACACAGACAAGAAAATAGGTAAGTTTTCTAAGTGCTTTGATAGGCAGAAAGGTACACAGGAGAGGTAGGAAGAACAGGAAGAGGAGAGGGGGAGACAAAATGGTGACCAAGCCTAATCCCATATTCTTTCAGTGCAGAGAAAGAGAGACTAGGACAGAGGGAGAACTCTACTCTTCATTGTGGTCCACCCTGTATGTACCCCCTGGTGTCTGCATCCTCTCCTCTCCTGTCTCCAGGAGGCAAAACAGAGAGTGAGGTTCGTGGAAGACACAGAGGTTAATCTCACACCTTGATATAAGACATCCAGCAAATGTGTGGCAAATATAGTTGGTTAGCTTATCTCAGGGAAAAGTGTCCTCCTGCCTCCCCAACCTGCTTTCTAGCATGAATCCAGGTTTCTAGAGCCGTCACCATCTGCTCCATGTGCCAAATTAGAAATGTCAGGTTTATCCTCAACTCTTTCCTCTCATTCCCTCCCCACACCCACATCACTGGTATAGATTTAGCTTCCAGAATCCGTGGTTCTCATTGCCACTGTGTCTCTGCCAGAGGTTGGACCTTTACATCATCATCGGACAGCTACAGCTGAGTGCTAGGTGAACTTCCCACACAACATCACCCTCCACAATCCTAGCTCCATACTGCCACCAGCACCATCTTCCTAGAAAGAAAATTAGGACACACCATTTTCTGGCTCAAATATCACCAATACTTTCCATTACAGAGAGAATAAAATCCAACTTTCTTGGCATGGTGTATCAGGTTCTTCACAGTCTGCCTCGTCTTGTGTCCACATCATTTACCACACAAACTCTCACTAGAACCTACATGTACCTCTCTGCCCTTGTTCTCTCTTCTCCTTCTGAGTCTGGGGTGAGACCGAGCCATGCCTCTAAACCAAGAAAACTCCTACTCATCCTATAAGAGCCAGCTCAAATATTACCTGTTCTATAAACATACTCCTTTATTTCTCCAGAAGGTTCAAATCATGCTCTCCTCTGAACTTACACCTTTGTGAGCCCTTCAGCCCTGCATTTATTTTAGTTCTTGTCATAATACATGCAGACCATCCATCTACCCATGTCCTCTGTCTAAACTCTAAATCCTTAAATATTCAGGCATAGAGTCTGCTACATACTTAAGTGCTCAATGACTATTGTGTTACAGGATATCCTATTGGTCCTTTTGTCTGTGTACACTGCCAGAGGCAACAGGAAGCAGAGACACCTAGTAGAGGGGATCCTGGGGCTCCCACCTTTATCCTGGGTCATAATTGTCCAACTTCAAAATAAATTCTGTAACACCCATACTTGCCAAGCTTATCACCCTATCAAAGGGTGTTTGATGTTGTCAGTTCAAGTGATAAAAAAAACAGTACTCAAGGAAGAAGGAACCCCTGCAGCACCATTTGAGCAGTACCAAGCAATACGGAAGAGAACCAAGTAACGTAATGATGTCACTCACCCACAGCAACTTCTGGCCAGCACTGGATGTTGCTCTGAAGAACGTTTTCATGGCACAGAATGTTGAGGTACAAGATCATAGCCTGATGTTAGGTTGTCTTGGAGACCAGCAAAACCACAGCTCCCACTATAACACAGAAAATCTTTCTTTTTAAATTTTAAACAATAGCTACACCTGAGACTGTACACTGAGATCAGTGAGAAAATGAAGTGAGGTAAAAGGAACTCTTTGACCCAGATCTAGATTGTTCTACTTATGGCAATGATGAGCACATGTCTAAATTTCTTGACTTCTCTAATGGACTAGAAAAAAATAAATAGATCAGACAGCCAGGTAAGGTGCTGCACACCTATAGCCCCAGCTGCTAAGTAGGAGGCAAAGACAAAAGGATAGCTTGAGCCCAGGAGTTTGAGAACAGCCTTGGCAACATAATGGCAACATAAGACGTCATCTCAAGAAGGAGAAAAAAAAATCAGGGGATTAAGAAGAAATTTTTAGAAATTCAAATTAGAACTGGTAAAGGATGAAATTCCATCTGCAATCAGCTAGAGCCTTAGAAAGATCTGTTCTGCTTAGGTCCATTGGACATAATGCAATGCAGTGCTCATAAAGCAGATCCAAAGTTCCTTGCTCAATTCTATAAATCCATATAAAATGGGCTTTCTAGGGTTGGCCACACCTTCAACATTTTTAATGGGATTGTTAATAATATGTACAATTTTATGCTTTTATGTATCCACTTGAAAATTAAAATATTTTTTAAAATGAGATTTTTATATGCCCCATTAGATAACTATGCCTAATTAGATAACTCAACTTCAAACAGTTCAATTTTCATCATAAGGAGAGTAATTTCCCAATTTCCATTTAATCAGAACAGGTGTTATTATGTTCATAATTCCTCAGCTATTGAGACTTTTACATCTGGATGCCAGAGCTAATCGGAAGGCATTTCCTCTTTTCTATCTGTCCTCACTATCTGAAGCAGGTGAAAGCTTCTAAGCAGATTTGGTAAGTCATTAGTTTTTGGCATCTTCTACATCTTGGCTAATATGATTCATTCTTTCTTTGAGCACAACTAGCTGTGAAAACAGATCTTAGATAATCCCCCAAAGGATTACTGAAGGTCCGAAATGCAGGTGATTATTGAGTTGCCTTTGATACAGACATACAGACATCCTGCTTGGCCTGCAAGCCTTTTGAACTAACTTTGATATGCGATAATTAAGAGGGATTCCACCCTGGAGGAGAAGCTGCTGTGGCCCTGCCTCTTGTCTCCTTCTACTGAGTCCTTGTTTTGAACTATTGATCAAAGATTTGAAGGGATTTGTTGAAGCCTGTGTGAGGTAAAGAGGAAGGAAACAAGGGGGAAGGGAGAAGAGAGACAGGAGGGGTATATCTGTCTATAAATAGTTTCAGAAGGAACCTGCTGGTCAGACCTGCTCATCTTCTCTCAGAAAAAGCGGTTGCAGACAACTTGCTCAGTTCTAGATTGGGAAAGCTGTGCTGTAGGTTGGGAGCAGCTCAGTTTGGGGGACCCATAGACTGCTGGGAACCTGAAGTAGTCCTGGGTAACTGAAGGATGGTGCTGGTGGCTTTGTTGGGGCTCAGCTGGTTCTGCTTGCCCTTGGGAGCTCTTGTTCTGGACTTCAATAACATCAAGAGCCCTGCAGACATGCAAGGAGCTTGGAAGGTAAGTCCAGTCAGGGCCAGTGGATGCTGTGGCTTGTGGGGGTAGGGGCTGACTGATAACCACAGGATGGGTGCTATATGCAGATTTAAAGCATGAAAATAATTAATTATGAAATAGCCTATCTGGAATTCAGCTGAATTGATTTAAGAATAGAGAAGGCATCTAGGTAGAATCCATTCACCACAGTATTAACATACTAAAACAGCAGGTCAATCAGCTCTAAATGTGCCTACAAATCAGGGAGTAAACATGTAGAAAATGCTACCATATGCGAGGCCTTTTATACATGACATCTCACTTAATCTCCCTCATAACTTGAGATAGCTATCACACTTTTTAATTATAGATGAAGAAAAGGACAAGACTCAGATGTCAAGGAATTTAAAACAAAGCCACACAGCCAGTAAACACAGGAGTTAGAAGTTAAAACATAAGAGTGAGTGACATGTTGCATTGTTACTGTCACCAACTCATCACAGAATTGTTTTAGGGGTTGATATGAATATTTATAACATTTCTATTATACCTCTTACACATTATACACCTCAAAAGGCAGGTCACCAGGGGAAGGGTCATGGAGGCAATGGGTAACATAATTGATGTGGTTCACCAGAGTAAAACTCAAATGGGAATGCCACAAATGCCACTGATAAACTATAGTACAACTTTTAGAGAAATACCTGTATCTATAGACATAAATATTCTGGAGATACACATTGAAAATCTCAGTCATCTGTAAGTCATACACAGGAAAACATTTTCTTCTATTTTCACATAAAGCATGGAAAAGAAAATTCTGAGTTTTAAAAGTAAGACAGGGCTGGCAATGTGGCTCAGTGGTAAAGTGCTTGCCTAGCATCCACTCACAGTACTGCAAAAAATAAGTAAAGACAGTTCTTCAAACACAACCTCTGCAGAGCTAAGCTCTCTTCACAAGTGATTTGATCTCCCCTTTGTGGGCAGAAATCAACTACACTGAAGTATTAAGATGCTGCTTGAGGTTTGTCACAATGTTCAAAATGCCACTATGACTTGGCTGCTCCATCTGAGCCTTGAATAAAGTCATCTTACACCTTGTTGGATCCCCTTGCCTTGTGACAAGTTTCCCTTCACAGGGCTCACAGTGCATGTCAGACAAGGACTGCAGTGCCAGAAAATTCTGCCTCATGCCCCGTGATGAGAAGCCACTCTGTGCCACATGCCGGGGGGTGCGGAGAAGGTGCCAGCGAAGCGCCATGTGCTGCCCAGGGACACTCTGTGTGAATGGTGAGCAGTCACAAGCCAGCAGGAGAGTTGCTGGAGCACTCCAGCAACAGATGTCAACTACAGGCAGCATCCCATCTCCTAGATTAGGTGTCCTAAGACAGGCCCTTCTCTGGGGATCTCCTGGAGTCAGTTTTAAGTATATTTATGCATCTGCCTTTTCTTGGTAAAACAAAATAATTTACTACCTGGCAACAAATCTTGCCAGTGACTTGGAGATATGATTTTAAAGAAAAGATACAAGTTGGAATGGTTCAAGTCCTTCTGTTTTCACTTGGATTCTATTAATTACTTTATTACCCTCTTTGCCATATGTGAGCATGTAAATATTTAGTGCATTTCCAAAAATTCTAGAAAGTTATATATAAACAGAAGGCAGAGATGCCACCAAACTGTTTAACAGTACGATAACTAGCATGTCTGTGGTTCCACTCCTTGAAGTTAGTAACCCAATTATACCTCGTTGTCCCTCAGATGTATGTACTTTGATAGAAGATGTAACCTCAATATTGGAAAGAAAGACTGATGACCAAGATGGCACAAAACAAACAACTGAGCATCCAATTGAAGAAAACAAACACAAGAAGAAGCCAAATATTAAGAATTCACACGGCAGTAAGGGTAAGAGCAGCATTCTGAGCACATTTTATTTAAGAAAAGCATTTTCCCCCTCCCAGTCTCATATAGATAGGCTGTACCTGGTTTCCCCACCCAGAACACAGGTTGTTCTATTTGTAATTCCTTGTAAGAAGCTGCAGATCATGCAGGGGTAGCATCAGGCAGTCAGCAGCCACAAGGACAGGGGAAGAACCATGTAAGAATGACCAGTTAGCAAGAAATCCTTTCCTTGCCAAGGTCAATTTTACACACATACACCTTTCTACAGTCTACACTGTAATTTAACAAGTATCAGTTTTCCCTTCTAGATCCCCACAATACAACAAAGATAGGAGTAGACGCATTAACTTTTTTTTTTTTTTAAATTGTAGTCTCAAATTCCAATCTTTTTTTTTTTTTTCTGGGACTAGTATTTGAACTCAGGCCTTTGCACTTGCAAGGCAGGTGCTCTACTGCTCAAGTCACACCTTTAGCCCTTTTTGCTCTGGTTATTCCTGAGATCGGGTCTTGTTTTTTGCCTGGGCTGGCCTGAACCCTGATCCTATTTATGCTTCCCACAGTAGCTGAGATGACAGGTACACTACCATGCCTAGCTTTTTTTGTTGAGACAGAGTTTTGCAAACTTAACTCTGGGCTGTCCTGGATCCATGATCCTCCCCATCTAAGCCTCTCATGTAGCTGGGATGGCAGGCATGTATACCATGCTCAGCTTTTGATTGGGTTGGGATCAATCTCTTGAACTTTTTGCCCAGGCTGGCTTCAAACTGCAGGCTTCACAATCTCCACCTCCTGAGTAGCTAGAATTTCAGGTATGAACCCCTGACACCCAGCTTCAAATTTCAATCTTTCATATAACATAGCCAGAATGTTTGCAAGTGAACTGGCCATTCCTGTTTGTGTCTTCAGGTTAACTAGCCCATTTCTAAGTAATGGTCTCTCATGTCAATATAATTTCCATTTAATAAAACTTTGCTGAGTGATACTTACTTCATTTCTCAAGACTGGAAATCCCATCTTTCCTTGATGAATGTTTTGACTTTATAAGATGAACAATATAACCTGTTAGGTGGGACTGGAATTTCCAGCTTTCAGAGCTCTTACACTAAAAGCAACTCTATAGGTCCTGCTGGCTGTTTGTTTCCACTTGTGGCCTTCAGTCCTCAAGCCCTAGTCTCAACCCCCAACATGCAATGTTCCCCATTTACCACAAAAGCTTCTATCAATCTTGTTACAGGACAAGAGGGAGAAAGCTGTCTTAGAACTTTTGACTGTGGCCCTGGACTTTGCTGTGCTCGTCATTTTTGGACAAAAATTTGTAAACCAGTCCTGTTAGAGGGGCAAGTCTGCTCTAGGAGAGCACATAAAGATACTGCACAAGCTCCAGAAATCTTCCAGCGCTGTGACTGTGGTCCTGGACTATTATGTCGAAGTCAAGTGACTGGCAATCGACAGCATGCAAGGTTAAGAGTATGCCAAAAAATATGAAAACCTGTAAACATTTCCGCATAATAATCCTTATTGTATTCAAGCAAAATCTCAGACACTAATTTTAAAGTACTCCATACTTTTTTATGGTTTGGTTTTTTTCTGAGACAGGGTCTCACTTGTGTAGCCCAGGCTGGCCTGGAACTTTAGATCCTCTTCCCTCAGCTTCCAAATGCTGGGACAACAGATGTGTACCACCACACCCGGCATGTAAATAAATATCTGTTAAAACTAAATCCTGTAGCAACACAAAAAGACTGGAATTAGAGAACTATGAGATGCTGCTGCATTGTGATGAATAAAAACTAGCTTTTGATTTTTGTCTATTGCTCCAGAAAACAGATGTGATTCTGTAACAAAAATTTCAATTTAGTGACTCAATTAATTTGAATAAATCTTTTCTAAAACTTGAAATTGTATTTAGTTAAAGTGTACAGTGTAATGTTTTCATGAGGTAAAGTGGTTACCAGTCAAACTAATCAATATATCTATCCTCATAAATCTTCAGGTAATTTCTGGCAAAGAGCTGATAACTGACTTGTGGGACAGGGAAAAGAGAGGGTACCTGAAGTTAAAAGTGAACTCAGGTTAAATACCTGCCCAGGGAAAAAGTTAGCAAGATCCCATCTCAACCAACAAGCTGGGTACAGTGGCATTCACCTGTGATCCCAGCTACACGGGAGCTACAGGGAGGAGGACTGTGGAGCAAGACCCTATACAAAAAATAACTAAAGCAAAAAAGAGCTGGAGGTGTGGCTAAGTGGTAGAGCACCAGCCTAGCAAGTGCAAAGTCCTGAGTTCAAACCCCAGCACCTTCCCCCACACACACAGAAAAATGAACTAATATCTTACCAGGGAAAAGTGCCACAGTAAACACATCATTTTCCCTAAGAATTCTATTGTTTGCACATTTTCATTCATTTTTGGGAAAGGAACTCACATTTTACTACAAAATAATTTGGTTACTAAAGAAATAAGATTCAAAGCTAATAACATTTTATGTTTGGATAGTCCTTTGCAAGTCAGAGCATTTTCACATATTTTGTTTTTAGTAACTTTACTTATCATTTGATAACATTTTACATTTTAATATTTATGTAATTTTTGTATTTGAAAGCTAAGACTTTCAAGGAAATGTTTGTACTTACACATTTTGACCATTGGGTAAAAGTTACCTCACAGGAAAATTGAAGAATTAAATTTGTTTGAAGTTTAAGAAGCCATACTCTGTACATCAGAAGTGGGTTTGCTTAGGGAAGCTCTTTCTAATGGGTTCAAGCAACTGCTACAGATTTCACTTAAAAGATAAGCCATACAAATGTTCTTAAGTTATAAATATATTACAAAAATATAGAATTAGTAAGGTCCCTAGTTTCTAAAGAATATTGATCCTCTTCCAGAGGTGAGTCTCTGGGAGTACCTTAGCCAACAAATTTGTAAATAGTAAACAGGAGGAAAAGTAGTGGAGTAATGTAGTTTATAACATAGTGCAGAAAATAAGAAAATAAAAATTCCTACTAAAGATTTGCTATTATCTCATCTATCATAGTAAGCTATAATCATGAACATAAAATGAAATTTAAAGTAAGCACATTTGCTAAGAAAATGAGAACATAACCCAATAATAGTGCAAGAGGTTTTATTGACTCTAGTGCAAGCTACGCATGGAGAAGAAGCAATCATTTAAAAACACCAAAGACATTTTAACAGCAAAGATTAAGAAATAAATTAAGACTCCTACTGGGCTGTGCCTGGAAGGAAGAACAGGCTTCATTCACTTCGATCCTTGGGTTCTCGGTATTTCCATTGGATGTAGTCAAAGATATCTTTCTCACTGTCCACTGGCAGGGGTTCTCCAGCAACTCCTACAAGCAGAAAGAAAAAGAAAAAACTTATTTTAAGAACCATTTTTGTAATTTTGTTATAGAGGGTTCAGGATTGATTGCTGTGTGGACTTTCTTTCAGAAGAAAAAGAAAACGGTAATCTGGTTGTGGATATAGGTCAATGGTAGAACACTTACACGGCATGCACAAGGCCCTGGGTTCCATCCCCAGTACCATAAAAAAGGAAAGGGCAAAGGAAGGAAGAGAGGGAGGGAGGGAGGAAGGGTAGAAAGAGGAAACTAGTAACAAAGCCACTAAAACAAGATAATGAATGCCAAATGCCTCCATCCTCCCACAGGAGCTTGTGTTTTGTCACATATGTTACCAATGATCCCAACTATGGCCATGAAAGTCACCCTAATTCATGATTTTCCTTTCTGCTGGATCTCCAGTGTGGCTATCATGTATTATATAAAATATTCTACTTAGTTCATTTGCAACTCAAATGTTCTTAAGTCTAGCAGGACTGGCATTACTTGGAAGCTTACTAGAAATACGGAATCTTGAGCTAGGTGTGGTGGCACATACCTGTAATCCCAGCACTTAGGGAGACTGAGGCAGGAGGACAGCAATTTCCAGGTCAGCCTGGGCTACGTAGCAAATTCAAGGCCAGTCTAGGCTACACAGTGATACTGTCTCAAAAAAAAAGAAGAAAGAAAAAGAAAAAAAGAAATTATGAGCCCTACTCCAAGCCCACAGAATAAGAAATCACACTTAACGAGGACCCAAGTGACACACAGGCAAGCTGAAATATGAGACACATTGTGCTCATCTACCAAAAGCCCTATCCCATCCTTTCAGGACAAAATTTCATTCTCCTAAGGGAAAATAGTAAGCTACGTAGTATTCTACTGGCAAAAATCCATAAAGCAAAGATTAATCAATCCTATTCTTTAAACTTTACAGGACCAAAGTTACCCAATTTTTATGTTGTTTTGGTTTTTTGGTGCTTGGGATTGAACCTAGGGACTGGGCATGCTAAGTACATGATCTATACTGAGTCACACTCGAACCCCAGTTACCCAGTTGAGTGGCATTATAAGTAATGATACTTGAATTCTTCAGAAGTCTTGGAAATACATCAAAACAAACAAACCTTTAAGCCAGTAGACTTTTTAAATGAACATCATAGGTAAGAAGGACTGAACCATTCCAACAGAGCTAGAAATAACTCTTTCACTGATAGCCCTGAGTTGAGGCCTAGGAGTACCCTTAATTGCTTTAAGGACTAGCAATACAAAAAAACTACAAATAACTGTCATGGTCACTAGAAGCCTTTTTAGAGAAACTAAATTTTGAAAAAAACTGTCCAGATGACATGGATTATCCCTAAGGTAGTCACGAATACTCACCAGTAACTCCCAAGGGACGGATGGTGTATTCATTGATGGTGAAGCCCTTTTCTAGGGCATGAGCCCTCATATTCTTATTGAAAATGTCACTGCCGGTGAAGTACAGAACACCACAATAGTATTGGTCTTTGGGTATCAACCTAAAAAAAAAAATCATAGGTAATTTTTTTACCACACATTTTAAATTTAGAAAACTGGTTTTTTTTTTTTTCTTTTTTTCTTTTGGTAATACTGGAGTTTAAACTCAGAGCCTTGCACTTGCTAGTCAGGCACTCTACTACTTGAGTTACACCCCAGCCCTTTTTGTTTTATTTTTCATATAGGGTCTCATGTTTATGCCAGGCTGGCCTGGACCTCTATCCTCCTATTTATATTTCCTACCAAGCAGGGATGACAGGCATGAACCACCATACCCAGCTTTTTATTGGTTGATATTGGGTCTTGAGAACTGCCAAGGCTGGCCTGAAACCATGATCCTCCCAATTTCCACTTCCCAAATAGCTAGTGTTATAAGCATGAAGACTTCTAAAATGAGTAAGGAAAAAAATACCTAAAATAAGTCTATGTGGAATAATAAATACCCTAAAGAGAATACTAGCATTAGGTTAATCTCAAATCACCCAACCTGTACTTTGTTTAGGTTTCAGTAAGCTTTGCTCTACAAGGAGTGAGCAGAAAAAAAAGCCTCATCACTGGCCCTGAACAAAGTACTTTTGAGCTGCAGCAGCAATCATGGTGAGGTGCAAATCTAGAGAAAACAGACTCTGAACTTAAGTCATTATTCTTTAGATATTTTAGGCTAAACATTGTATTTGGCTGGAGGCATAGCTCAAGTGGTAAAGTGCCTGCCTAACAAGCACAAGGCCCTGAGTTATCACCAAAAGAAAGAAAAAAGTCAAATGATTTGGAGTGTTTTGGGTGCTGGGGATGTAGCTCAGTGGTAGAGCACTTCCTGGCATGCATTAGATCCTGGGTTTAATCCCCAATACTGTAATATTAAAAACTATAAAAAAGGGTTCTATACACATAATAAAAAAGGAGTTCTATATACTTATGTAAACTTTAAAACATACAGAAGAAGGGAAGAAACAGATTCAAAAATGAAAAGTTAATAGGTTAGCAACAATATTCAAGTAATACCTGATATCAATTCTTCTGTGTGGATATTCCTTTTCATCATTTTTACTGGGAAGCTGGCAAACACCCTAAAATGGATTATTGTAAAGAATGTTTAAAGATGTTTTTAAACTAGAAGCTTAATCAAATGTTAAAATTGTGATGCTATTTTTACTTCTAGTAGTGGCAGTTTTATAATTCTGAGTACTTTCAATTTAGTAGCTTTGCAAAGTCCTACATATCACTATCTTCTCATTATACTTTGAAATAGCTACAGAACTATATGAAATAGCAAACAAGGATTCCAGTTATAATAATTTGGCCTTTGTGTTGTTCTAAACAAGAAACTAATATAAAAGAAAGCATCAAACATGAAAGACAGATACAAAAACAAACAAGAAAAAGCAACATAGAAAAAAACAATGATCAAGGAAGAAAACAAAAAAACTACCAATAATATTTTCAGATACTAGAAGATATTTAATTCATTAAATAGGCACAGAATATTACAGAAAAAGAACACTTGGGAAAGATTTAAATAGAAAACATAAGTAGAGATATACCCAAAAGACTGTGACACAGGTTACTCCAGAGGCACCTGCACACCCATGTTTATTGCAGCACTATTCACAATAGCCAAGTTATGGAAACAGCCAAGATGTCCCACTACTGACGAATGGATCAAGAAAATGTGGTCCATAATAGGACTTATTGCTTATACTCTCTCTACCACAAAATTAGAAATAAGGGCAAAATAGTTTCTGCTGGGTATTGAGGGGGGGGAGAGGGAGGGGGCAGAGTGGGTAGTAAGGGAGGGGGTGGGGGCAGGAGGGAGAAATGAACCAAGCCTTGTATGCACATATGAATAATAAAAGAAAAATGAAAAAAAAAAAAAAAGAAGAAGAAGAATTAACCTAGAAGGTAACACACATGCACAGGAAATCAATGTGAGTCAACTCCCTGTATAGCCATCCTTATCTCAACTAGCAAAAACCCTTGTTCCTTCCTATTATTGCTTATACTCTCTCTTCAACAAAATTAGAGATAAGAGCAAAATAGTTTCTGCCGGGTATCGAGGGGTTGGGGGGGAGAGGGAGGAGATGGGGTGGGTGGTAAGAGAGGGGGTAGGAGCAGGGGGGAGAAGTGACCCAAGCATTGTATGCATATATGAATAATAAAAAAAAAATTAAAAAAAAAAAGAACCTAGAAGGTAACACACATGCACAGGAAATTAATGTGAGTCAACTCCCTGTATAGCTATCCTTATCTCAACTAGCAAAAACCCTTGTTCCTTTGTATTATTGCTTATACTCTCTCTTCAACAAAATTAGAGATAAGGGCAAAATAGTTTCTGCCAGTTACCGAAGGGGTGGAGGGAAGAGGGAGGGGACGGGGTGAGTGGTAAGGGAGGGGGTGGGAGCAGAGGGGAGAAATAACCCAAGCATTATTGTATGCACATATGAATAATAAATAAATAAAAAAGAAAACATAAGTAGAAGTCTGAAGAAATCTTCAGAAATTATATGAGACAGAAAAAGGGAGAGAGAAGAAAAATTAATACATAAAAGATAAGCAAATTAGAGGATCATTTTCTTTCTTCTTTACAGGTGAGTTTTCATTATGCTTGTAAAGTTTTCAAACAAAAATTATCAAAGTTGGTTTTGTCATCTTTTTCCTTTTCAGAAAAATAAGCAACATTTCTGGACTGGCAACAACCCAAACATATGTAAAAAGAGCTATAAATATCATCAAATTTCAAATTAGAAGTGTCTAATGCCACACTCTAAGAAAGCCTGCCACACAATTGACAGGCTTCTGATCCTAAATAGTAGTCAAGATTAATATGTCACTAAAAAACATGCTCAGCAAAATAGAAAAGTCTTGCAGGAAAGCAATGTAAGTTTTTTTTAGCTGTTCCTATGGCTGAAAGATTAGTGAAACAAGTTTTACTTCAAAATGTGAAACCTACTTTCTTAGGCACTATCAAATCCCAAGTCAAATGGAACCACCATGAGGTGGTTGTGGATGTGGAGATCAGATGCCACAAACAATGATCTTGCTGTCTGTCACATGGTAACAGGATTTCATCTAAGGCTTTGATCCCTTCCTCAAGGTTAATTTTATTTCCTGAACTTTTTCTGGAGTGCTAATGCTGGAGAAATTCTCTGTATTACTAAAATTCCTTATTAGATAGAGTAGATTAGTTTTATTTAGCATTTCAATTCAGTAGCTTCATGTTGAGTTTCTGAAATAAAGCCTTTCCTTTCCTCACAATAGTCAAAGCATTGTTCATTGTCCCTTAATTTCTAACCATAGATATTCCAAAGAAAAATCACCCAAGGCCAAAGGTGTGCCAATTCCAAAATTTGAATGGCATTCATATTATATGAAGCTAGAAGACAATTTAAATGCAGAAGAAACTGGTTTTTCTTCCAAATGTTGCAGTATTCACAGGCAATTATCTAAAGACTTTACCAATTATCTAAAGAATTTGCCAATAATGCTGGCTTTCTGTTTGACTACTATTAGCTTAAGGGAATCTATGTTTTGAAGATAACTTGGCAAGTCCTAGCCAGGGATTATAGCAACAAAAGCCTTTGGAATCAAGTGGATATAGAACAATGTTTTGTTTTGTTTTTTTCCCCCACTGTATATGCTGAATTCATTTTGCAGCCAGTTTCCTTTTGGAAATCTAGACACTAAAAGTCTTTAGATATCTCTGCTAACATTCATCACTTAGGATCACTCCTGCCTAGCTATCTCTTCCGCTTAAGAAAGACATCTGCTTAGCTAACTCAAGGCTTTCCCTAAGTCTCATTTTCTCAATGTGGCTTCCCCAACCAGCCTCTTGCACTCTCCCATACCCAGCTCCCCTCTTTCGTAGCACTTATATCTTAACCTAACATACTATATGTTAATTGTTAACAGTCCTTTCCCACAATTCCCAAATTTAAGTTCTGCTTAAAACGCTCAGATACATCCTAAGCTCCTAGAGCAGGGCCTGGAATGCAGTAGATATTTAATCCAAATTTGCTGAATTGACTGAATATATTCTCATTCTTCCCATTTTGTTCTCCTTTCATATCACCCTCCTCTCTCACTTTTTATCCTTCTTTTGTTGTTCCCCATTCTAATCTTACCAGTGTAATGGGTGATTAAAAGCTGCCTTTTGGTGAGGGCCACTAACTCCTTATTAGAAGACCCACAAATTAACTAAAGGCAAGAAGCAGTTAGATGACTGTGAAGCACCTTTTCCATAGAAATGGAAGGAACAAATTGATAGCAAGGAAAATGTAACTGGGCCTAAAAAAAGGAGAAAAAAACCTTTTGTTTATAGCCAGCTTGCTATACTTGTATTCAAAATTACATTTTTTTTTGCCTTCTCTCTCTCTCTCTCTCTCTCTCTCTCTGTCTTTCTCTCTCTCCTCCCATCCCCAGATGCTAGAGAGATCAAGGTTAAAACTCTTTGCTCTCCAAATAAACCAGCTCTTTTCCCCTTATCTCTTTCTGACCACAAAGAGTTAAACTTGTCAACTAAGACATACAGCTCCAGAAATATGGTACCAGTACACTGAGAGATAGAAGAACCAAACTTTTGGGGCATGTATTTTGTCATGTACTCAAACTGAGCCCCTGAACTCCCCTTTAAAAAGTGGACATCAAATATAACACACTGTACAGTAAGCTGTCAAATATTAGAGGAGCATGATGATAGAGAATGAGTAAGTAACAAGGAGGGGGGTATGGGGTTAATTTGATTAAAGCATGATATAGACCTGACGTACCAAGGTAAAACCCCCTTGGACTAACAATATACACTTAATGTAAAACAAATGAAGGGCAGGAGGGAAAAGTAAGTCTTTTCCAGGGGTAGTACCAGTGGGAGGGGGTAGGCATCAGGAAGGGGGGAATGAGGGTGTATATGATGGATGTATTTTCTATCCACATATGAAAACAGAAGAATAAAACCTTTTGAAATTATTCTAATGGGTGGGGGGAGGAAGAGGGAGAATATGGAGGGGATAAATTCAACTAAGCTATATTGTAAACACATGTAAAAATCACAATGTATCACTATTGTATAACTTTTATATGCTAATAAAATCATTAAAAAAAAGTGTACATTTTGGGCTGGCAAAGTAGCTCAAGTGATAGAGCATCTGCCTCATAAGCTTGAGGCCCTGAGTTCAAACCCCAGTACTGACAAAAAAAGTGGACATTTTCTCTCAGAAGAGGGATGACGGAGCTTTGAAAGTTCATCTAACAAATAATAAATCTTATTTCCTTTGTCTCAGAATTCTGCTCTCATTATATGTAAATTGGCATTGAGGCCCGGGATCATCTTTTTCGGTAACACCAGGTCCTGATTTATTCTTCTGATCCATTTCCAAATAAGTGACACTTTGTATCTGTGCAGTACTCTGTACAATTCTTGGAAGATTCCGTATCTTTGAAGTTATGCAAACTCTTATTCATACATCAAATATTTGTCCTCTGGCATCAAGCAAAGATTATCATTTTATTTATAATACTGGGGTTAGAATGCAGGGTCTCACATATGCTAGGACAGCACTCTGCCACTAAACTATACCACCAGTCCAAAGATTATAATTTTACAGATAAGGAAACTAAGGACTTAGAAGTAAATCAACTTGTTGAATGCCACACAATAAATCAGTAATGGAGACAGATTTGTAAGGTCCTACCTGTATGTTTCGTATCCACATCTACTGTTCTATAACACAACAACACACCAACACTCAACCCTTCCTTTACCATAGGACACAAATCACCTCTTAATGTTTCCAAAACAAACTGATCTGATAGTGAAACTAGAGTGCTTTTCTTTCTAACAAATAAAATACTGATTAAACATGTCAAACAGCAGACTCAAACAGAATTTTTTAAGCTTCAGGTACTGTGAACTGCAGCCATTAGTATCTACCTTTGTCAAAAACTGCCCACTATTATGGATTCCTATGTCAAAACCTAAGACCTTAGGTTCCTGCTCTTATTGTCATCTGTCATCTTTAAAAACAAACCATTTTGTACCTGTTTTGGTTTGTTTTTGTTGAGACAGGGTCCTGGATGTAGCCCAGGCTGGCTTTGAACTTGCAGTCCTCCAACCTCAGCCTCCTGAGTGCTAGGATTACAGCCTCCTGAATGGTGTTACAATTCCTGCCCATTTTTCTTACTTTTTGGCAATACCTGTACAAATGCTACCTGCTATATGACTGAGAGAGAGGGAAAATGAGATAGAACAACATCTTCCAACTCCCCAACTCCATTCTAGGATGGGTGGGAGGCCTTAGTCTTTTACAAGTCACCAGTCCAGTAAAGTCTGAATGGGCATGATTGGGCTCTTTCTTTGAGCAGCCACTAGGAAAATCTAACCCTCATGTTTGGCTACTCATCTTTCCTTCTCTGATCATACACAGCCCACTAACTTGTCCTTTTTCTTGTATTCATGCAATCTGTACTATTTTGGCCTCTGTTGGTTTTCTAGATTTCTCTTCTAAACAGTAGAACACCATCACAACTATAAAAACTGCTTCTGCTACTGTGTTGCATAAACATTGTTCAATAACACAGAAAACCAGTTGTCCTACTTTCTAGGAAAGAGTTCCAGTGCCTTTCACAGAGATGCTTATTGGAGGAAGGGACTGAGGCTAAAAGGGTCCTAGAACATGCCCTGGCATACCAAGACTTTACTACTTCATAAAAATATCCATCTTGATTAGTACATGTTGTTTTAAGGATTTCAGCTGACTGAATGTTCCTTAAATGTCTAAATTTCAAAAGAATTTTCTTAAATCATACATAAACCCATTTTAAAAACCATCTTATGAATGTATGCATACTTCTAGGCATAGAGTAAGACCTCAAAATCAGAGATTCAACAGAAAAAAAATCATAGGTTTAATTCCCAATGACTGACAAGCACATTTTTAATCTTTAACATTTTAAAGTGTGACCAATTTAGGGAATATACTCTCACAGCCCATTAAAATCACTGTGCTTAATGATATAACTCTGTGTAGTAAAATAAATATAACATAAACTTTACCACCGTAGCCATTTTTAGCTATTTAGTTCTGTGGCATTGGGTATATTTACACCACTGTACAATCTCACCATCATCCATCTCCAGAACATATTCAATTCATCCTTCCCTAATGACACCTAAATGTTAAACAGTGTATTCCCATTCCTCTTCCCCAAGGCACTAGCAACCACCATTCTACTTTCTGAGTGGTATTTTTCATATTTCTCCATCATCACCTTTTATCTTGGCTAATACTCCTGTCAAATCTATGCATCAAGACTCAAAAATTTGGGCTGACAGAGTGGCTCGAGTGGTATTAGCACCTCCTAAGTCCTGAGTTCAAACCCCAGTACCAACAAAAAAAAAAAAGACTCATAAATGTTAGTGTGTTCATGTTCCAAAAGCAGCCTCTTTCCTTTCAGTCATATAACATGAGAAAAACAGGCCATGAAAAAAAAGAGAACTCAAGGAAGTATTAAGTGACCAGAAGAAAAACTGTAATGTAAAAAGAATCTTGTTCCTAGATTTCCATTGGCTCTCCTGTTGGTTTTCACTCAGAGCCATTTATTAATCTGCTTTGTAATCCATTTGCCATTTGGCTTGAAACTTTTCTATCCATAGTCTCACTATGTAGTCCAGGCTGGCCTAAAACTTGCAATCCCCTCTTGCCTCTGCTTCCCAAGAGTTGGGATTACAAGTGTGTACACCCATGTTCAGCTGCTTTAAATCTTTAAATTTCAATTATTAGGAAGCCTATAGGAGATACACACACACACACACACACACACACACACACACACATATACACACATGGCTAAGGTGTAAAGATTGTGTTATGTTTATGAAAACATATATATATGTGTATATATACATATATATATATATATATGTATATATACACATATATATATATGTGTATATATACACATATATATATATTGGTTTTGGTTTGGTTTGGTTTTTTAAACTAGAGTTTAAACTCAGCGCCTTGCATTTGCTAGGCCACTCTACCACTTAAGCCACACTCTAGACCATTCTTACTTTAATTATTTTTCAGATAGGGTCTCACGTCTTTTGCCCAGGGCCAGCTTGAACCACAATCTTCCTACCTATGTTTCTTATAGAGCTTGAATTGCAGATGTGCACCACCATGTCCAGCTTATTTGTTGAGATGGAATCTCACCAACTTTTTGCCCAGGCTGACCTAAAACTTCAGTCCTCTTGATCTCTGCTTCCTGAGCATCTGAAGCCTATAGTAGTCTACAAGCTCATCATGATGGGTTTCCCTGTGAAAACCTCTGTGATTGTCCCCCACTATTAGCTTCCTAGTTTATCATTTCACATAACATGGGTCTTTTCCTGTATTCTAAGACATACCCTGATTCCTTTTCTTTCTTTGGTGTTAAGATAGATTTTTATTCTTCAGTCAATGTTAACCACATTCAATGAAAAATTCTGAATCTGAGAATGAGTCATTTGCTATTTTAGGGGAAAACTGTGTCAAAGTCATTATGGATTTTAAAGAGCAAAGTATGCCTATTTATTTTGATGGTACAAATTATTTTAAAATGGGAAATTTAAAAGAAAATCCTTTACCAAAACATTCTGAGATTAGCTCTGAGAGTCAGGTATCCTAATTATTTTTATCTAAGGGCTCAGGGATGTTCTATTTGTTGACTGTAATAGAAAGTCACAATGAAGTCACAACTCAATGGTTACTCAACACTCTCCAAGGGCTGTTTTTTCAGGTGTGTTAATTCAAATGAGTACTTACCATGAACTTTGTTTCACCTTTTGACAGAGTATCTGTAATAAAATGCACCTTTTGTAGCTGCTCCACAACTCGATGTAACAACTTTGGCTACAGAATCATAATGGGGAAGAAAAAAAGAACAATATTCTATATTACAGCAAGAAAAGGGTTTTTGTTGTTGCTGTTGTTTCTGGTGCGGGGGAATGAACCCAGGGCCTTCAGCACGCTGGACAAGTGCCCTGCCACTGAGTATACCCTGATCCCCCTATTCTTTAATGCTCTGAGTAAGGACCTTCCTTCTCCAACAGAAAATTAATCTTACCAATGACACTTTTCTCAGAAACCACTGTGTTTTACCAGTATCATGCTACCCTAAACAATTTGTGTTTATCTGTTTCATTAAGTCAAAGAGCAGCTTTATCTTTGAAAGCATACCTATTCCAAAATGGGTTTCCTGATAGATATAAAGTTTCTCAATACTTTATTTTTTAATAGAAAAATATTCCTTTAATGAAAACTGGCATATTATTTGCAATTTCTGAAGTATCTATGATAGACAGTAATAAGCTTACAAATATTTTCTTAAATTTCATCTCCTTCAAATTTTAGACTTTCCCCTCAATTCCTCAAGGAAAAAAGATGTGTATCCCTTGTCATAACTCTTCCTTTCACAGAATTCAATCAGTATAAAACACTTCAGTTAACTTTTCAAAAAGATTAAAACAAAACTCGGGAGCTGGGGATGTGGCTCAGTGGTATAGCACACTGGCCTAGCATGCAAGAGAACCTGAGTTCAGTCCACAACACTGCAAAAAAAAAAAAAAACCAAAAGTTGTAAAACTATCCAAATATCATCAAGGAAATTATGTTCACTGCTATGTAAGATCAATCACATTTGCTAATAAATTCTGAGGTACCTGTTTGGTTGACTCTGAGGTGAAGTTCGGGTGGGTCAGAAGAACATCCATGTCACCACTGGACTCTGCACCTGTGATAACAAAGTACATGTGTGGAACTCTCCATCTCAATTTACCAATCAGGCCAACACAGAACCAAATTGAAGAAGAGCCTTACTTCTTATAGGCTAACTTTCTACTTCACTGTGCTTCATATTCAGAATTACTTAAAAGATTTCAATTTTCTGTCTAACTATTCAGGTATATTGATAGAGACAGCAGAATCTGGGATACAATAGTAATCAGTATTAGATATATATTGCATATAATTTGTCAATGTGTTAAAATGTGCCTCAAAAGAAAACAAATTACTGAAAATAGTTTTTAAAAAAATCTATGAACATTTCCTTTTTTTTTTTTTTTTTGGTGGGACTGGGGTTTGAACTCAGGTCTTCACACTTGCAAAGCAGGCACTCTACCACCTGAGCCACACCTCCAGTCCATTTTGCTCTGATTATTTTGGCAATGGAGACAAACTATTTGCCCAGGCTGGCCTCGAACCATGATCCTCCTCATCTCAGTCTCCCACGTAGCTAGAATTACAGGTGTGAGCCACCGCTGCCCATCTCTACTCTAACTCTTAAAGGTGAATCAGAAAGCTTATTTCAATCCTTATGACTGAACTCATTAAGTAAATATTAGTAAAACTTATCATTACAGAAAAGAACACAGCATTTTATAAAATAATGACTTAGGTTTTGGCTTTGTTGTTTACAACCATATAACTTCAGACAAGTTATATACAGCCATTTGAAAATAACTATGTACTATGAAATCTTGTCTCCACTTAGATTTTTTTTACTTTAACTAATTTTTTTCAGTATTGCAAATGAGGGCATTTACATTCCTCTAAACCTGTTTCCTTGTCTGAAAACTACTAAAATCTACTTCATAGGCTATTATGCAACTACGAGCATATGTGAAAGCATCTAGTAGAGTGCTATGTACACAGCATAAAATAATCCTATGACCTCTCTATATGCAAAACACACTCCAAGTAACCAAAGACCTGCAGATCATCATCTCTCATCAATAATCTTTACCAGATACAGTCCCCCTTATCTGCAGAGGATACCAAAACCCTCAGGAATGTACTGAACCCTATAACTTAATGCCTTTCCCATTTTAACTAAGCACTTACCATACACCATGGCCATAATTTCTGCAGATTGAGGTTCAACAGCAAAACTAGCATGAATTTCCTTCTTCATAATTTCATGCATATTTTTGGGGAGTAAATAGGGGTTACACTTAAGGCCTTCCACTTGCTAGGCAGGTGCTATACTACTTGAGCTACTCTGCCAGCCCAGATTTGTTCTTACCATAGATCTTAGCAACATTAGTGTACAATTCTTTTTTTCCTTCCTTATTGTCAAGAACTTTTCCCTTTTTACTTAAAGGAAGCATTTGATTCTCTCTGGCATTTCCGACTTACCAGCAGCAGTACTCTCAGTCTTTGGGACCATTATTAAGTAAAATAATGGACTTTAACACAATTACTATGATACCTCAACAGTCAATCTGAGATCTAATAGCCAGGGGTTATTAAGTGACTAGTAGACAGGCAACATGTACACCATGGACACTGGACAAAAGGATGATTCCCATCCAGGTCAGAATGCCATGTTTCATCACGCTACTCAGAATAGCACATAATTTAAGACATATGAATGTTTGTTTCTGGGATATTCCCATTTAATATTTTCAGAGTGTGGTTGACCTTGAATAACTGAAATCTCAAAAGGCAAAACTATGGATAAGTGAGGGACAAATGCAGTGAAATATAAAGAGGACTGAACATGTTCTGATACCAGAACATCTATGCAAGCTATTTTAACAAAGAATTCTATTTTCTTCTTTTCTCATTTCTTTCTCCTATAAGCTGAATGTCTTTCACCACCCACCTGCCATCAAAAATGCTTTATTCTTTAAAAAAAAAAACTGTATTAGCAAAAAACAAAAAACACTCAAGGGTCCATTAGTAGGAGACTGAGTAAATAAAGTATGGTACAGTCACATGATCAAATATTACACAGTCATGAAAAAGAAAAAAGATGTTCTCTATATACTGACATGCAAAGATCTTCAGGATGCATTTTTAAGTGGAAAAAGCAGATAGTGTACCTATATTAGGTTACCTGGTGTAAAAAAAGGAAGGGGAGGAGAAAATCAAGAATATATACTCATATTTATTTGTCATGTTCATGCAGAAACATTGAAAGAACTCACAAGGAAGTGGCTATTAAAGGGAAAATGGTGGGATTAGACAGAATGAACAGACAAGGTAGAAGTGAACCTTCATAGTATGCACCATTCTCATATTAAATCATGTAGGCATTTAACATTTTCAACAATAAAAGTAAAAATAAAATAGAAATATAAAAATCCAGGAATGTTTTCATATTTAACATATTCATTTGGTTTGTTATACATCAAAATCTACATTTTGAAAACATAGAATCCAAGTTCCCAACTATGAAGATTCTTGTTTAGTAAGTATGTGGCAGGAGATAATAATGTGCATAACTTTTATACTTTCCAGGTGTTTCTGGTGCAGATAGAGATACACTTGAATAACTAGTTAATTCCCATCCTCCCCTAATGCAAATATGGAAACTAGGATCAGGCAAGACAGACTTACCTAAAATCATAATAGTAGTAAGTAGATTTAGCCTTAGAACCCAGGTCTCTTGACATAATCCTATGTTCTTACTATTTATCAGCCAGTTACAGATTAATCCTTTTCTCTCCCCACTCTGGACTCTTACAGCAGCTACCTGGAGCCTTACTTATTGCTCATCACCTACTTCCCAGACAAACTCTATCAGTGGCCAGAGACTGGTCCAGGCATCTGTTCTAAGATGTTTTAAATAAAGTTTATTTATTCCAAGCTTAAACGTTAACATGTTAATTTACATTAGCCTTCCAAAGTTTGAAGCTAATAAGAAACCAGGATCATGGGGCCCTCACTTTGCTTGCAGTCACACAGGAAGTGGAGATATAAAAAACCTGGTGATTGTGAGAATTGGTTTTGAACTGGTTCCTCTGAGACATTATTCTTAGATCCATTATACAAAATGTAGAAAAATTTTTAAAGTAAATAAACAAAACTACTCACAGCTTCACTAGCACCTAGCCAACAACTATTATTGGATTTTAATATAGCTAAAATCATTTTATAAACTTGGTTAAACTAGTCATTAAAATATAATCCTATAATAAAATGAGGATGAATTTTTACTAGTTTTATATAGATATTTTCCCATCTATGGACAAATAAACTTAGTTACTATTACAGATCTTGGTAAGACTATGAAATAACACAAATTACATCTTTTGATCCAAGTTTTTCATATACATTGAGCAACTTTAACATCAAGGCACGGGTAACCCAAGATAAGGAAGTTTGTTACCTCTCCTGAAACTGCCACAGACCGTAGCAATATATTCGAAATCCACTTTTTTAACTTCATTTAGTACAATATCCTAATAGAAGAAAAATTAAGTCATTATTCCAAAAATGGCATTCCACCAAGTGACACTCTCAAATCTAACAAAATAATACAATTTGACACACTCTTACTTGCATCTGTAACATCTCGTCACGAGGGATTCTTTTTTCAAAGTCCTCAAAATATCTATAAAGACAGAATAAGTACAAAAAGATTTTGTAAAATTTAAATCTCTTTAAAAATTAAATTGCCTACCATATCAAGTGTTTTACAGCAGCTGATCATTCTTACCAATGCAGACTACAATTTAGGGCTGAAGATGTGGCTCAGTGACAGAGTCCTTGCCTACTACACCCTAGGCCCAGGGTTTGAACGAAAGCATCGCCAAAGAAAAAAAGACCAGAATTTATTGAAAAGACAACAGCAAAACTCGAATGGATGGTGGGAAGGGTTCTATTCCTAATTGATTGATTGATTCCTTAATTATTACTCAAGTTCATCCTTTGTAATAGTCTAGAAACTACATCTAAACTCACCTCTACATAAACTTTATATTTAGATAGCAAGAGTAAAGTTGGTGCATGCTTTCAACGTAGACTGCTCTCTACTGGTAAATTAAAGGCATTACAGTTTATGTTCCTACAAACTGCAAAAATAGGAGTAAAAGTTTCTGGTATGCTATTGCTCAGTAGGGTGACAATGGATAATGTACTGTATAGTTCAAAAAGCTAGAAGAAAAGATTTTGAATGTTTTTACCATAAAATAATTAAAAATGTTTAAGGACATAAGTGTGTTTACCCTGATTTAAACATTATGCAATATACATATTATTCAAAACATTATATGATACCCAACAAATATGTACAGTTTTTGTTTTATGTATCAGTTAAAATTTTTAAATTAAAAAAATTTAAAATTCTGAAAATTTATAATATTTAAAAATATTATCCTACAACATGGATGAACCTAGACAACAATATGCTAAGTGAAAGAAGCTAGTCATGAACAAACACATATTATACAATTTCATTTACACAAAATATCCAGAACAGGCAAATCTGTAGAGGCAGAAAGTAGATTAGTGGCTGTTATGGCTGAGTCGGCAATAGGAGACAGTATTTTGGGGATAAATGGAGAATGACTGTCAGTAGGTCTGGGGTTCTTCTGGGGATAATAAAAGTATCTGAAAGCTGACTATAATAATGGCTGCACAACTCTGTGAATATACTAAAAGTCATGGAATCATATAATTTACATGTGTGAACTGTATGGTGTGGGAATATGTCAAGAAGACAATTATAAAGATATAATCTCTGTATGAAATAGTGTCCAAACATATGTCTAACAATGATAATACATCTGTTCAAAATGAATTCTTTTAACACCCAGGTTTTTCAGAAGAACCCCATTTACTATATAAATGCAAGGAAAGTGAGAACCACACCACCCTGCTTTCTTATTAGCTTAAAACTCTAGAATGGAAATAAAAGCTTAAGTATATTTTCAACAGGAAAACTCAAAAGGTTATTAGGACTAAGTCACCAACAAGACTATATAATACCAGAGGAAATAACAAACAGTGCTTATGTGCTATCGTTGTAAGTAATATCTGGCACACAAAATAATAATTGATGCTGATAACAGAAATGTGTCCAGTACTTATTCCTATACCTTTATTTAGGTGTTTGGGATTTTTCTTTCTTTTTTTCAAATATGTAGTTTTTCATGTTCATATAAACTCTTATTTACATGTTTCATGTTCTTCTCAGGTAGACTATAAATTCCTTAAGCGCTCCACTGAGCCAGATATGGTGCATATCTATAATCCCAGTAATTGGGAGGCTGAGGCAGGAGGATCATGAGTTCAAGACTGGCCTGGGCTACATAGCAAGACCCTGTCTCAAAAACATAAAGCAAGCAAACAAAAAAGTTCACTGAACCTTCCCCCAGACCTGGTCCAGTGCTTTGCAAATTGTAAGCATGAAATAAATACCCACTGGCTGCCTGATGTACTCAGTTTTCCATATTTTACGAGGAAGTTCCCTGATAAAGTCAAGAGAATGAGGGAAATTCTCAAAACACGTAAACAAACCAGAAAGCAATGTGTGAGCACAGGCATAAACTCTACAGGAGTCCACAATAAATCAGCATTTCTGAACTGAAAAATGGTTGGGGTTTCACAACACTCAAAGAATTATTATGGCATATGAAAAAATGTCTATAAGAGTTTTATATCTCAAGTATCTAAAGAAAATTTTCTATCTTACTTCAGCCCAATTCGTTGATGATGGTTCAATTTATCTTCATTTTTCCTGAGATCTGAATAGAAGATAAAGTTGTAGCATTATTAACTTAAATACTTTTTGGAAAAAAATACTAAACTCAATGACCCTTTTTACAAAGAAGTACTTGAGAGGAAAAAACAGTGAATTTGATTTTGAAAATAAAATGAGAAAAAAATCTTTAGATAAAGAACTACATGAAACAATTCTTCAAATCAATGCTGCAAAACTACAGCTGATTTCATGATCATTTTTATTTAATGAAACAAATTTTCAATTAGAGTTACATGAAACAATACATAAAACATTGCAAGAATTATGCAAAATTTTACTGGCTGTTGCCAAAAACAACCTTAAAAGAGTCAATGTTGCCTGATAAATACATGCTGACAGCAGCAGTCATAACCACAGCTTCTAAAGAGCTTCTCATAACTGGGCTCAGTCATACCATATAGCTGTTCATCTACTCCTTCATTCAATTAGTACCATGTGCTCATTGTGCCAGCATTGTGCAAAAAATGCTACTGAACGAAAAGGTATTCTATTCATCTTGTAATGTGCAAAAGTTGTCCTTACATCACGTACTAAAACTAAAAGTGACTTAGTTCCTTTGGGTATTCTTTTTGTAGGGGTGAATAGAGGAGTGAACCATATTAAAGAAACAGCAAGATAAGTATGCTTCAAAAGCAATTTCTATAATAATACCAGTATACTCAAAAATAGTAAAATTCCATCTGGAGATGTAAAATGAGAGAAAAATAAGCATCTTTATGACATTATGGAGCATTCAACATCTCCCACAGAAAGCACTACAGTATACATCTGAAAATGAAATGAGAATATTGAGTTATGTAGACATCAAGCTATATCACATATCTGAATTGTGAAATATAAAAAACAGATCCTTGATACGACCAAGAGATGCAACTGAATACCCTTGACAAACCCACAAATGCCTGTGGCAGGCCTCAGACTGTGATCCTCCTATCTCCAACTTCCTGCATAGCTTGGTCTATGGATATATACCACCACACTCGGCTTATTCGTTGAGATGGAATCTCACTAACTTTTTTGTCAGGGCTGGCCTCGAATAGCAATCCTTCCAATATCTGTCTCCTGAGTTGCCAGGATTATAGGAATGAACACTGTGCCCAGCCCCAACCGACAAATTCTTGACCTCTTTTGCCAATCATCTTACACAGATAAACTGTACATGCCAGAAGTGAAAAGCACAAAACCCCTCTGAGATGTACAGGTAGAGTTCATTTTGTAGTTATACGACTTACAAATTCTTACTTTAGGAATATTATTAATGTATGGTGCCTCATAAAAGTCAGTTGCCATTTTTAAATACTTAATATGAATAAAGTACTCTGTCAAGTGCTTTACATACATTATTGCATTAAACTGTTTAAGGAAGAAATACTCATTTTGTAGCTAAGAAACTGAAGCACAAAGCTCACCCATGCTAATCACATGGTACGGGTGGAATTCAAATACAGGCCAGTCTCTAAAACCTGCCCAGTTAACTTTGTGAGTTGCTTGTAAATAGTTGAACCCACAAATATTAAACCCCATGCCACTGGATGGCACACAACATGTCATGGATCTATTGTAATAAATTCCATACATGTAGCATACACCCTTGAAAAGTATGAAGAGACAAATACATTTAGAGGATTGCTAAATAAGGTTTAAGAAAAATGTTTTTAAAATTATTTGAATTAGGACTAGGTATATGGCTCAACTGGTAGAGTGCCTACGTAGCAAAATTACTTGACCTAGGCTCTATTTTTTCACTAGTTCCTTGAAAACAAAAACTCAATAAGCAAAGCAAATCTCTAATAAAATCTTTCTCCAAATACATAATTTACTGTTAGTGTGATGTATAAGACTTTGCTGCCTACAATTTTATTAAAAAAAAACAAAAGCAACTTAGACCTTCTAAAAATCTATAAATAATAACTATTTCATTATCTTTAAATCAGAAGTTACTTCTTGCTCTTTTTTATTTTCTTCTTAGTCACAAACATAAAAATGCTAAAGATGGGAATGTAAACTATACGCTGTATCTACTCTCTACTACAGAATTAAAAGGAAAATCTTATTTGTATCTACTGATTGAGAATGGGTTTTCCAAGTTTGAGTTTGCTAGTTTGTCTTTCATGAACAGATATAACCTGGACTAAGTGACCTGTGGTCATACTTACCATCTAATGTTTTAATTCCTTCATCCACAAACTTCCTTGCAGCAGATGGACTACAAAGAAAGAAACACTTATCCCAATATCAGGTGAAACTTAGAATCCTTTTAACAGTCACCAACCATGCCCAACTATTGTCAACACATAAAGAGTTGCTACTAAGCTAAGCAGGACCTGCTAAATGCTACATGGTTCAATTTTATCCAAGTAAGACTTTTTGAAGCTTCAGTCATTAAGTAGACTGAACTTGGACATAAAGAAGATAACTCAGCAGCTAGCTATTATAATTAATTCCCATGTGAAAACATACAGGCACTTATAAACTTCATTTAACTAAAATGTATTGAGGTGCTGGTAGATGCCATTTACTCTGCTGAAAATGCAACATAAACAGAATAAAAGTTCCATCCACTTACATTCCAGTAGGGAGAAACAATAAATAGATACATATACAAGTAAGAAAACTATCATGTAGATGAATATAGAGGGACATACAGTGGCTGGATCCTACTGTAGACTGGGTAGTGAGCAAAGGCCCCAGAGATAACACTAAAGCTGAGATTTGAGTAACAAAGAGCCAATTATCTGGGTGACCAACAGGAGAAGCACTTTAGGCAAAGGTAACAATTAAACAAAGGTCTTCAGGCTGCCATGAGCTTCCCTTGTTCCGGAAGAAAGTTAGCATGACTAGAATGACGGTGTGAGAGATCACTGAGCATTGCAGGGCAGCCATGTTCTACTGGGCTTTTTAAGCCATGATGGTAAGTTTAGGTTCTACTCTGTGCACAATACTCTTAGAGCATACTAAACAAACCAGTAACAAAATCTGATTTAGGTTTATAAATGATCACTATAATTGCTGTGTTTACATAAATATATTAAAACATCAGAAAGGACATTCTTTTGGAATAAAAGAGGCAGAAGGAACCTAAGCGATTATTCTAACCTCCCTCTCATTTTACAGGGACGGATATTGAAATCTAAAAAGGTAAAGTGACTTGCTTAAAGTAACAAATCTAGCAGGTAATAGCAATGGGACCAGTAACTCTTAACTCTCTTACACTAACAATGCACAACATACTAAAGTGAGAGCAGAGAACAGAAAGAAATGCACACATTCACACGTTAAGCGTTTTGGAACACTGTGCAAACATTATGATGTTACAGTGTGGCATGGAAACTGTATTAATATTGGAAGGCAAGGTGGCAAGGAAGGAACAGAAATGAACTGGGAGCCAGGAGACATGAGTTCTAATTCTGGCTCTGCCATGATTACTCACTTTCTGTATTCAAGTTTCAGTTTTCTTCCCTGGAAAAGCACATAACAAATGCTCTCTACAATACCTTCTAATGGACCTTTTAAAGTAGCCTTTGATCCCTCAAGGACGCATGCTCATTTTCAGTATACTAAGTTTAAGAGTTTAATATAATTTAAGATAACTTTCATTGAAAATATGGCCATTTAAAGGAACAATTATCTTAGTTCTAGGCAGGCACTATGTCCTTGAGCCATGCCCACAGCCCTACATTGTCAGGTATCTAAATGAATGTCTTGTTCCATAGAGGTGTAAAGCATCACAACCTTAATATTCTAATGTTAATCTTTGTCTAGTGTCAAAGAAGCCCTCTTTTTGCTAATAGTTCAGATTTTAAGACAAAGATTCCTTCATTAGAAAACAGCTGAGTGCTTGTTCCTAATTCATAAGGTGGTATAGAAAAAACACTGAAGATAAACACATGCTTAGAGAAACAAAGGGGCACAGTCTAGAGCAGGCAATAAAATGTACACAGCAAGTGTTGGTGGAGTTTAGAGGAAGACAGTGATTACTTCTGGCCAGGGAATCAAACTGGCTCATAAGGGAGGTAACATTTGCCTTAGATGAGCTTTTATAGTACAGGCAGCATCTGAAGAATCAATCTTAGACCCATAAGCTATGAAAGGATGAATCACACGGGCAAAGGCACAGAGGTAGAGAGGACAGGTTTTAAAGGAAAATAGCACATTTAGTTTTGCCAACATGAAAAACAAAGTTAATCTGTGACTGTTGTCTGCTTAAGAAATAGTTCTTACCCAATGCCACTAACTCGAGTCAGGAAATTGATGGAGGAACTCGTATCATCCTGCCGAATCTTTAAGGAAAAAAAAGGTGATTTAGGAATGCTTTATGGACTTAAGTCCAGCAAGTGATCCTACTGGAAATATAAGTAAAGAATCATTTGCATTTGCCTGGATAACCCATACAAATATTCATGTATAACCTGGGTAAAGAGGAAGTAAGCAAAAGAATAGCTGAAGATGTCTCTTCAATTTTCCAGTATTTCTAAAAGGCCTATTCACAAAAGACCAGAAATAATATAATAACTATCATTAAGATGAAATAAAACTATAAAATGATTGGGATAGTTTAAGCATAGACATTCTAATGTCTATCCTTAAATCTTTATAATCTCTTTTCTGAATAGGTACTGAAAATGAAGATCCAACTCTCTCACAGATGGAGTTGGAAATAAATGGAAAAACAATTTTGAGATGAGGTCTCACGTTATTGCTCAGGCTGGTCTTCAATTTGTAAGCTTAAGTACAGCAGAAGGACAGGTGTCCTTCCTCCATCCCTTGCTAATAAATGAAAATTTTATAGAAGAAACAGTCACATTAAAAAAAAAAACAAAACAGAGCTGTATACTCCATTCATTTCTTTTCCTTCTGAGATTCACTAGAATAAGTGACATCCTCCCTGCTACATGGTAATTGCCATAAAGGAAGATACTATAGTCAAGTAATTTTACCTTTTCCAGTTTACGCAATTTTCCAGTTGCTAAAAACTCATCAATCTTTTCAGCAATTTTTGTTCCTACTCCTGGCTACACAGAAAATTAAAAATATATTAGTTATATAAATACAATGCTTGCCAAATCACTGAAAGACAAAGTAAAAAGTGAGAAATTAAATACAAATCATCACCACATGACCACACAGAAAAATGAACCCAAGTAATTCTCCCAGAGGCAAAATGTTTAAATAACTGACAAAATAAATGACTGATAAAATAGTTCTAAATGACTCATGTTTACTTAAAATCAATTTTTGGGCTGTAGATGTACATAAGTGGTAAAACAGTTACCAGCAAGTATGAGGCCCTAGGTTTGATCCTCAGCACTTCAAAAAAGAATTTTTATTGTAAAAAAATTAGAAAATATAATTACACTAAGAATATTAAGGGGCTGGCACAGCAGCTCAAGTGGTAGAGTGCCTGCCTAGCAAGCATGAGGTCCCCAGTACCACCACCAAAAAAAAAAGAACATTAAAATGACTTATCTCATTGTCCTGAAAATTAAGCACAAAATCACCTATAACCTTATTCCTTAATATTTGCCCACTTTAACTTCTTTTCTGCTTATAACTAAACACATACATATGCATATTTATTTTCCTAATATATATGAACAGATTTCTGCATCAATAAATAAATATAGCTACAGTATTTTCGCAGCTGCATAGTGTTTTATTGTATGAATTTACTTAATATCCTATATGTGAACACTGAGATGATTTGTAGTTATTTGATTTTATAACAAAGTTGTCATGAACTCACTTTGTTCCAAAAGAGGTTCTCAAGCTTTTGCACACATCAGCATCACTCGGGGCCCTTGTTAACACACAGAATGCCAAGTCCTAGCTTACAGTTTCTGATTTGCTATGTTGAGTAAGAGAGGTCAATTTGCATCTCTAAGTTCCCAGGTGCTGGTGCTGCTGCTGGTCTAGGAACCACGCATTGAGAAACACGCTCTAAACCAAAACAGTCTAATCTGGTACACTAGCCACATGTAACAATGTAAGTGTATTTAAATATTTTAATTCTTCAATTACAAATAGCTTCAAATAGCTACATTTCAAGAACTCAATAGCCAAATGCATATTGGATGACAAAAATGGAAGTTCTAAATGGCAGAGATCTTGTCTTTTTGAGGCATTTCCTAAGTGTCTGGCATATAGGTGCTCAAGTACTAATAAATCCTCGTACACACATAATTCTATTGGTTTCCTTACAACAAACTCCTCAAAGTAGAGGTGCTGGGCCAAAGGATGCATTCTGCCAGATTATCCTTTGGAAAGGCTGTAACAACAAACACTTCCTTCAGCAATAAATAAGGGTCCTTTTTTTTCACATCTTTGCCCCATTTTACATTATATTTGATAATCTGGCAGGTACTACATAGTATCTTGTTTCGATGTAAGGCTGAGCCTTTAGCGCTTATTGATCTTTTTATTAACCCTTCAACACACATAATAACATGTGTGCTGGTTATTTCCTACTGTCTCTTAGCCCTACACTCACCCTTCTGTATTCTGGATTTATTTAATACTTAATAAATGCTCCCAAATTAGTGAGCGTGCATTCAAGTTCTGAAAAGAGTTATTACTAAGTAGAAATGAAGGAAAGATATAGGAAGATTAGAAAAGGGAACTCCTCAGACTAAGTAACTAAATAAATTGCAGATAGTGCTACAATAATTTTACTCAGTAACATACTGACCTCAAGCAAGTTAGACCCCAGCAATTTTCTATACTTAGCATTGATAGGGGAAAAATGCAAATAACTCACTCTGGAAATTTTAGGTTCCTAAAATTATTAAGGAGCACTCATATCGGCTACAGAGTAGGTCTGTAATTCTTAAAATAATAGTGAAAAGGAATAGTGTATTTTTATGTTAAGTTCAGTCTATCATAAAAGGCATTTTGTATTGCTTTTAGGGATACACAATGAGCTCAGATTCAGATGAAGTATATCAAAGCTTGTCAGAAATGTTTGACTAATAAATAAGCATGCTATTTGCAATAAACATTTTTTAAAAGGTGATAAAAGGGGAAAAAATGGAACAGGAGTGGCTTTTGAGATTAATGCCAAGAAAGAAACACAGAATGAGAATTAAAGTCTAATATGCTCATCACTTAGTTGACTAACGTATTTAGGAGGGCAAATTGATGCTGAGAACTGTTTGTGACACAAAGAATTTAAAATCTTTACACCAGAGCATGACTGTAATGAGTAATAGTGATGTTATGACACTGAAGGGTGAAAATATAAGGGCAGCTATGGTTCATACTCTCAAGGCTCTCAAGAGAAAGTTAAGAATGATCAAATATTAATACTTAAATACCAGAGGACTTTTGTGGAACACAAATAGGAACAACTGTCAGGACCTGACCAATCTAAGGTCATGTCAGTTTGGCATCTTTAACAAAATATAAATAAGATCTGGTCCTTAAATCTGAGGAACTTGAATCATTTAGTGAGACTTAGATGAAAGAGAAATAGGTAAAACTCCTCAGGATATTCTTAGTGAAATTATTTCAAATTACTAAGAGATGCAACCCTTTAGAAACTGACACTACCAGAAGGCAGGGCTTCATGGAGCAGAGCTAATTACCATAATATAAAAGGAGCTGAGTCACGTGCTTATCTCTTTGGAGAACACTAACTCTCCCAAGTTCTTATTCCTGGGAATCAAAGAAGTACAGCTAGGGACTAAATATAGTAGTATCACTCTCTGTCACCATGGTCTCCTTAAGGACCGAAACTCAAAGTGAACATCAGTGTGACAGTACATGCATATATGTTTGGAAAGAAAATGTAATTACATATATTTAAGTTTTTAAATCCACTCTTCTTCCAAATAAAAACATTTGGGCCTGAAAAAGAATGCTTGAAAGGCATTACTATTATTCCAAGTAATTGGGAGCAGTGAAATCTCCCTGTGTGGGACAAGATAGCTTCATAGGGGTGAGTTTAGTTTTGTAAGAACTCACCAAATTAATGCATTGGTAAACTCTACAATCAATGCGCTCACTAAACTTACCAATTTCTTAGCTTCTGCTCCACTCTTGATTTTGTGTGGGTACTTTGCTATAACAGATGCTGCTTTTCTATAAGAAAAAAAAATTAAAAATTCAGCAAGGTCTTAATTTTTCTTAAACTGAATTACACAGAAGAGAATATCTACCTTACTTTCACCAAGGTAGCTAATTTTCTACTTCCATGTAAAACTTATAACTTAAATAGCTTACAGGCCACCTACAATATCTCTAACTTTTTGGACTTTTGGTTGGAGGGGCAGTACTAGGGGTTGAACTCATGGCCTATACACTTGCTAGAATGACACTACTACCTCAGCCTCTCTGACCAGCCCCAATATCTCTAATTTTTTAAAGTATCTTGAAGCACCACTTATTTAAGAATGTGATTTTAATTGTATATGTAACACTAGAGGATACCAGCAGTTTCCTTTTCTGGGAGTAAGTGGAAAATAGCATGGGTCTTTTTTTAATAGCCAGTTTTCAGAAATTGTTCATGATTCTTACATACAATGTGCTGCCATAATATTATTTGATGCTAAATTTACTTATTCACTTGTGGATAGATATTTGTTTAAATTCAGGACTTCAATCTGCATTTGCTCATGTCCTTTAATCAGTTCCTTTTTTGGAACATTTTTAATGGGTTTCATCATGACATGGTATCAATTCTTTTTAAAATTGCTCCCACTTCAGTTCAGCATAAAGCAGTGACCTGAACCTTGCCCACCTCACACATATCCATCTGGGAGTTCACTGATGGCAGCCTGTCTATAATTTCAATGCTAAATGAAGTTTAGAATTTATACTGATAAAGAGGAATAAAAGCACTGATGGAGTGGCTCAAGTGGTAGAGTGCCTGGCTAGCATGGGGCCCAGAGTTCAAATGCCAGTACCACAAAAAAGTGGGGGGAGGGGATAAGAAACAATAATAGAGGGGGAGAATATTATTAAAGCATGTATGGAAGTGTCATGATGCAACGTCTTACTATATACAATACAGGTCAAAAATTAAGAAAATAAATAAACAATGGGTGAATCATAAATACTGGGCAATCTTTGGAACCTTGGATTTTCATTCTATTCTAGAGCACATAAACCTTTAGGTTTGGATTTTAATGTCTCTATGGGCATATGACTGAGAAGTCTGGAAAGGACATATTTGTAGGCTAGGAACGAAAGCTTGCCTTTCAGGAAAAGCAAGTAGATCTAGATAATGGGCACTGTGGGACAAAGCTGGAAAGGGAAGAATTAGATCATGAGACAGAGAGAAAATATTTAATTATTTGAAATGGGAGAATGAGAAGATCAGATAGCTATTTTCAAAAATCTTCTTTGGCTACAAATATATACACCAGGGTGGGAAGCAGCAGGTAGGATTAGTAGGGTATCACTTCCTTTTTTTTAGACTTACTTCCCACTTTCACCATATACCTTAAGCAAACTAAATTACTAACGTCTAGAAAATGTTATACCCTTTCATATCTCAATGCCTTGGCATATTTTGTTTCCTTTGTCTAGATTGTTCTTCCTCACACTTAACCCTTGATGAGATCCTTCAAAACTCAGCACATCATTTCTATTTGGGTAGTGACCCGAATAGAACATAAGATTGACTATCTCTGCAACTTCTAGATCAACAACGTATGGGTGATAGTACAATTACTTTACAAAAAAGTCATAAAAGGTAATGAAAGGAGGAAGCAAATTCAGTTTTTTAATACGTTGAGTAGGAAGGGAAAAAATCTGGAAAAAAGCTGACTTTGGAGTCATTGACATAAGTGGTATTCAAAGCCAAGAAAGGAAAAGTATGAAAGTGAGGAAAAAGGGCTTTGAGCAGACTTCTGGAGACTAAAAGCTGACAGATAAGCTGGGCACTGGTGGCTCATGCCTGTAATCCTAGCTACTCAGAAGGCAGAGATCAGAAACATCACAGTGTGAAGCCAGCCAGGGCAAATAGTTTCTAAGACCTTATCTTGAAAAAAACCTTTCACAAAAAAGGGCTGGTGGAGTGACTCAAGGTGTATGCCCTGAGTTCAAAGTCCAGTACTGCAAAAGAAAAAAAAAAGCTGACAAAAATAAATGAAAGAGCAAAGGCAGCTGTTTGGGGAAGTCAAGAGAAAGACTTTCATGGAATGAGCTAACGGCAAATGCCACTGTGAGTTCAACAAGGGGAGATGTAGGTGAGAGCATTTCAGAGGAACTATGGATACAATGACGTGAGCAACTATAGATGAGGAAGTCCAGGCATGGAATACAGACTACTCAAAGAAAAAAAAAAAAACTGTAACATAAGGAAAGAGATAGGTGCTGACTAATGTGAAGTTAAGGTTGCTTTGGTTTTGCTTTTAAGAGCTGAGGGATTTGGACATGTTTATAAGCTAAGGAGCAGAACTAGGTGGATGTGATAAGAGAATACCCCTGGTGAAGTACCTATTGATGGATAAAGATGGGATTTCATAAAGATTAAAGGATCAGACATAGATCAAGCAGATGGGAAAATGTAATTACTTAACCACATATTTCACAGTACAGATCTCATCATGATCTTTCATCATACTTAAAATCACATTGCATTTCCAGTCATTCACATCTGATGATGGGAAAATATGTATCAGGCTACATGTATTTTCAGTCAGAATTGAGAACTCACCTGAATTGATCCTACAGAGCTCTGCCAAAATTCTTCCAGAAATATTTGGTAAGGTACAACCAGACATTTGCGTTTTTCCCCCTCCTGCAGATGGTCCAAAAGCCACTGGACCCCGAGCCCTGTTAAGTGCCACACAAAACAGGGGCATCCCAGAAAGCAACTACAAAGAACGCTGCACTGTCCCACCTGTATGCATTGTACTTGTGGATAGCCTGGCTCACGTTCTTCTCAAAGTTTGCGAGTTCTGAAAGGCAACAAGAGGCTCGGATGAACAACAACCGCGAGTACACACAGGAGAGCTGAGCTCCCTGGAGGGGAATGGCCTCAAAGGCTGCTCAAGAAATGACCCAGGAGTCCCCGGCAAAACTGACAACTGCACGGCACGGGCGGGCGCCGAAGGAAAAATCCCCACTCAAGACCACCTGCCGCAAGGGGCTGACCCCACCCACAGCTCCACCGGGGCAGGAGAGGAGGAAGACAGGCAAGGGCAAAAGCCGGTGGGCCGGGCCGGGACTAACCCATGAGCATGTCGGTGATTCCCCCGTTGAGAGTCTCCTGCGGCGCCTTCCGTTTACTCATGGTGACCTGCACCCGGGGACCCAGGGGTCCAGAACCCGGGACCGGCCCCCTCTCCCAGCCTAAAGTAGGAAACAGGACTCGGGGAGGGGATGGAGAACCCAGCCCCAGTGAGGCGGGCGCGACCGGCTGAACAATGGCTGCCTCTGACAGGGGGCGCGGCGCGGCGCGCGCGGTGACGTCACCGGCGGGGCGGGGCGGGGCGGGGCCCGAGAGGGGCTGGATAGGCCTGGGGGAAAGGGGCGGGGAGGCTTGGAAGGAACCCGAGGAGCACCTTGGCGCAGAACTTGCGTTTAGCCGGAAGAAATGAGGACCTGAGAATTACACTCCACCGGGGTTCTTATGGGAAAACATGGATTTTTAGCCTAAGTGATTCTGTTTTCCTAATGTTTCTCTGGAATCCTGTCCTTGGAGGAAAAATAGGAGTCCAATTTTGATCCTGAAATATACAAGAGGGTGGGGTTAAAGAATAGTAGAATGAAGACTGACCCTGTAAGTGGACAATAATGGTTACCGACTACAAGTCGTATTTTATAGGTGATAAGAGGCAACACTAGCGTCATACTTATTGTTAAAATAAGAGAAGAGTGCAGCAGTGGGCTCTGTAGGGCTGCAGGAGGAGGCAATCAGATAACCAAACACAACTTTCAGCACAGCTGCCATCCAACAGCCAAAAATATATCTTTTTTAATTCTCCTGCCTTTTGTGGTTGTAAAACGATTAAAAGACCACAAGAAAGAGAAGAGGTGTTTTACCTAGAAAACAGCAATGGAGCCCTCATTATATCATTGTAGTCTATATGTGAGAAATTTACAATCTGCTTTAGAAATTGAAATATGGCATCAGCACTATTTTATTTTGCAAGTGTAATTCTGAGTTCATACCTGTAAGGTACTGCCGAGTTAAGACCACGAGTCAAGTGTGGAAAGGAAAGATTTATGAGAAATCCAGACCGCAGAGCTGTCCTCCCAAGAATAGGGAGCAGCGACTTGGGTGAATTGGGTAGTGGGCTTTATAGGAGGGGCCGAGCCATGGGGGAAGGAGAGAGTCTCTGGTCTCCGATTACCTGCGATCACCAGATGGAACAGGTCGACATGCCTGGCTAGTTGAGTAACTGGAAGTTCCTGAGTTGTTTTGCAAGCCGAGAAACAATCAGGCAAGGAGAAACAAAAAGTCATAAATCAGGGGGTCTGGTTTTAAGGTGTAGCCTCGGTCCTTCCGCCCGCCCCAAGAATGTCAGGGACCTAACAATACCTAACGGTAATTCCAGGCAATTGGTTTGTACATAAGTCGGGTTAAAATGTTATTACACAATGGCACATAGTTGCTGTAGAAAAATCTGGAAAAAGTGTAAAAGGAGAAAAAATTTAAATTCATTATAATTTTTCACTATCCATCATTAAGTACAGTATTTGGGGACATATAGTTCTATTTTTCTAATACATTTCTTTTAAAATTCCTCTTAATTTTCAATAATGAAGAATGTTTTTAGATAAAATTCGTTTCTCTTATTAGCAAGGTTTTTTGTTTTTTCTTTTTTTACAATATCAATGTGCATTTGTATTTCTTTTGTAAATTTCCTATTCATATCCTTTGCTTGTTTTTCTAACAGGGTAGTTATCTGTTACTGATTTGTTACATCTTATGTATATTACTACTTACTACTTTGTACATTTTTCACTAAAATTTTATAAATATTTAGAGTTTTCCAATTTATTCCTTGCTGTTTAACCCTGTGCTACTAATATATGCTAATAAAATGTTACAAAAAAATGAGTAACAGACAATCCAAGGAAAATTATCTGTTCTCTGTCCTTGTCTTAGACATTTGATCCACTTAACCACTCTCTTCTTGAAATAATTAGTTTTCAGTAGACTTCTAAGATGTCACTTGATCTGGGGGTTCCTTCCTTCTTTCTTGCCACTTTTCAGGGGCTGTGTGTGTACATGCTGGTTCCCAGCACCTTCTCTACTCTGCACTCTTTATGGAACATGGCCTTAGGCCATTCTCTAACCAGCTTTTCCACCTGATCCAGTTTCACCTGTTTAAATTCTACCTCTAGCTTGCAGATGCCTAAATTTCTAGTTCTAGCCTGACTTCTCCCTTAAGCTCCACTCTAATGCCTACTGCATATGTCTAATTACCATAGGCATCTCAAAGGTAAAATGTCCTAAAAAAATCATGCTTCTTTCCCTATAGCTTTTCCTTAACTTTTCAGCTCAAGCTGGCCTGGAACCCAGGATGTAGCACAAGCTGGCCTCAAATTCATGATCTTCCTGCCCTCCTGAGTACTGGGATTATAGATGTGCACAACCATGCCAGTTTAGGAGTCATTCTTAATTCTTTCTTTTCATACCCCACATGCAATCCATCAGCAAGTTGTTGTCTGTTCTGTCTCCAGAACACCACTGACCCTCAGTAACTGTGGGTTCTGCATCCACAGATTCACTCAACCATAGATTGAAAATACTTTTGTAAATGTACCTGTACTGAACATGTACTGACTTTTTTCTTATTTCCTAAGCAATACAGTGCCACACTATTTACATAGCATTTATATTAAATATTATAGGTTATCTAGATATAATTTAAAGCATATGGGTATGATAGCACTCATTTGTAATTCTAGCACTTGGGAGGAAGAGGCAGAAAGATCACAAGTTGGAGGCTAGTCTGGGCCACATAGCAAGACCTTATTTCAAAAAAAAAAAGTATATGGGATGATATGCATAGCTTCTATGCAAGTACTTTGCCATTGTATGTAAAGGACTTGAGTATCTCCGGACTTTGGTATTCTTAGGGATCCTGGAATGAATCCCTCACAGATATGGAGAGAAGACTATATGTCCTGAATCAGATTTCCTCTCCCCTCATCAGCTGCCACTCTCCTAGTCCAATCTACCATGATTTCCTGAACTATTACAATAGTCATGTCAATAGGTTTCTGTTCTTGTCCCCCTACAGACTCTTTACCTAATAGGACAAGGGTGATCTTTTTAAGACATAATACCAAAATATGTCACATTTTTAAAATATCCTGTAACTGTACTTACAATAAAACCCAAACTCCTTTCTGTAGCTCACAAGACCTACTTAACATGATCCATTTCCTGCCTGCTTTCCTACTTTATTTCTTACCCCTTTCTCTTTGTTTAGGACACACATGTCACTCTCTGGTACATGGGCTGCTTCCTCATTGTATAAGCCTTTGCTGGCCTCCTTCTCTTCATTATCCAGACTTCAGTCCAGTAGTCACATCCTTATCATATTCCTGAACAATGACCAGGCACTCTCTATTCCTATTATTGTTTTATATTATTCATAGAATTTAAAACTATTTGAAACTTTCATGTGTTACTCATTTATTATCTACTCCCTGCCTACCCCTCCTTCCACCAATGTGAAGTGTAAACTCCAGGAGAACAGAGAATCTTTGTTAATAAGTGCTCAATAGGGCTACAGATGTAGCTCAGTGATGGAGCACTTACCTACAATGGCCAAGGCCTGGGTTTTATCCCTGCATCATCATCATCATCATTATCAAATTGCTCAATGAATATCTTAAGTTACAGTTTTGCCAATGTAATGTGTCAATCATTTCAGATTACAGAGACTACTGACATCATGATCCAGGTTAACTTGTCATCCTGACTTGGGGAAGACTGTAGGCTTTCCTGGAATACAGAACTTTCAGTCCAAAAACCAGGAAAGTTCTGGACAAATTAGGAAACTCTGGTCACCATAAGATATGCCAGACACATTGTGCACTATTCTGGGGTTCATAACTGAAGCAATTAAAAACATAATAAAACCTAACATAAAGAAGAAACAGGACAGAAAGTACAGGGGAAATTAATACTGCGTAAAAGTTAATAGAATATGGGGTTAGAAATCAAAGTAAGGACAAATGTATATCAAGATATGGAGATAGGACTTTAGTCTGTGGGTCATGTAGAGTCACTGGAAAATTTTAAGCGGCCTAGTGACATTATCCAATTTTCTTTTATTAAAATCTCTCCAGCAACACTGTAGAATAGACACAGATTGAAGATACATGTGTCTCATGTGAATGTCTACCAGAGTATCCATGCACAGGAGATTCCTAAATTACATGGTAAGTGGATGTCAGTCAGTCTCCTTCCCTAGTCAGTGTTTGCACAACAGGCCATGAACAAGGTGGCCATGAGGGTAAGGATGGAGACTATGCACAGGATGAACAACAATATGAACTTCCCCTTACTAAGGCTGACCTTATGATGCTACTGCTAATTTGCCAACCAAGAGTAAGTACCCAAATATGGCAAGAGCCCTTAGAAGACTAGACATCCATCTGATGACAGACTGATTGTATTGGATCTTTCTCATCATAGAAGGGGCAGAGATCTTTCCTTATTGTCATTTTTCCTTGGATTATATACATAACCTGAATATGGATTTGCCTTCCCTGCCTGCTTCTGCCAGCACCACCTTCTGTGGAATTAGAGAATTGCATACCCTATAGCATTGCTTCTGATCAAGTTCATTTCTTGGGCTGGTGGAATAGCTCAAGTGGTAAGAGCACCTGCCTAGCAAGTATGAGGCCTTGAGTTCAAACCCCAGTGCTGCAATAATAATAATAATGATAATAATAATAATAATAATAATAATAATAAGGAGGAGGAGGAGGAGGAGGAAGACTTAATTTCTCAGCAAAGTGCAGCAGTGGGTTTATGGTCATAAAATTATCTGGTCTTACCACACATGCTATCACCCAGAAGTGTCTGGAATAACAAATTGGGACAGCTTAATGAAGACACAATTACAGTTGGGACACAACATCCTGAAAGGAGAGGGATCATTGCATATACTGCAATATCATCAGATGATGCTACTCTCCTCCAAAGTCAGAATATGTGGGCCTAGAGATCAAGAGGTGAAAGTGGAAGTATTTTCTCCCACTAATATATACAAATACCCACTTAAAAATGTTTGCTTCCTACTGCTTGTAATCTTGAGCTCTGCTGGCCAGAAGATCCTAGTGCCCATGGGGAGAAACTTCAATCAAAAGCCCAATAATGAGTCTGTTGAGTTGGAAAGTAAGATGCCATTTGGGCGTCCTTATGCCAATGAGCCAACAAACCAAAAAACCATTTATTGATTGGAATGATTGATCTTGACCATCAAGAGGAAATTGGATTGCTACTACACAACTGGACAGTGAGGCAGTGAGGACTATGTCTGAAACACAAGGGATTCTCTGTGTCATCTCTTGGTATTTTTATGTTTTGTAGTTAAGGTTAATGGATTCAGGTACTTTGGAAATGAAAATCTGGAGCACTGCACCAGACAAGGAGTCTCCAACCAGCTGAGGTTACTGGCTAAGAAGAGAAGGGTAAAGTAATTGACAGCTATCAACTACAGCCATGAAAAAGACATAGATAACAATTACAGAAAGAAGGACTGCAGTCACTGTATATATTTTCTCATTGCTTGTTATATGCAAGTGCTCATTTGTATATGAGCACTTTTCTTCTTTCCTTTCCTTCTCCCCAGATATTTTATATACAAGCTGTTGTATATAAAACGTTATAATTTTGTGTGGTTGAATTTGAAGAGTAATATAATTTGTGACTGTTGGGTCTGTTCATCTCTTCATTTTGAGGAGAGGGTGAGAACTTTCTCACTTCTCTGAAAGTGACCGTATGCTGTTAGATGGAAACAGTCATTTAGTTATTGTGTGGAAACTCAGTCACCAAAGGGATGGACTGTGCTGGTCCCATAACCGCTTAATTCCAAATCACTGTTTATTATCTTGCTTTTGCTGCTGGAACATTTTTCCCTTGCCAGGTAGACAATATTAAGCTTTGTCAAAGAGGACACTGAGGGATTCAGGGTTCAGTGTGCTATTTTGGAGAGGCTCCTGCAGTGTGCCAGCAGAAAGATTCTTCTGGCATCCCAAAGGGTAGTCTCCCACTGCCCTGCCCCTGTAGGCAGTTTCCAAGTGAGTTCTGTTGTGTAGTACCTGCCTCTGGACTGCGCACCCAGAGAGTGGGTTCTGTGAAAGTTCGGCAACACAGCACCCCACAGTCATGCCCTCTTTAGTGATGTCTGGATCTCAGCCTTGAACAGCAGCTTTTCCAGATCTGTTCCTTCCTTGAATTCTCTACGTTAGCCATTGAGATAGTGGCTACTCCCTATTTCTGCTATTTTTGTAACTTTTTTGAAGCAGGTTCTCATGAGGAAGCCCAGGCTTCCGTTAAGATCCTCCTGCCTCATGCCTAGCTTTATTCTTGTATTCGTAAGAGTTTTCTTTACCCTGTAGAAGCCAATTCTGTTCTAATGTGTTTTTTTAAATATTAAGTTTAATTAAAGTTACTGTGTTTTCATTCTCCTGACTGGAGCCTGACTAAAAGAAGTATGATAATGGTATTACGGTTATGTTAAAAATGAAAGGAGGGGCTAGGAGGCTGAAGATATAGCTCAGTTATAAAGCACTTGCCTAGTATGCATGAGGCCTTGGGTTCAATCCCTAGCACTGAAGAAGGAAACAAAAGGCTTTTTAGAGATACATATTGAACTATGAATAAAGATTATGAAGCTTGAGATTTGCTTCATAAATAAAAGGTAAAGAAGCAACATGACTAGCCATGTTCAATATTGGCATTATTGAACCTGAGAATTTGGAATATAGTTCTTCATGCTATTTATATAGTTGTCAAACTCTGCATAATAATTTTTTTTTAGTGGTAGTGAGGTAAGTCAAATTGTTTCTCCCCTATAAGTCAGTTCTCTCTTGAAGCTGTCATTTTGCATGGATTTCTTTGGGCTTATCATGCTTGAAGTATGCACAGCTTCTTTTATGTATAGGTTTATAATTTTGCCAAATTTGGGTCATTTTCTTTTTTGTTACTAATTTTAAGTTATTATTCCTTTTAACACTTTTCAGTGATTCCTTATTTCTTCTCCTCTCTTGGGACTCAGATGACAAAAACATTAAATATCTTATAGTTTCACAGGTCATTGAGGCTCTGTTCTCTCTCTTTCAGTCTATTTTCTCTTTATTGCTCAAATTAGGTGATTTCTTCAAGTTCTTGGACTCATTCTCCTCCATTCTACTTTTGAACTCAACCATTGACATTTGTACTTCAGTTACTGTATTTTTCATTTCCAAAATTTCCATTTGGTCCTTCTTTACATTTTGTTTCTTTGCTAAGATTTCCCTTTTGTTGTAAGTTTCAATCAAGTTTATAATTGCTGTTTGGAATAATGACCACTTTAACTCTTTTCAGATAATTTTAACATCTGTCACCTCAGTGTTCGTGCCTCTTATTTTTTCTTATTCTAGTTGAGGTTTTCTGGTTCTTAATGTAAGTGATTTTAGAATAAAACAAGTACTTGAGTGTTATGAGACTTTCTTGAAATTTCTATTTGAGCAAGCTTTCTGTGGCACTGTTGTAACAGGGGGAGCAAATGCCATCTGGTTACCATCAAGAAGGAATGGAAATCTACATTTCACATTCTCCTTCTAGTTGACCCTTGGGTAAGAAGGGCTTGTCATTACTGTTGGGTGTCAGAGTTCAGACCCACCATGAGGCTTCTGCTGACACAATGGGGGTAGGAGCTCTTTATTACTCTAGATAGGTGTAGAGCTTAGGCTCTTATCAATGTCTCTACTAATACAACCCTGGTTGGTGGAAGGTGGTCAAGGGTGTCTCCTTACCAGTTCCCAGTCTCCACACACACCATGTGGAACAAGACTTTTTGCCATCCAGCATAGATGAAAGTCCTAGCTACTCACTAGCAGGGGATATAGGGACAATTTATTACAATCTAATGAGTATGGAAATCAAAGCTTCTTTCTTGTCCCTTCCTAGCAGAAATAGTAACGGGATTGCAATTTTTGGTGTTGACTGACATAGTTACTGTCCAAAAGTTTTTCTGTCATTCTAGGCTACCTCTTTCCTGGCCCTTTGGCTAGCACAGTAGGTTGAATAGTGGTATCTAAAAAGATGGGCTCATATCTCAATTCCCAGAACCTGTGAATACTACCTTAAAGGGCAAAATGTGTTAAGGGATTTGAGAGGAGCATCTCATCCTGGATTATTCAGATCTAAACCCAATGACAAATATCCTGATAAAAGACACACAGAGGCTGAAGCAAGAGGCTTTTGAGATTGAGACTAGCCTCAATCTCAACAACAAAACAAAAAGAGACACTCAGGAATATTTGATAGGAGCAGTATAACAATAGAGGCACAGAAAGCCAACCTCTTATGGTAACTTATTACAGCAAACTAGGATGCTAGTAGATTGTGGTATTAATAAGTGGGGTGATAGCCAGGCATGGTGGTTAAAGCCTATAATCCTAGCTACTCGGGAGGCAGAAATCAGGAGGATTGTGATTCTACAACAGATAGCAAGCCCACCATCTCAACCAAGAAAAGGCTGGGTGTGATGGTGTGTGCTTGTCATCTCAACTACACAGGAAGCATAAATAGGAGGATTGTGGTCCAGGCTGGCTGGGACATAAACGTGAGACCCTATTCAAAAAAATAACTAAAGCAAAAAAGGCTGACTGCTTGGCTTAAGTGGCAGAGCAGGAGCATAGCAAGAGAAAGGCCCTGAGTTCAACCTCAGTACCACCAAAAACATAAAGTGGGATGCTACTGTAACAAAAACTAAAAATGTCACAGTTGCTTTGGATTTAGATAATGAGTATTACAAAGGATGAGAGAGTATTAAGGTGCATAAGAGAAAAGGCCTAGACTGCCATGAACAAAAATATGGATGTTAAAAATTGCTGGTGAAGGCTCACAAGGAAGTTAGAAGCATGGTAGAACAAGCATCCATCACCTTAGAATATACATATTTGTCATGAACAGAATAATTATAGACATACAAATGCTAAAGTCATTACTGGCTGGCCTCAGAAAAAAATCAGAAACAGTACTGGAAATTGAAGGAAAGGTTATCCTTGTTATTTAGTGGCAGAAAATTTATCTGAACTGTGTTTCACAGTTGTGTGAAAAGCAGAACTTGTAAGCAGTGCATTTGGTTATTTACCCCAGTTTTTCAAGCAAAACATGACAATGCAGCCTGATTTCTCCTTGCAGCTTATGATAAAATACAAGAAGGTTGATATAAATTGAGGAATTCTTAAGCAAAACAAAACAAAACAAAAAACAGCACTTGATGATCTGGAAGACTGTTGGCCTGTCAGATTGCAAAGGATGCTAAAATTAAAAAGATTCACTTTCTGGGAAAGCATGCCCTCAAGAGGAAGTCAAGGGTGTGCTGGACAACCTTTCATTGAAGAGATTAGGCACGTGACTCACAGGCCCACTCAACCATTTGACTTCAAATCTGGAAAAGACATGATGCTGTTCTAGAAAATATGTGGAGGATATTTTGTCTGATGCATGGAACCCTGTGGCATACATAGTAGATAGACCTACAACAATTTTGAGAATGTTATGTCAGCAGAAACCAGCTTAGAGTGAAAGGGACAGAGACAAAATGAAAGGCATAAAGGCTACTGAAATTCTAAAATTCAGTTCTTCTATGATTCCCAACTGCCTATAAAATAAATCCACAGCCCACTTAGCACAGCATTCACTTCCCTCCAATCTGACCTCATCCCAGTCTTTCTCGTCTTATTTCCCATGGAGTTCCTTACCAGGAACTAAAAACCTTACCAGGGTTTCTAAAAACAAGTTTTCTAAGAAACTCTAGATCTTTTGGATAATAATAAATGTTAAATATACATATTGGAAGAGGAGTTCTATGGTCAAATGACATTGGTCAACAGTGGATTTATATAAAGTTAAGCCAGTTTCTTGTAATTTTTTTTTTGTGGCACTGAGATTTGAACTCAGGGTCTCATGCTTGCTAGGCAGGTGCTTTATCACTTGAGCCACTCCACCAGTAGCCAGTTTCTTTATTGTAATACTTCTTAGATATGTTACAAGTATACAACGTGAATCTCTAAGAAGCAATAAAAGCATGAAGCATTTCCTAAACTTACTTGATTAGGGACTGCTTAATACAATCTCCATGGCAGTAACTTGGTAAAATTCCTTTGCTACAGCTTTCTTCTGTAACCAAATGCACCTATTTGTGACCATCTGAACTCATTTTCTTTTCTTGCTTATAAATATGCATATATATTAAAAGGTTTTATAAAATACTGAAGCAGTCATACTGTACTACTTACTATTCAGACACCATTCAATTTTACAAAATTTTCCATTATGTTGGAAACCCAAAATATGTGGAACCCAAAATAAGTATTTGAGTCATGTCACACAATATAGAAACTATTTGTAAAATAAGCCGATTTAATAATACTGCTAGCTGATGTGAGAGGCAGGAACACCCCATATCCCACCGCCACACATATCTGACAGGGACTGAGGGGTAGGCACAGTGGTCAGAAGGCTAGTAGTTGAAGACACTTTTCTTCTTCTCTATGACAACTGACTCTCAGGTAATCTTTGGGACTTAAAAGAAGGCAGTTGCACCTCCATCCTGGCCCTAGTGAGTCACTCTGTGGCTGAAAGAACCACAGACAGTGGGGAGCCTGGCATCAATAAAATTTAGCTAAAGGTCATTTGCCAAATGACCACCAGCATGGTAAGTAAAAATAAAATTTAGCAGCAGTGAAATGAGCCAGGCTAAACCTATGATTAAAATGTCTATTTAAGAGAAGCTGGATCTAGATGAAACCCTAGCTATAAGATGAGATAGAAAAGGCAGATAAGAGTCTCTCTGGAGGCCAGGCGGGGTCATGAGAGGACAGGTTGGCAGCAAGTGCTGCTCAGACTTTGTCCTGAAACATTCGAGTTAGACATTTGTCCAGTGGTCTAAGTGGCAAACCATACTCTGAATACTTTTTTCACAGCAGAGAAAGAAGCTTCTGAGGCTCTGTTTCCCTGAAGACTCGTGACTGGCACAGGCATCTCCTGAGCCACTGAGGCAGAGGACCTCCAGAGTACAAACGAGGGCCAACATTGCCTACTGAGGGCAACACCTTTGGTCCAGGGCGAGTATCACAGCTACTGGGAAAGTGAGCTCTCCATCTAGGTGCTGGAGACTGCTGAGACACCATCACTGCTGGAACCACTGTGGGAGAGCCAATGGCAAGGTGAGGGAGGCCCCCACTCAGGAGGCCTGCTCCAAGCCACCCTGTTCTTCATCCTCCATCTGTAACCAGCTCCAGTCCAGAGTCTGAAAGTAACAGGCACATTAAATGCTTAGCAGCCACCATACATGTCAGGACATCTTTTCTCTTCAGGAGGCAACCAGCACAATTTAAAAGTCAGTTTAAACCCTTTTATTAATATCAGTCCTGTTATTACAGAGCACCCTGAACCACCAGGATATTATTTTTTGGTCTGTCTCAGAATCCCTGGAATTCTGTAAATTAGGGAAACCAGAAAATCAATTTAGTACCACTTGTAGTTCACAGCAATAGTTAAATGCGGTATCAATAGATAATCTTGGCTATCAATTTTTAACTTCACCAGAAATGGCCTGATGAAACTTCCTTTTCCTCTGGCAGAAGTATGAGTAAACAGTGAGATGATCAAAATAGTACAGGGGGTGAAGAGCAGCAAAAGATCTGGAAAAGGACACTTGAATGGATGAGAGATGATTTCAACTGGCAGCTGTGCCCTCTCTGATTCTTCCCAAAACTTTGAAGTCAGGGGGAAGTCAGCAGTGATTGTACACAGGAAAAGGCTATTTGAACATCTAAGGGACTAATTTAGGATCCTTTCAGCAATTTAAGTTTTGTCTCAATGTACCTGTGTCTTGGCTGGTTTTTCTTCAGGTCAGCTTCCCTGTAACTAGTGCTGCCTAATGCTAATCTCCGAGTCCCTGAAGTAGAGGCCCTTGACAGGTTCCTGGGCTGTCACCAGCCTAGCACAGGGCCCAACACACACAGGTGCTCAGCAATGATACCCAAAGTGCAGGTAGGGAAGTGCCTGCTGGGAATACTGCTGCCTCCTTGTCAGGATTAAGTCTCATAGGATTAAAAAAGATAATGTACATACTTATACTTGTAAAGCACTTTAACAATTATTTTGAATAACTAAAAATGTACTAGAAAACCATAAGATCCCCTGAGACCAAGCCTAATGCCAGTTTGCTTTTCCATTTTCTTTTTTCTTTTACTGAAGAAAGTAAGGGCATAGAATAGTTGGGAGTCCCTGAAGGTTGTTACCATAAAACTCTGGTCCTGCTCCTTCACAGTGTCTTGCATGGCATTTTCTAGCTGGATGCAGAGAGTATGTGCTTCAGCCACCAGTTCTTCACTAAAGACAATGATCAAGTCATTAGAAAAAGGCTGGTAATATCTTACCAGATTTAACACTATCGTTTTAAACTATGTTAAAGAGCTTCTGATTCTATCTTTAAAATGAAGTAACAATTATTTTGATCCCGAATGTCTTAAAGCACCAGGTCACTGACTAGTGATTTCACTCATCTGGTTAAGTACTTTTCAAAGATGCTTAAATTCAGTCAAGAACTTTATTGATCAAAATATGAAACAACAAATAAATCTGTTTAATGAAAAAGCAAAAGACCTCTTTTTGCCTTATTAGATAACTGAGCTTAATTCTCTCCAAACTGCCAAAATTTAAAGATGTTTCTTGTCACCTGTTTTCCAATTTTATTTGTATTTTTATTTCTTTTGTGGTGATGCTGGGGATAGAACCCAGGGCCTTGCACATGCTAAGCAAGCATTTTCCTACTGAGCTATACCCCAACCCCCAAATTTCAAAATGGAAAGGAAAAAAAAAAGTGGAGTTGGAGCCAGCAGTGGGACCTTGCCTGTGTGAGTCGGCATCTGACCTTGTGAGAAAGCTCCAAGGAACTGAGGCAAAAGTCTCAGACCAGACCTTGCCTGTGTAAGTTGGTATCTGGCCTTGTGAGAAAGCCAGACAAGCAGAAAAACAGTATTCAAGGTTCCCAGATGGCTTCGTGTCCTTCAGATGTAAATAAGAAAGCTATGCTGACTGTGTGCTTCTCCTGCTTCTCTGTTCCCATTTTAAAGGAGACATAACAAAGAGTTAATTTTAACTGCACTTCCTTGTACTAATGTAACCTTGACATATAATACTTGGCATGCTTTTTCTGACCAAATGCTCTCTGTGAAAAAGGAGTTTATAAAAAGCAATGTATACTTCATTAAAGTGGCTATTGAGCAGGACTCAGTAGTCCCCTCATCTTTTTACAACTTTGGTCACCCAGGTTCCACCAGTAAACAGCGTTACCGTGGACCAAGCAATATACCAGGTTTCCACAGTTGCTTCTGATCTGCTGAAATGCCAAGTTCTGACAACATACTCCATCTAAATCAATCTCTCTCCTGTTTCCTATCACAAGCTACTGTGGATAGGACCCAAACAAATCACGTGTCCTTTCCCACCCACATGACATGGAGAGACAAGAGGTCCCCTGCACTTCCAGGATGGCTTTTCTGGGAGTATATCACGAGGAAAAATGCCAAGGATGGACAAAAGTGTCCTGGGACTTCCCTCACCCTCAAAACATGACATTCTGAGTGGGAAAGAACCCAGAGCATACTTTTGTTAAAGGTCCTACCTACAGGCTCCTAGCTAGGCTAAAAGTACAATGCCAGCTCCAGAGGGCAATGACAGAGGCACATGACCTGGTTATAATCCTCCCGGAGCTCACAAGAGGTGGGAGAGATAATTAAGACTCCAAAGTCATGTATGATGAAATGCCAAAATAGGCATTCATCAAGAACAGGATTTTTCTAGTCCAGGTTTGGTGGTGCACACCTATAATCCCAGCTACTCAGGAGGCATAAGTAGGAGGTTCATGGTATGAGGCTGGCCCAGGACAAAACTGAGACCCTATCTGAAAAATAACTAAAGCAAAAAAGGGCTAGAGACATGGCTCAAGTGGTAGAGCACCTGCCTAGCAAGTGGGAGGCCAAGCTCAAACCCTAGTACCACACAGACAAAAAAAGGGATTTTTTAAAACATCTTTACTGTGATATAATTTTCATACTGTAAAGTTTGCCTATTCAAAGTGTATAATTTCACAGCTTTAGCACATGTGTATTCGCAGAGCACATGTGATTGTACAGAGTTGTACAATCAAAAAAAAAAAAAACTAAACTAGTTTTTGAATATTTGTATCACCCTGAAAGGAAACCATGCAGCATTATCAGTTAGCTCCACCCCCTCCCCACTGAACTTAGGCCATCATCAGTCTTTTTTTTACACCTAGAGATCTGCAGATAGAGATTACTGTTAACCATCTCCAGTGCTGAGGACCAGCATACAGAAAGTGCTGAATAAATGCCAGTGGAACTGAACTTGAACTAACTGAAAGAGACTCTGGGAAGGGAGCAATTAGTGAGTGTGCAGATGATCAAGACTGTGCAGGGGAAAGCAGAAGGAAGGGGTGTGCCCTGTGGGTAGGGAGACCATGGTGGTGTAGGACATCCAAGTAACAAACTCTCTGTTCAGTGACAGCTAAGGTTCTCACACCTCAGTATGCAGCAATGCCAGCAAGAGGACTGCTGGGTGCTACCCTATTTACAGCTTTGGTGGGACCTAAAAACCTGCATTTCTGCTGCTGTTGCTGGTCAGGGTAATACTTTAAAAGGTGAACGAGTGCAAGTGGTTTGTAAGGGACAGTAGATTGGCCCAAGAACCACACTGAGGTGGTTACAAATGCCTGAAAAAGTTCAGACTTTATCTAGAGTGGAGCAAGAAGCTATTGTTATTTACTGAGCAATCAACTACTTGGTCAGAATGGTATAGTGTGAGAACTAACGGAGGGGCAACAGTAACAGACAGGAAATAGGAGGCCTTGCTAAGGAAGGGCTGAAGTGTCTGTCAGTACCTTTGCCACAGTGGCTCAGGAAAGAGGAGGGAAAAAAAGGGATGAATGGGAGATGAAAAGAGAGCCTGGAAGAAGAAACAGTAACTTGGTAACTCCAAGTAGTGGGCAGGAGTGGGCAGGGGGGAGGAGGCCAGGAACTCACATATAAGGAAAAAAAGGGAAGAGGGTTTTGATAAACATGGTGATTAGTAATCCAACCCTCAGACAAGGAAACTTGTTAGATAGCAAATCACAAGGGACTATGGGAGCAGAATATACATCACTTTTGTGTCCACAGGGCCTGGCATATATAACAAAAAGACGCAGGTACAAAATCCACAGACAGATGTTGACTTGTGATAAGCACTCATTTTCATCTCATATTCTCCATAAGCACCCTTGACACTTGGCATTGTCACTAACTTACCTTTTCTTTGCTGACTCAGGTAAGCTATTACAGGCAGTAGAAGGCTGGGATATTAGTTGACCAGGGTGACTGAGTCGAGAAGCATTCATGCTATCTGGACTTCCACTGACAGGACCACGGACCTTGCTCTATATGACAAAACCAGAAAGAAAATCAAAAAATTTTGGAGCTGAGTGATGAAATAAATTTTGCATTCACACCACAGTATTTTCTCATAAGATATTGATCATAAGGTACCACAGCTCTTCCTAGAAACTACCGGTCCTATCTCTGTCTGTGACAACAGCTGGGGACTGTGCATTCAGCCTCAAGAGTGCTTCTGTATCAAAAGGTCTGCTTTTTCAGAAAAGATTCTAAATATGGGGAGACCTATTTGTAGGCATTCTTTTCATTCATTTGATTCTTTAGCTTACTCTTACAAGCAAAGAAAAGCAAGGGGCTTTTACCCTTTTCCAGGTAGGAGACTGAGACACACGAAGGGCTTAGGAGATTGAATTGCACCATCTGCAGTATAACTGAGAAGAAAATAGAGATGTTTGGATTCACTGGGATGTTGTGGCCAGTCTACCTCCAAGCCCAGAGGGTCAGCCAATGTTTCTGTTAGCTATTTTCATCTCCTTGTACTTGCTGCCCATGGACATAACTTGTGTTAAAATTCTCAGCACCTCTGGCCACCTCTCCTGTTGACCTCTTGCCACCCTTCATCTGTGTCCCTCATATACCCCTCTCTGTAGCTGGCAGTTCTAAAACCCATTAGCTCTCAGGCTGGGGATCCTCCAGGCTCCTTTTCTGGCCCTCTGGCTTGATATCAAGGTCCATCCAACCTTTCCAACAGGTCTGCTTTGCCCTGTTCCTCCCCAATCTGCAGTGCCTTCTGCTGATCATCACGCACAGAGACCTGCCACTCACTGCCTCCATTTCTGGTTGGCCTGTGAGGATGGCAGGTTATTCATTCCTGTTGACAGGCTCCCAACCTTCCCCATCAGGTCCCATGCACCACAGGGGCTACTCAACTTCCACCCCCACAGCATGCACTCCTGGCTGTCAGTGCTCAGATCTGCCAAAGTGTCACATCCTATCTCCAGCTGCCCACCACAGTGATTTCCCTAAAACTTGAATGAGATGGTATCGTTTCCATACTTGAGTTCCTTTTATGTGAAGAGGAAGAACAAATCCTTCAATGTTTCCTCTTATGCTATGAAAATAAAGGATGGCTTGCATGAGATAGCCCTGGCTCTCTCCAGATTCCCTTCAGTGACACCCTCCTGCCACCACTCCCACTCAGACCACCCATGCTCTTTCTGGCCTCCAGGGACTGGAGAGTGCACTGCCTTTGTCTTGGAATGTCCTCATTACCACACAACCCTGTCTAACTCCTCATTCTTCAGAGCCTTTCTGATCACTCCTTCAAGGCAGAAACTGGCATTCCTCCCCTGCATTTGCACTACCACCATGCTTGCTTATGGCCTCTCTAAGGCACTTCCTGCTCCAGACTTTCTCCTCACATCCTTGTCCATGGCCCTTGGCAGATCATGAACTTCTTTGGCAGGTGCCATGTTCAGATTTTCACACTGCTAGGCATACAGTTAGCACTCAATGAATGCAGGTGACAGATCAGGCCATCACCTGTACACACCTCAACTTCTCTCTCCTTGGATCTTCCAGCTTGTCATCTCCTCTTTTTCTCCTTTCTTATAGGAGGAAATGTACCACCCCAGACAAACCAATGCTAATGATCCTGACTCTCCTCAGTTCTCAGGACCCTGCCTGTCAGCTCTTCCCTCTCCCTGATGCTGTGACTCTCCTGTTACACCATCTCCTTCTTGCTTGGCCTACAGACATGCTTTGATCCCCAGGATCTTTACAAAGCACCATCTTTGCATCCTGCTTCCACCATAAGCCACTATCTTCCCACCCTCCTTCCCTTTGTTTTTGTTTTTTAATAGACATAGAGTCTGGCTATGTAGCCTAGGCTGGTCTAGAACTTGTGATCCTTCTGAGTGCTTTACACCTGGATTTTTAAAACTTCTGGCCTCTGGAGCTCTGAGAGAATAATTTCTCTTATTTGGAGCCACTCAGTTTGTGGTAACTGCAAACATATGGATAAACAAAACACCTGGTATGAGCCCTGGACAAGTCAGGTGGAACCTGACTGTTCCACCTAGCCCTCCCTCCCTGCCCACTCCACATCAGAGAAGTGACGGTGGAGCAGCAGCTGAGGGGCCTGCAGCCCCCGCTCCACACACACCTCCCACACCCTGTAGGATGAAGGCTCACTCACACATGCAATCTTCAGGAGGTTCCAAAGCTCCTTCTGCCGCTTCTCCTGAAGACGGGCGACAGTCTTTTCATCCTCATTCATTAGACTCACCACCTCTTCCACCTTGGGCAACAATTCCAATGCCTTCTGCTTGCAAACCACAGTTTTACTGTGAAAAGCAAATGTGACAAACTCCAGTGTGCCTTGGGCCAGTGGGAGCACAGTACTGCTGACTGATATGGATACAATTAGCAGCAGTGGATTATGTTTCTTTGTGTGGTTGAAAAAATCAGAGAACAGTGAGGGAAAGAAGCCCCGCCCAGGGTGCTGCTTCACATCCTGTCTAGAGCAGGAAAGAAGACTCTTACCTGAGCTGTGTGTAAATCACTCGCACTTTCTTCTCGAAGCCTTGAATTGCCTGAAGTAGCAGTCGTACCATTTCCTGACTGTCACCATCTGTTCGTTGGTCTGGAGAGAAGAGTGACACAGTGTTCCAGATAACTGGCAGAGAATACCAGTGCCTCAGAAAGTAGTCAAAACAAAGGCCCAAGGCAGCTGGATCCACCTACCTCTTGGCTTTTCCCTTAGTCTCCTGTAAAGTTCCCTTGCTTGCTCCTCTCTGAAACATACAAGAAGCTTTACTTAGATTAAGTTTCAAACAGGCACCACTTAAATGCTAGTCTGTTTTTTTTGTTTTGTTTTTGTCTTTTTCAGCACAGGGATTTAGACTCAGGGCCTTACACCTGATAGTCAGGTACTGTACCACTTAAGCCATGCCCCCAGCCCTTTTTGCTTTAGTTATTTTTAGGCAGGGTCTAGAGTTTCCCATTTTTACCTGGGGCTGGCCTCAGACCACATCCTCCTACCTATGGCCACCCACATAGCTGGGATGACAGATGCATACCACTAAACCCAGTTTATTGGTTGAGATATGAGGTCTAACTTTTGGTCAGAGCTGGCCTCTAACCACAATCTTCCAAGCTCTGTCTCCTGAATAGCTGGGAAAGAAGTGTGAGTTACCATGCCAGACCTTGGTCTGCTAATTTTTGCCAGCTGAATCGCTGACTTCTAGACAGAAGACTGGTGAGATACATGTCCTTCTTAGTGGGAGAAGGCTATTATTTCTGGTGATGTGTACAGTAAGTGAATGATTGCCCTCATTATCAAAACTCAAAACACTTCAATGTTTAATAAGAGCAAGTCTTTAGTAAATGAGTATCTGTTCCATCCTTCTGAATTCCACCCCTGCTTAGCTTCTACAGTAGTGATTCAAGGTGCCATCCTAAAAAAACTTAAGCCCGAGGGCATATGCAAACTGCTGCCCTTCCTCTATCACAGGTGAGACTAGCAACATTCTCTAAAGACAACTCTCCTTTGAAAACTAGAGGAGAATGACAAGATAAAGAATTAGAGACAGCCAGGCATGGTGGCACACACCTGTATTCCCAGCAATCAGAAGGCAGGAAGATTTCAAATTCAAGGTTAGTCTGAGCTACATAGAGAGACACTGTCCCAAAAAAAAAAAAAAAAAAAAAAAAAAAGAAGAAGAATTAGGGAACACTGCAGAGCCCAAAATAACATGGTCCTCAGTAAACAGATGCCCTTGCTTGCTTCCCTCCTGTCCATACCCAGGGCTGTATGTTACTTCTCCAGGGAGGATGAGTCTGCACTGACACTTCAACCTCTGCTAGAGCCAATACTAAGTACATCACAAAGATTCAAATGAATAGTGTCAGATCCAAACTCCTAGACTTGTCAGGTTCCTCCCTCTCTGTTTTACCTCCTGCTCTTCCAGCCACCCCTTGACTAGGATGAGCAGTGATATCTGATACAATAGTTAAGGTGCAGATCTAGACACTAGGGCACAGTGAGATGGCTAATCAGGGACATGCACTGCAGGAGGATAGTCTCACAGGGCCTAATGAACCAATCTGAACACACACCCAGAAACTTCACAGGGTGCTGGTGTACTGGGGGCAGAGTGCAGCCCCTCCAGGTGGTACTCACAGGTCGTCCAGCGTGCCCCCCTGTTTCCGGCCCATCGGGCTCCTCTGCAAGTCCACGATGTCAGTCTGCAGCGCCATCATCCGTTCCACCAGATGCTTCACATCATTCTCCTAATGAAAAAGCTGTGCTAATGTCAACTGAGGTAAGAAGAGCATTCTGAGATGCAAGACATGCCAGGAGCCTGCAGGGGACATCCTCTGAACTCACTGAGGACTCTTGATTGGCTGGCTAGAGGGAATATCAACTCTGGAGTCAGAACGACCCAAATTTGAATCTCACACCTACCACTTTCTAGCTGTGAGATTCTTGGACAGTTCCTTAACTGTGAGCTACAGTTTCCTCTTCCATGACATAAGCTTAAAGTAGAGCTACTGGGGGTTAAATAGGACAGAATATGTACAGTATCTGGCACAGAGAAGATGTCCAATGCACATTACTCTGACTTCTCTTAATTTGTCCACCCCAATACCACCTGTATGGAGAGGCCTGGACCCCTCTCTATTTCAGATATGACATGTGAGCGTCATGCTGGGGAGGAGTGTCATACATAATCTTATGGTATGTTTACTTTCAAGCATGCAAAATCCCATCAGGACTCATTCATGGAGATAGACATTAAGTCACAGTGGTGAAGGTCCACACCGGAGTACACAAGGGATGATGGTGCAAAAAGCCTTGGAACCTGGGTCTTGGATTTTTGCAATGTTCACTGAGTCAAACTGACTTCCTTTACATCTAGGTTTTTCCCCAAGGGCATTTGACATTTTGTTCCTTCCTTAAATCTGGACTATCTCTGTCCATGTGTTTACCTCTCAAGTCTGGCCACAGTAGGGATCCCTGTACTTGCTACTCTCAGTTTCTTCCCAGCAAGTCTTGTTAAGATCAAAGGATGCAGTGAGGAAAACTTGAATTTTGACAAAGATATACCCAGTATTTGATAAACAGTGAAAAATGGCAGAACAAAGCCTCACCCACTCCACAAGTACAGAACCCTAAATTGAGTCTCCTACCCGCCCACACAGTTCCACAGCCTGTTCCATTTCCCTCCAGGCCAGCAGGAGTTTATCTGATGCTAGAAAAAAAAAAATGGGAAGAAAAGAAGAATCAGAAACACTACAAAACCAAAACAGGAAGAAGCAATTATAAGGGGTAGGAGTCTCTGTAACGTCATTACAGAATACACTTACTGATCCCAAACTCGGTTTGCTCACTGTACTTCTCTAGGTCAATCTGGATGCTGGTTTTAAAGAAGTCCAACTTGGCCTTGAGCTGCTGAGCCATGGAGGCCATGGAGTTCTTCATCTTAGAAAGGCAGCTGTTATTTCGGAGGAGATTCATCCTGCAGGGACCACAAGAAACAGAACCTTGGAGCACCTTTGGGATCCAAATACCATTTCCTGTACAATAACAAAACTCCTTCCAACACCAAGGGAGTTCCCTACTATGCTAAAAATCACCACTATTATTTAAAGTGCCACTTATAACCATAAGGGCAATTTCCTAGCCTTCGCAATACATAAGGTCCTGTGCCCAAAATGGAATTAGGGCTAATAATCCAAGCTCCTCATAACTGGGGAAATCATCAGCAAGTTGCAACCCAAACTGCAAAAAGTTTCTCCAAGTTCCAAATTCTGGGCATAGCTGAGCCATCCCAACCCTAAAGTTTCCACTCCTGCTCCATGTCCTAACCACACTCACCTCATCAGGTCAAAAAGGGTCTCCCTCCCTTCAGCCAGGCCACCAACACTTCCCGCCCATCCAAAACCAGTGTCTCCTCTCATCTCCAGCCCCAGCAACTTCTGGGCCCCTGCCTCAGCTGTCTCCCTAGAGCCAAAGCCACCAAGCACTTTTAAATTAAATAAAAACTGCCTGGCACAGTACATGGCAGCTCGCTGTCCCTGCTGCAGTCGGTTGCAGTCCTCCTTCAGGGTTTGGATGCTGTGCCAGACCTGGCCCCACACTTTCCTCAGCTGGAAGAAAGAGAGGTTCCTCTTGGGCTCCTGAACTGGAAACAGAGATGCGCAACTGTCAGAAAATAACTCTCCAACAAGGAACCACATCCTGCCTTGCAACATCACTTTAAAAAAAATTATATAACTACTACACTGCTACCTAACTTTTTGGATATTATGCCTGGTTATTATCTTACACATTTTGTATGCCCCGTTGACAGATAAGGATGTGTGAGATGGTCAGTAAATGGCTATAAATTTGAAAAAATATTATATGAACCATTTGGGGACATATTCACATGTACACAGGCCCACATGTTTTTAATAGAAACTCACATTCACAACAATTAGGTTTGTATGAAAGTTTATAAAAATGAGGTGTCAGCCAGTAGCCCTGAAGATGGTGAAGTAAGCAAGAAGCCTGGGGTCTCTGAGACCTTGGGCACTTGAGCTGTTTATTCTAAGTAAGAATAAGTGTACAGGAGGAGACAGGAGTGGGAGATGCATTAAAATGTCCATCAGTGCCACCAAAAAAAAATTTCCATCAAGGAGGAGCAAGATGGCAGATCAGAAGCTTCCTCCATATGACTCCATGAATGAGAGTCAGGGTAACGAAGGGGAGATTACATTTATATTCGAGAGAGAGGAAGAGAATCAGGAATCATGAAAGAGGTGACAAGACAGCTAAAAAACACAGAGAAACAGAAAGGCTATGTAGAGAAAAGTAGGAAATAGTCCACAGCTCTGATCTTACCTCCCCAGAAAGAAGGGGAAGCTGAAGCCACAACCACAAAGTAAGCACAGCAAACCTGGTGACAATAGACTGCAGACCTAGCTGCAGGGTAAGTCCACAGTTCTCACAAGCCTTAAATCCAATGTGGAGCTTTGGTGTGACAGGGACTGCTCATGTGTGTGAGACAATAAAAAAGAGTAAGAAAGTATGAGAACATACAAGACCTTTGAGACATCATTAAAAGACCATTGGCATAGAAGAAGAGGTACAAGCTAAAGGCCCAGAAAACATAGTCAGTAAAATGATAGCAGAAAATTTCCCAAATCTTGGCCATCCAAGTACAGGAGGCTTTTAGAACACCAAATAGACAAGACCAGAAAAGAACCTCTCCATCCAATATTAATTGTTAAGACATTAAGTATATACAACAAGGAAAGAATCTTGAAAGTTGCCAGAGAGAAGCACCAAGCTACATATAAAGACAAACTTACTAGACTAACAGCAGATTTCTCAACAGAAAGTCTAAAAGCAAGGAAGGTATGGAATGATGTACTTCAAGCCCTGAAAGGAAATAACTTTCAACCTAAATTACTGAATCCAGCAAAGATATCATTCATAAGTGAAGGAGAAATAAAAACCTTCCATAATAAATAAAAACTAAAGGAACTCATGACCACTAAGGCACCACTGCAAAAGATACTTAAAGGACTCCTACACACGAAAAGAAAGATAAACACAACCATGAAAATACAGAAAGAATAAGTCCCACTAGATGAGTAGATAGGCAATTAAGTATTAGTTAAGGATCAAACACTACAAAAACAACAAAATGACAGGAATTAGTACATACCTCTCAATAATAATTCTAAATTTTTTTCTTTTATTGATTTATTAGCATATTACAGTTGTACCAGGGTATACTGTGACATTTACAAAAGTGCTTACAATATATTTAAGTTAGATTCAGCCCCTCCATCTTTCTCTCTTATCACATCTGCCCCCCTTAGAACAGTTTCAACAGGTCTCATTGTTACAGTTTTAATTCTATTTTTTTTGTGGTACTGGATTTGAACTCAGGGCCTACACATTGAGCCATTCCACCAGCCCTTTTTCTGTGAAGGGTTTTTTCTTTCTTTTTTTTTTAATTTACTTCTTTTTTATTATTCATATGTGTATACAATGCTTGGGTCATTTCTCCCCCCTGCCCCCACCCCCTCCCTTACCACCCACCCCCTCGATACCCAGCAGAAACTATTTTGCCCTTATCTCTAATTTTGTTGAAGAGAGAGTATAAGCAACAATAAGAAGGAACAAGTGTTTTTGCTAGTTGAGATAAGGATAGCTATACAGGGAGTTGACTCACATTAATTTCCTGTGCATGTGTGTTACCTGAAGGGTTTTTTCAAGATAGGGGCTCACAAACTATTTGTCCCGGCTAGCTTCAAACTGCAATCCCCCTGATCTCTGCCTCCTGAGTAAGCTAGGATTACAGGTATGGGTCACTGGCACCCAGCTTAAATTCTAAATATTAATGGGCTTGATTCTTTAATGAAAAGAGACAGATTGATGAATTGGATTAAAACTCAAGACTTGGGTTGGGGGTGTGGCTCAAGCAGTAGAGAGTCTGCCTTACAAGTGTAAGGCCCTGAGTTCCAGCCTCCATACTGCCAAAAACCAAACAAATCATAAGACCCAACCATTTGTTGCCTTCAAGAAACACATCTCACCAGCAAAGACAAACCCAGGCTTAAAGCAAAAGAACTGAAAAAGATATTCCAAGCAAATGAAATCCAAAAGCAAGCAGGATAGTTCTACTTATATCAGACAAAGCATGCATCAAACAAAATTAGTCAGAAGTGTCAAAGATGATCACTTCTTACTGATAAAGGCAACAATACATCAAGAGGATATAACAATTGTAAACATATACACACTGAATGTTGGCACACCAAATTTCATAAAACAAATGTTACAGAACAGAAAAGCAAAGATAAACCCAAACACAATAATAGTGGGGTACCTTTGGTACCCCACTATTATCAAAAAAAAGGTCATCCAGATCAAAAAAAAAAAATCAACTAGGGAACTTCAGAATTATTACATTATGGATCAAATGGACTTAGCAGACATCTACAGAATATTCCACCTAAGAACTGGAGAATACACATTCTTCTCAGCAGCCCATGGAACTTTCTTGAAAACAGATCGTATTTTAGGACATAAAGCACGTCTTAACAAACAAAAGAAAATTGAAATAACTTCTTTTGAATAAAACTATCAGAGCACAATAGAATAAAACTAGAAATCAACAGCAAGAGAAATTACAGAAAATATACAAACACCTGGAAACTGCTGAATGATCAGTTAGTCATCAAAGAAATAAGGAGGGAAATCAAAGAATTCCTAGAAACAAATGAAAATGAAAGCACAACAGTCCATAATACAGGTTACAGTGAAAGCAGTTCAAAGAGGGAAGGTTTTAGCTATGAGAACATATACTTTAAAAAAAAAAATCAGAGATATCTCAAATAAGATAATGATGCACCATGAGGTCTTAGAAAAAGAAGAACAAAGTAATCACAAAATCAGAAGAAAAGAAATAATAAAGATGGCAGTTCAGATTAATGAAATGGAAACTGAAAGAGTAACACAAGCATCTATGAAAGAAAGAGTCATTTCCCTGAAAGAACAAACAAGGTTGAAAAACTCTGAAACAACTAACCAAAAGAAAGACCCATATTAATAAAATTAGAGATGAAAACAGTGTTAGGATGTACTAGATAATAACAAATACCACTGAAACCCAGGAGAGGATCAATAGGAAATATTCTGAAAACTTACACTCCAACAAATTGGAAAATCTCAAAGAAATGAGTAAATTTTTCACTTTAGCCACACTCCAGCCCTTTTTGCTTTAGTTATTTTTCAGATAGGGTCTCTTGCTTTTTGCCTGGGGTCATCCACAGACTGCAATGCTCCTATCCCCTCCTCCCACATAGCTGGGATTATAGGCATGCACCACTACTCCTGGCTTGTGTGTGGTGTGGTGTGTGTGTGTGTGTGTGTGTGTGTGTGTGTGTGTGAGAGAGAGAGAGAGAGAGAGAGAGAGAGAGAGAGAGATTGGGTTAAACTCAGGATATCGTGCTTGCAAAGGAGGCACTCTAATGCTTTAGCCATACCTCCAGTTCCTTCTGCTCTGGTTATTTTAGAAATAAGATTTTGCCAACTACTTGCCAGTACTGGCCTCAAACCTCAATCTTCCTGATCTCAGACTCTAAGTAGCTAGGATTACAGGCATGAGCCACAGGTGCCCACTTCCATCTTAATTTTTGAGATATGGTGTCACTAACTTATTTTTTTTGTACAAGCTGGCTTCAAACTGTATTCTCCAATCTCTGCCTCCCACATAGCTGGGATTATAGTCATATACCATCAAACCTGGCCAAATTGGGTAAATTTCAAGACACATACATATGACCTACTAAAATTTAACTAACAGGGCTGGTGGAGTGCCTCAAGTGGTGGAGTGTCTGCCTAGCAAGTGTGAAGCACTGAGTTCAAACCTCAGTACCACCAATAAATAAATAAAAAACAAAGTTAAATTGAACTAAGAAAATACAAATAACTTAAACAGATCAATAATGAGCATGAGATTGAAGCAGTAAAGAAAAAAATCTCTTAACAAAGAAAAAACTCAGACTGGATAGATTCATTGCTGAATTCTACCAAACCTTCAAAGATGGAACACCAACGCTCCTCAAATGATTTCACAAAATACTTCCAAACTCATTCTATGAACCAACGTTATCCTGTTACCAAACACAGAAAGGACAGCAAAAAAGGAAAACTATAGGCTAGTGACTTTAATAAACATAGAAGCAAATATCCTTAATAAAATACTTGCAAACCAAATTCAACAACATATTAGAAAGATCATACAGTCAGGTGTACACCTATAATCCCAGCTGCTCAGGAGGTGGAAATTGGGAAGACTGCAGTTTGAAGCCAGCTGGGGCAAAAAGCTAGCAAGATGCAATCTCAAAACTAACCCAGGCATGGTGGTGTCTCTAGCCCCAATTATGCAGGAGGCCATAGGAGTATTATAAAAGTCCAAGGCCAATCACAAGCAAAAACCTGGACTTTATCTGAAAAATAAAGCAAAAAAGATCTGGGGGCATGGTTTAAGTGGTTGAGCACCTGCCTAGCAAGCACAGGGCCCTGAGTTCAAACCCCCAGAACTGCCAAAAAATAAGATCATATATTACAATCAAGTTGGTGTTATGCCAGGATTGCAAGAATGGTTCAACATCTGCAAATCTATAAAATGTAATGCAGCATATAAATAGAAGCAAGGACAACAATCACATAATCATCCCAACAAAATCCAAAATCCCTTCCTAATAAAAACACTGAAGAAACGAGGAACAGAAGATTTATACCTCAACATATTAAAAGACATTACAGTCCTATAACCAACATTATACTGAATGGGGAAAAACTGAAAACTGAAAGCATTTCATACTATCCCTATCCTTTCTTTTTTTAATTCATATGTGCATACAATGTTTGGGTCATTTCTCTCCCCTTCCCCCCACTCTCTCTAACCCTATCCTTAATCAACATGGTGCTTGAACTCTCAGAGTAATAAGACAAGCAAAAGCATCAAAAAGATACAAATAGGAAAGGAAGAAGTCAAACTATCCTTATTTGCAGATGAAATGATCCTATGCTTAGTAGACCCTAAAGAGTCCACTGGAAGACTTAGATCTGATATATGTATTTCAGCTAAGTAGCAGCAGAATACAAAAATCAATATATAAAAAACAGTAGCTTTTCTACACACGAACAACAAATTCATTGAAAAAGAAGTTAGTAAGGCAATTCCATTCACAATAATCTCAAGAGGGGGAGGGGAAACCCAGGCCTAAACTTAACCAAAGATGTTAAAGACCTCTACAATGGAAACTATGATACACGGAAGAAAGAAACTGTAGACTACCCTGGAAGAGGAAAGGCTTCCCATGTTCACAGATGGGTAGGATTAACATTGTGAAAATGGACATACTATCAAAAGTGAGATACAAATTCAATGCAATCTCCACCAAAATTCCAATGACATTCTCCACAAAAACAGAAAAAACAATCTAAACTTCGTATCGAAACACAAATGATCCCAAATAGTCAAAGCAATCCTAAGCAAAAAGAGCACTGCTGGAGGTATCACAACATCTGTCTACAACTATACTACAAAACCAAAGTAATGAAAACAGCATGGTATTGACAGAAAAACAGACCCGCAGACCAATGGAATGGAATAGAAGATTCAGAAATAAGCCCAAGCAGGTACTGCTATCTGATTCTTCACAAAGGTGCCAAAAACATACACTGGGGAAAAAAAGTCTCTTTAACAAGTAATGCTGGGAAAACTGAATATTCACAGTTAGAAGACTGAAACAATATCCCTCTCTCCCACTTTGTTCAAAAATCAACTCAAAATGGATCAAAGACCTTAACATAAGTGCTTAAACTTTGAAACTACTAGAAAAAACATAGAAGAAACATTTTAAAATATAGGCATACCCAAGGATTTTCTGATTAGGAGGACTCCAGAAGCTCAAGAAACAAGAGTTGACAAATGGGATTGTGTCAAATTAAAAGACTTCTACCTAGCAATAGAAACGATCAACAGAGTGAAGAGACAGTCTACAGAGTGGGAGAAAATCTTTTCTAGATAACAGGGGACTAATTTCCAGAATATGTAAAGAACTAAAAAAAAAAAAAAAACCCACCAAAATAACAAAAATCTGATCAATAAATAAGCAAATGAACTGAATAGATACTTTTCAAATGGCCAATAAATTCATGAGAAAATATTCAACATCCTTAGCCATCAAAGAAACGTAAATCAAAACGACACTGAGATTCCACCACCACACACCAAACAGAACAGCTATCACAAAGAAAACAACAAATTCTGGCAAGGAATGGGGAGAGGGGGTGAAGAGAACAATCCTAATTCATGCTTAATGGGAACGTAAAGTAGTCTAGAAATCAGTCTAGCCATTATGGTTATCAGTATGGAGGTTCCCCCCCAAAATTAAAAATAGATAGCAAGGTATGATGGCAAATGCCTATAATCCCAGTTACTCTAAAAGTATAGATAAGATTGTGATTTGAGGCCTATCCATACAGGAAAAAAAAAAAAAAAACATTAGTGAAATCCTATCTCAAAAACAACTAGGTGTGCTGGTATGTGCCTGTAATTTCAACTACTTGGGAGGCAGAGGCTGGAGGATTACGATCCAGATCAGGATTGACACTGGCCTGGGCAAAAAGCACAAGACCTATCTGAAAAATAAACTAAGGAAAAAGGGGCTGGGTATGGCTCAAGTGATAGAGTGATTGCCTAGCAAGCTCAAGGTCCTGAGTTCAACCCCCAGAACCACCGAAAACAAGGAAATTAAAAACAGAACCTCTGTATGATCCAGCCATATCACTTCTGAGTATGTACACAAAAGAATCAAGATCAGCTTATTGTAGAAATACCCTCAAACCCACATTTATCATGGCATTATTCATAATAGCTAAATTATGGAATCAGCCTCAGGGCCCATCAATGGGATGAATAGATAGTGTTTTATACACACACACAATAGAGTTTTACTCAGTCATTAAGAAGAATGAAATCATGTTGCTTGCTGGAAAATGGAAATTGTGTTAAGTAAAATAAGCCAGTCCCACAAGGACAAGTATCAAATGTTTTCTCTTATTTGTGGAAATTAGGGTAAAACAGAACAAAACAATCAAGGTCATGAAAGTAAAAGAGGGACTAGTAGGAGGCAGAAGGGGAAAGGAAAAGGGGAAGAAGGAAGGGAAGATAAGAAAGAGTAACAGAAGGGCTGAAGGTAATGGCTCAAGGGGTACAGCAGCTGCCTGGCAAGCGTGAAGCCCTGAGTTCAAACTGCCAAAAAAAAGAGAGAGCACAATAGAGGGGTGAATATGGTCAAAGTACATTATATGCATGTATGGAAATGTCATGATGAAACCCATTATTATATGCAGTGTCCATGAAACATTCATGCAATGGAATACTAAACAGCCATTAAAAACAAGCCAGTTCTGCACAGACCAACAGGGGCAACATCTGAACAATACATTAATTGACAAGGCAGGTTCAGAACAGTACACATCTATGCTATCATTTGTTTGGGGAAAAAGTACCCTGGTAGGACACCCAAATTCTTATTTAATAGCAACAGTTTTCCTGGAAGGGAAACTTACTAGCTGGGGAGTTGGAAACAGAGAGTGGTTTATGTTTCACTCTATATTTACTCTTTTGTGCTTTTTAAGGATTTAAAAATGTCATGTATATACATTAAGTGTTAAAATATAAATGCAAATCAAAGGTAAATAAAATGGCTTGTAGGCAGCAATCTCTGTCCTCTGTTTACACCTCAAGTTTGAGTTTGAATTAACTGAAAATCTGCTTGACTTTTTTGCCTTGATTCCTCCTTGCAAGTCCTAACTAAAGGCAGTCCTGGCTGCCCTGATGGCTGGTAAACAATTTTCCCTGCTATCGCTCTCTCCTGGTCCATGTTTCTCCTTCCCACTTTGTCCCAAGTATTTTTTAAATGAACGATGTTCTTACGGATACAGCTGACACTCTCAGGTTGGGGCCGTGGAGAGATTTGAGTTTCATAGGTGACTTTTCTGTTGTCAAAGAGAAAAACAAGGTCCATGTCCAATGTGCGACCCTCATTTAGCTGCAATGAGAAAAGAGGAGGATGAGATCTTGTGGCTCCAGTCCCTCTTTTCCAACTAATCATGGAGGTTCCAGAGCCCTTTCCACTGTCCACCATGGGCATCATGTTCAGTCTCTAGATACTAAACATGCACAGCTTTTTCCTGCTCCTTTCACTATGCCGTATTTAGAACACATCATGTTCTATTTTATTCTGATTGACTTTCCTCTGCAGTTTGACAGTTCACTGTATAATTCCTTGTGCAACAGTTGTTTCTTATATATAGCTTCATCTCCGTAAGTTATCTTGTGAGCTCCTTAGGGTAGGGACTGTGGTTAACACAGGTGCCCCACACAGCTCTGCACACCTCAATAATCATAAGTAGCTTTGGATGACCAGAGAAGTAGAATAGAACTTTGGCAATAAAGACAAAAAAGCCAATCCAAGTGGTCTGGAAGTGGGAATTGAGCATGAGTGATCTGTCTCCTAGTAAGCCACACAGGAGGTCCCACACCCCAGTTTACAAAAACCAGGCAGGTACCTGCAGTGTGTGGCTATCAGACTGCTTGACATAGTAGAACAGCAATCTGAAAAGTGATTTGTTTCCCAGGAGAAAAAGTCGGGGGGAAACAGGGCAGTCAGCATGAAGTCAGGAGCTCACCTTGCCATCTGAAATGCACTGGGTGGCAGGCTTGTCAGGGATCAGCGCCAGACCTGCCTCTTGCAGCAGCTCTTGATCCTTCTGCGGGATTCCTGTGTCTTCCTGAATTCTTGCCTTTAAGCTCTGCAGACTCTCGTCTTCTGTCACAGGATAGGTATGAATGGTGCCTGTGACCATGTTCAAGATATGAACCAGCTGCGACACAATCCAGATGTTATTGGAGAAATCAGTCTTTACAGAGATGCCAAAACATTCTGCTATTCCACTACTCTCAAAGCTCCCAGGTGTGGGCTGCTTCCAGTCCCACAAAAGGAAGCCCTCCCTTAAGAAAGGAAGGCTGGGTGCCACATTCCAGGCATTCTAGTCACTGATTATCATGTTTGTCCTTAGCAAAAACCTGGTAGGCAGTGTCAATCAGATCAGTTGTCCTTATTCTGTTATTACTTAAGTAGAAAACCTCTCATAGGAGCCTAAATTTCCTCCCCACTCACAACACCTCCCCCTGCCCCGGGCCCACAGGCCCAGAAACTGCTTTGTCCTGTGTGCTTCTTCCTAAGAACTGCTGTATCCCACTGGTGATCCTAGCTGTTGCCTGGGGCTACCTTGGCTCTGTTCTCACCTTCAAGTTTAAGATATCATCCAGGGCCTTGAAGCAGCCATTGGGCCCATACTGGGGGTCTGTGCCCCTTTGTCTGGGGTGCCACATGAGCATCAGCTGTAGCCACTTCTCTAGTCGCTCGGCCAGTATGCTGAGAAGAGGAAGAGTACAAGAGATAACTGAGGTAGAAGCAGGCTGCCTTTATGTCCACCATCATACACACACACACACACACACACACACACACACACACACAGATTACTGTGGAGTAGGAGACAAACCATTATGTAATACAAGATAGAGACCACTAACACTAATAAGACAAACAGATAAATTGTTAGTGAGTGTAGAAAACAGACGATTTGAGGGCTAGAGTTACAGCTCAGTGGTAGAGAGCTTGTAGCATGCACCTGTCCTTGGGTTAGAGCCCCAGCATCACCAAAAACAAACAAAGACAAGCAAAACCAAAAAACCTAAACAATAACATTTCTAGAGAGATTAAAGATGGGAATCTATCTTATGTTATGGCAAGTTCTCAGTCACAGAATTATAACCTATTTAGAAGTGATCAGCTGTTACCTCAGACTTCTATTTCTAGGAAAGGAAGGAAAATAAATATAATACCTGTGCCTTACCTGTTAAGATTATTGGGGTAGGGTAAAGAGCTTGAAAACTTCACTGCTCCATTCAAGTCTTCACTAACAACAATGTCCGCCTCACTCTTCTGCCGGACCTTTGAATGCCTACAAATGCACCATCTTGTTAAGATATCCCTTACCTCACTCAGTGGCCAAGAGCCAATACATCACCTTATAACTGTACAGGTGGTTTATACCTCAAATAGATACTTAATCTCTTGGAATAACAGTCAATCCTGATAAGATGATTTCTTTGAGAGTTTAAGAATGGTCAGTACTGGGGCTGGTGTGGCTCAGTGGTAGAAGATGTGCTTGATGTGGGGAAGGCCCTGGTTTCCATCCCCAGCATCATGTTAAAATTAGAAAAAGACAAGAACAAAGGATGGTCAGTGCTGCCAAATGACTTTCTGAAGGACAGCTTCTAACGCATTAATCACCTGTGCCCCAAGTTCTGCAGACAGTACTGTTGGACATATGCCTTTCCTTTCCCTTTCTCTACCTTCCACTTTATTAGACACAACCTCTCATGTTTCAATAGAGGATAAAATAAGAATGCAAAACTACAGTACTGCATACATGTCACATTTACATGCAACATGTACAACACATGCACACACATGTTCACTTCCCTCTAAATATATATGGCTAACTATTTTTTCTAAGGATAAATGAACTTTTACATTTTCCAACCTAGAGATTTTTTAACAAAATTATATTCATATGTGCATACAATGTTTGGGTCATTTCTTCCCCCTTCCCCCAACCCTTACCCTTACCCCCCCACCCCCTCACTACCCGGCAGAAACTATTTTGCCCTTATCTCTGATTTTGTTGAAGAGAGAGTATAAGCTATATTAGGAAGGACCAAGGGTTTTTGGTAGTTGAGATAAGGATAGCTATACAGGGAGGTACATGTGTGTTACCTTCTAAATTAATTCTTCTCGAACTAACCTTTTCTCTAGTTCCTGGTCCCTTCTCCTATTGGCCTCTAAAACTTTAAAGTATCTGCATTAATTGCTCTACATTGAGGGTAACAAATGCTATCTAGCTTTTTAGGTATCTTACCTATCCTCATACTTCCCTTGTGTGCTCTCGCCTTATCATGTGATCAAGGTCCAATCCCCTTGTTGTGTTTGCCCTTGATCTAATGTCCACATATGTGGGAGAACATACGATTTTTGGTCTTTTGGGCTAGGCTAACCTCACTCAGAATGATGTTCTCCAGTTCCATCCATTTACCTGAGAATGATAACATTTTATTCTTCATGGCTGCATAAAATTCCATTGTGTATAAATATCACATTTTCTTAATCCATTCATCAATACTGGGGCATCTTGGCTGTTTCTATAACTTGGCTATTGTGAATAGTACTTCAATAAACATGGGTGTGCAAGTGCCTCTGGAGTAACCTGTGTCACATTCTTTTGGGTATATCCCCAAGAGTGGTATTGCTGGATCATATGGTAGATCTATGTTTAGATTTTTAACAAGCCTCCAAATTTTTTTCCAGAGTGGTTGTGCTAGTCTACATTCCCCACCAGCAGTGTAAGAGGGTTCCTTTTTCCCCACATCCTCGCCAACACCTATTGTTAGTGGTGTTACTAATGATGGCTATTCTAATGGGGGTAAGGTAGAATCTTAGTGTGGTTTTAATTTGCATTTCCTTTATTGCTAACGATGGTGAGCATTTTTTCATGTGTTTTTTGGCCATGTGAATTTCTTCTTTTGAGAAAGTTCTGTTCACTTGCCCATTTCTTTATTGGTTCATTAGTTTTGGGAGAATTTAGTTTTTTGAGTTCACTATATATTCTGGTTATCAGTCCTTTGTCTGATGTGTAGCTGGCAAATATTTGCTCCCACTCTGTGGGTGGTCTCTTCAGTTTAGAGACCATTTCTTTTGTTGAGCAGAAGCTTTTTAGTTTTATGAAGTCCCATTTATCTATGCTATCTCTTAGTTGCTGAGCTGCCAGGGTTCCATTGAGAAAGTTCTTGTCTATACCTATTAATTCCAAGGTATTTCCTACTCTTTCCTATACCAACTTTAGAGTTTGGGGTCTGATATTAAGATCCTTGATCCTTTTTGAGTTAATATTGGTATAGGGTGATAAACATGGATCTAGTTTCAGTTTTTTGCAGACTGCTAACCAGTTTGCCCAGCAGTTTTTGTTGAAGAGGCTGTCTTTTCTCCATCGCATATTTTTAGCACCTTTGTCAAAGATAAGTTGGTTATAGTTGTGTGGCTTCATATCTGGGTCCTCTACTCTGTTCCACTAGTCTTCATGTCTGTTTTTGTGCCAGTACCATGCTGTTTTTATTGCTATTGCTTTGTAATATAGTTTGAAGTTGGGTATTTTGATACCTCCACTGTTATTCTTTTTACTGAGTATTGCCTTGGCTATTTGTGGCCTCTTGTGTTTCTACATAAATTTAATGGTAGATTTTTCAATCTCTGATGAATGTCATTGGGATTTTGATGGGAATTGCATTAAACATGTAGATTACTTTTGGGAGTATAGACATTTTTACTATGTTGATTCTACCAATCCATGAGCATGGGAGATCTCTCCACTTTCTATAGTCTTCCTCAATCTCTTTCTTCAGAAGTGTATAGTTTTCCTTGTAGAGGTCGTTCACATCCTTTGTTAAGTTTACACCTAGATATTTGATTATTTTTGAGGCTATTGTAAATGGAATTGTTTTCATATATTCTTTCTGTTTGTTCATTATTAGTGTATAGAAATCCTACTGATTTTTCTATGTTGATTTTATATCCTGCTATCTTGCTATAGCTATTGATGGTGTCTAGGAGCTTTTGAGTAGAGGTTTTTGGGTCTTTGAGGTATAGGATCGTATCGTCTGCAAATAGGGATATTTTGACAGTTTCTTTACCTATTTGTATTCCTTTTATTCCTTCTTCTTGCCTAATTGCTCTGGCTAGGAATTCCAGTACTATGTTGAATAGGAGTGGAGATAGTGGGCATCCTTGTCTCATTCCTGATTTTAGAGGGAATGGTTTCAATTTTTCACCGTTAAGTATAATGCTGGCTGTAGGTTTGTCATATATAGCTTTTATAATGTTGAGGTACTTTCCTTCTATTCCTAGTTTTCTTAGAGCTTTTATCATGAAATGGTGTTGGATCTTATCAAAGGCTTTTTCTGCATCTATTGAGATGATCAAGTGGTTTTTGTCTTTGCTTCTGTTAATGTGGTTTATTACATTTATTGATTTTTGTATGCTGAACCACCCTGCATTCCTGGGATGGAGCCTACTTGGTTGTCGTGAATGATCTTTTTGATGTGTTGTTGAATTTGGTTTGCCATTATTTTATTGAGGATTTTTGCATCAATGTTCATTAAGGAGATTGGCCTATAGTTCTCCTTTTTGGAGGTGTCTTTGCCTGGTTTTGGGATAAGTGTAATACTGGCTTCATAAAATATGTTAGGCAGTTTTCCTTCCCTTTCTATATGGTGGAACAGTTTAAGGAGGATTTGTATCAGTTCTTTAAAGGTCTGATAGAATTCCACAGAGAATCCATCAGGTCTTGGACTTTTCTTTTTAGGGAGACTCTTGATCGCTGCTTCAATTTCATTTTGTGTTATAGATCTATTCAGGTGATTAATGTCCTCTTGGTTCAGTTTTGGATGATCATATATATCTAGAAATCTGTCCATTTCTTTAAGATTTTCGAACTTAGTTGAATATAGGTTCTCAAAGTAGTCTCTGATGATTTCCTGGACTTTCATGGTGTTTGTTGTTAGCTCCCCCTTTTGCATTCCTGATTTTTACTAATTTGGGTTTTTTCTCTCCTCATTTTAGTCATGTTTGCCAGGGGTCTATCAATCTCGTTTATTTTTTCAAAGAACCAGCTTTTTGTTTCATTAATTCTTTGTATGGTTTTTTTGGTTTCTATTTTGTTGATTTCAGCTCTTATTTTTATTATTTCTCTCCTATTTGTTTTGGGATTTGGTTTTTCTTGTTTTTCTAGGAGTGTGAAATGTAGCATTAGGTCATTGATTTGAGATCTTTCAGTCTTTTTAATGTATGCACTCATGGCTATAAACTTTCCTCTCAGGACTGCCTTTGCTGTGTCCCATAGGTTCCGGTAGGTTGTGTTTTCATTTTCATTGACTTCCAGGAACTTTTTAATTTCCTCTTTTATTTCATTAAAAGACCCATTGTTCATTAAGCAATGAGTTATTCAGTTTCCAGCTGTTTGCATGTTTTTTGTCTTTTTGTTGAGTTCTAGCTTTATTGCATTGTGATCAGAAAGAATGCAAAGTGTAATTTCTATTTTCTTATATTTGCTGAGGCTTGCTTTGTGCCCTAGGATATGATCTGTTTTGGAGAAGGTTCCGTGGGCTGCTGAGAAGAATGTATATTGTGTAGAAGTTGGATGAAATGTTCTGTAAACATCAATTAGGTCCATTTGATCTATTGTATATTTTAGGTCTAGGATTTCTTTATGGATTTTTTGTTTGGATGACCTATCTATTGATGATAATGGGGTGTTAAAGTCTCCCACGACCACTGTGTTGGAGTTAATATATGCTTTTAGGTCCTTCAGGGTATGTTTGATGAAACTGGGTGCTTTGATATTGGGTGAATATAGGTTGGTAATTGTTATTTCCTTTTGGTCTATTTCCCCTTTTATTAGTATGGAATGTCCTTCTTTATCTCGTTTGATCAATGTAGGTTTGAAGTCTACTTTGTCAGAGGTAAGTATTGCTACTCCTGCCTGTTTTCGGGGGCCATTGGCTTGGTAAATCTTCTTCCAGCCTTTCATCCTAAGCCTATGCTTATTTCTGTCAGTGAGATGGGTCTCCTATAAGCAACATATTGTCGGATATTCCTTTTTAATATAGTTCGCCAAAGGTGCCTGGTGGTCTGCTTCTCTTGAGCTGGTAGAAGCTGGCGTCTGGTGGCGCGGGCCTGCGGTGTGGAGGAGTAGGAGTTTTGCCTCTTCTCGTTGTTTTTTCTTGTAAGGTGTATCTCCACCGTCTCTCCAAGATTTTACTTTAGGAAGCACGCTTTCTGCTTCTTCCCTCTAGTCGCCATCTTGGAATCTTGAGAATTCCTTGACATTAATGTGAAGCAAAATTGGAGGAAAAAAAAAAAACATCTGATATCCAATCTTCTTGGTGATAAGGATGACAACATCAATTAGAATAATACTACACAGAAGACCAAGTACTTGGCACTGTTCCCTGAGTTACGATGATAACCCCACGGAGGGACATTATTTTTAGTCTGTCACTTAGTGGTAAGGAAACAAAGACTGGGTGATTTGCCAAATATTATATGACTAGAGAGTGATGAATTGAGGACTTGAAACCAAAGTCTGGTATAACTGCTACTCTGTCTCACTGTTCAAATACAGCTTTTCCCAAAATACCTGGGAAATTCAAATTTTAAAAAATGCTTTGGTCCCAAGCATGCAGGAAACCCAGGAGAGCTGGTGTACAGCAGTGGCTGGTGACTTACAGCTCTGATAGATAAACTGTCACAAGTCAGGAGTTCTAAGGCTTTATAACTAAAGTGGGATGGTTCTCCTGAGTATGTCAGGGGGAAACTATAAAGGATGCACCAAACAAATACTTATTGATTAGGCTTGTCCCAAAGTGGACTTCAAAGTAGTCTGACAATAGGATTATAAAACCCAAATTGCATCTTTCCTAAAATCCACCTGCCACCAAGATGAGATAGTGAGTTTAGAAGTTGACTGAGGTATTAAAAAGCAGATGAAACAGACTCTTCTCACAAGCCAGTCCACAAAACTCCTTACTGGATTCCAAAGAAGTCCACTTGTAAGAGGCCGCCAGGCCTTCCAGCAAAGATTAGGTTCTAGGATGACAGGCATACTACGAAGATGCAGAGCCATTAGGGTTCTAGTTTCAAAAAGTGTCTATCCTTCCAGTCTTAATGGATTTTAACTCATCTTGTCATAAATAATAGAAAAGTTCAACATGTGAATTTTTTTAAAAATGCAATAATCCCTTGGTTACTTAAAATCACTAAAGGTATACATCTCTATTCTCATGATGGCTCATTATAAATTATAACTATAATTACCCAATTCCCAGATATTCTAGAACCTATGTGGAAGCTTTAAGAGCAATGCCTGGTTTGTAACTGGTCATCACAGGAGGGCATGCTTTGCCATTGTTCCAGGTTCCTCCGGAGCAGATAAAGGTATACATCTCTATATCCGGAGCAGATAAAGGTATACATCTCTATTCTCATGATGGCTCATTATAAATTATAACTATAATTACCCAATTCCCAGATATTCTAGAACCTATGTGGAAGCTTTAAGAGCAATGCCTGGTTTGTAACTGGTCATCACAGGAGGGCATGCTTTGCCATTGTTCCAGGTTCCTCCGGAGCAGGTCCTGCACCCTGGTCCCGTGCATCACCAGTGTCTGGGGTGACATGTGGTGCCATCATCACATAAACCTCTTCTAGAATTGATTTCAAAGGCTACATTCATTCTTATCAATAAACATTCTCACTATGTGAATACCTGACCTGTGAAAAGCTAATGTTTTCACTACTCTCCAAAAGGCATTTAAAAAGATGACAGCAGCCAATGCTGGCAATGGTGTGGTGAGAGACAGCTTTGAGAGTTCCTGGCAGAAGCTGTATTTATATAACCTTTCTGGCAAGTAACATAATACATATCAAACCCTTTAAAATGTACATACCCTTTAGTCTGTTAATTCCACTCCTAGGAATTTATCCTAGAGACATAGATGTGGATGTGTAAGGACTTACCTACAAGGATGTTGTTCTCAGTGTTATTTTAAGAAGTATAAATTATAAACCACTCAAGCTTCCCACAACAGGGTATAGCCCTTAGTAGAATACCAAGCAGACATTCTACATAACATGGAAAAACACAGCATGTTCAATTTTAGCTTGAAAGCAGGTTATATCGCAATAACCTACTTTTGTTTTTTGAAAAGTATAAAACGCAGACACAGTGAAGAGTCTGAAGACACACAAAAATGTTCATAGTGATTATTTCCAGATTGTCTAATTATAATGGTTCTTGTTTTTTAATTGTTTCTGCATCTTCCAAAAGCACAGAAAAGAAATTAAAATTCATCTGTGGAGTAATCAAATTGTGTGGGCAGTTGAGGCTCCTTCCAGACAAGGATTTTCTGTATTATAGATAAACTGACTCTGAAGGAAATTCTCACAGGGTAAAATGCTTTAAAGGCATGTGCAAGACAGTGTTCTATTGTGCTGCCATTGGTGTATAAAGGGAGAAACACAAAAACAAACACTTAAACAAATACTGGCCAATCTGCTTGGTGGTGTAAACATCCCAGCACACAACAACCAGCAGCATCAGGAGACTGTGGGGAAGAACCAGCTGGCTGGGAGACTGGTGTGAGTGAGATGACTTTTCACTGTGTACTTTGTCATACTTTTGAAGTTTACACCATGCAAAATTATTACTGCTCCAAAAAATAAAAACTTTAAAATAAAAAATAAAATAAATTTGAGCAAAAAGATTATTTATATTAATTAATCACTGTGTGGCTTCTTAAGGAACAATTCTGAAGGAAAATTAACTAGTTTAGAGGAATGTTAATTTTTTAAATCATGCAATTCAGTAATGATTTACTTTTTCTTTTCTTCCCCCTCACCCTCAGTACTTTATTTCAACTAATAAAGAAAACTCGTACATATTTATCAGGTACTCCATGTTTTGAAATACAAATTCACTCTGGAATGCCTAAATCAAGCTAATTAACATCATTTATTTCTTCATATACTTACTTTTTTGTGGTTATGATTAACTTATATATACCATGAATAATGCATTATTTTGATAACTAGTCAAAAAAAGTTGAAGAACACAGAGTAGTTTTTAAAAGCTTAATTGTATCCTTTGATTTTTTATTACAAAATTTAAAAATTTTTTATTACAAAATTTTAAAATTATTTAGGCTCACATTTTAAGTCACTTTCTTATGCTTTTAAAACACCAAAAATTTATATTCAGGTCAGCATGGTGGTACACACGTGTAGTACCAGCCTACTCAGGAGACTAAGGCAGGAGGATCACTTCAGCCCAGCAGGTCAGGACTAGCCTGAGCAAACACAATGAGACCCCATGACTTTAAAAGAAAATTATATTCAGGTGTAGTAAAATTTGTCAACAATAAATTTTCATGTGAATATTTCCTCATTATCTGTCCTATGCATATATCCATTATTTCTGTTTAATACAGAGAATTTTTAGTAAAAATGCATTCACACAACAGTCTGTAACAATGTATTGACTTGTTACTACTGCACAGAGGGAAAATGGTATTTATATAATATTAGATTTAAAGATGTTATGTAACAACTGCTCTTTTGTTCTAGGTTTGTGGAGCTTGAACTGCCCACTGCTGGGTCCTAACTGCCTTCCTCTTGGAAGAAAGACACAGGCAGCTTGGGGGCACCCAGTGAAGGGAAAGCAAAGAAGATGAATAGGGCCAGGGGCTCACTCCTTCCTTAGGCAGCCCTCCCTGCCCAGGCCCAGGTACTCACTCACCACTGCACAGGCTGCCAGTTGGGGAGGAAAGGCCGGAAGCCTGTGATGCATTCAAAGGCCAAGGTGCCGAAGCTCCAGTAGTCGACTGTCACTGTGTACTTCTGCTGCTCCAGCAGCTCTGGGGCCTGCGACACACAGGTAGGGCATGCTCAAGCTAGCCCTATTCTGTAGGAAGTGCCCAATCTAGGGGAACTGGCATATCCAATCACGGGTGAGGAGGTGTCTACCCAAACAGGATTTCTATACCTCATATTCTCTCACCAAGTACTGACAGAAGGGCTAAGGAGCCAGGGTATTGATGGCTTGTTTTCAGATACAACAGCATGTATCAACTATGCATCTCACTGTGCTTTAATCTCTCCGCTTTAAAATGAGGGTTGTAAGCCAGGAGCCTGTAATCCAAGCTACTCAGGAGGCAGAGATTGAGAGGATTGTGGTTTAAAGCAAACCCAAGCAAATAGTTCATGAGACCCTATCTCAAAAATATCCAACACAAAAAAAGGATGGTGAAGTGGCTCAAGTGGTAAAGCACCTGCCTAACAAGCATGAGGCCCTGAGTTCAAACTTTAGAAATGCAAAAATAAAATAAAATGAGGGTTGTAGCATTTCAGGTGCTTACTGAAAACTAACCAATGCAAGGGTGCTGTGCAGAGATGGAGAGACAGACTATGTACTACAAAGGAAAATGACACCAGGCTATGCACATCAAAAGCATTCCAAATACAATAAATGCTCATCAAGCCTCCTGAACTAAGTAATGTGTGGCCCCACAACGGGATGGGATATTTACAACCAGGCAGGAGAAAGCCAGATGTGTGATTGCATCTGATGAGAGAGCTGGGGTGCCCCAGGAAGGCAATAATGCTCAGGTGGTACCAGAACTGGGCTCAGAGGCTCATCGCATGAGCAGATGAGAGACAATCCAGAAATGACCATCCTGAGCAAAGGCTCAGAGACAAGACAGTGCATAATCTGGGTGGAAATGTGACATTTATGCAAGAGTCAGGAGTCCAAACCAGGAGAAATCTGTTGCATCTGGATGGTTTTTTTTTTTGGTGCTGGGATCGAACCCAGGGCCTCGCACATGCTAGGCAAGTGCTGTGCCACTGAGCTACATCCCAGCCCACATCTGGATGTTTTAACTCAAGCAAGTGAGCACCCTGACTTTGCATCCAGGTCAGAGAAATTGCTGCTTCCCTGATGAGGACTCTGGAGGGTTTTCAGCAGGACCTACATAATTATATATTACACAGACACAGTGCCCGAATTAGAGTCTCCCATGGTCATCTTTGGGAAACCTCCATTTCATGGAGCAGGAGATAAACTGAGGGAGCCATTACCCTACTGGTAGGATGGGCAAGAAATATAAATGCACCCAAAAAGACATCACATAATTTCATTCTTATTTAAGAAATAAATAAGATGCTAACTCAGCAGCTTTCAACCTTTTTTTGTTTGTTTCATTAAGCCACAGGCCCCATTATTTAATCACAATTTGGCTGGCTGCTCTCACCGGCAGGCAATCTATTACCAAATCTTGCTGAGAGTTTCAGTTAAGCATTTCTTGAACCTAATTATTTTCTACCTCCTCACTCTCACTACCAGCTCTGAACAGGCCTACATAACGCCTAGTTGCCCCCTAGTCACTCCTGTTTACTGCAATTCATTTTACATGCCATCCCAAGAGTGGTCTTTTAAAGCCTACTCCTTCTCCAATGTGAACCCCTTCAATGTCATTGTAGAGCATTTAGGATATAGTCTAAAAGATGCTCCCTTCTTCCTTCCATCCCCAGCTTCAACTATAGACCCTTCTCTCCCTTCTTCTCAAGAATCCAGTCACACTGTCAGGTTTTCTGATGTGCTATACCTTTATATATCTCCCTCTCCTACCTCTGTCTCCCACCTCAGCCCTTCCACCTACTCTTCCTTCAGGGCCTAGGCTTGGCTAGGTCCTCCTAATATACATCCCTAGCACACCTGCAATGCTCCTCCATGGCACTCCTCACAACGGTAATTTCTGAGTTAACTGTGATAAGCACATGAACCCCCTTTCTTACCAGGTACTGCAGGGTCCCCACAAAAGATGTACAAAGACTGCCCTGATCCAGTTCCTTGGCATATCCTAGGTCAATAATTTTGTGTATTAACTGAAAAAAAAAGGAGGAGGAGAAATCTGAGGATTATAAGAATACATTGTCCTTCTACAAGGATTCTGATAATTTGTCATTAGAACAGAGATATTTCTGAATTTCCAGGGGTACTGGATCCTGACTGCCTAAAAGCCACCACATACACAGGAGAATGCCCTTGGCATGGTGGATTCAGGACAAGAGAAAACACACCTGTAAAAATGCTGGACAGATATTCTTCACTGATCTGCCATCAATCATCAAAAGGAGGCCAAATTAATATGGTACACACTAGTCCTCAAGATCACTAAACCTGGACTACACAGTGTGAGAGACTAGGCCAAACCCTGCTCAGAAAATACCTTCAGTGCTCAAATCTTACAATTACCAGCAAGAAAGAGTGTGCCCTGGAACAAAGGTGAGCCCTGCCATTGTCACGGGTTTGGCCTAGGGTGCAGATGAAAGCTGTATCTGGATAGATTAATGACCTGGGAGTTGAGTTACTGCATTCCACTCAACTGAACCCTGCTCATCACCCCCAGCTGAACAAACAAAGCAGGGAAAGACCACAGCATCCAGCCCCATAGGGAGGTTACAACCACACCTTAGCAGGGTGGCCAGTGGGGAGAGTCACAAAGGACTCTGGGGTAACTGCAAGCTGGACCATGCTCAGAATGGGCAGGTGCCAGCTCCAAATGTCTCTTCCCAGCCATATCTACAACCAGCTTATATCCGGTTTCCATTCTAGCATCAAAAGTTGAGGCTCTTAGACTGGAGGTATGGCTCAAGTGGAGAGTGCCTGCTTTTGCAAGCACTGAGTTCAAACCCCATTCTCACCCAAAAAAAAAAAAAGGAAAATAAAAAGTCTATTTCCAAGAAGTGCTAGTCCCAAAGACTGAGTGGGGAGGTAGGTCAACATATTCCTTATCAGATTTCTGCAACTGAGTAATTAACAATGTGATCCAGTCAAGCTTGCCCCAATCTGCCAGCAAGAACATGATACAAATCAAAACACATTCCAGCATGACTCAAGGAAGTGCAAATTTAAACAAAGCTACAAAGCCTGGTGTTCTCTACCAGAGCAGCCCCCAAGACTTCCTGAGTCCCAGGAGGTCACTCACTCTTTGCTCTCCTTGCTGCAGAACGATGTTTTCTGGCTTTAGATCCCGATGGATGATTCTGTTCTCATGAAGGTATCTAAGTGCGGATGCTGAGAAAGTGGAAAGGGGAGTACACTTTTATTAAGCCTAGAAAATGCTTTTTCATTTCAGCATCTCCTGTTTGGTAAAAGATAAATACAATGTGCTCCTGAAACATTCTCTGTGATTTCTGGTGTATAAGCTCACATGGAGGAAAGGAGCCTGGGTCAGATGCTCCTCAGATAGAGTGAAGGGGCCTGGCTAAGTAAGCAGAACTTTACCTCAAGATTCTGGCTTATTCATACAAAAACTTCTAGAGGCATGGGATGTGGTCAGTGATACAGCGTTTAGCTAGCAGGAACAAGGCCCTGGATATAATCCCCAACACCACACACACACACATCCCTAGGTGCGGTGGCTCACACTGGCAGCACTAGCTTCTCGGGAGATGGATATTGGGCAGACTGAAGTTCAAGGACAGCCTAGGAAAATCATTAGCGCCAATAATCCAGGTGCGGTGTGTGCTTGTTACTAGGTAGGAGGACCGTGGTCCAAGGCTAGGGGCAGGGGGTGGCTCGCCTGCTGCATCCACCCAGCTGGGAGCAGTATGTGCTTGTCATCCTAGGCAGGAGGACTGCTGGGGGGGTGGGGGGGGGCAGCTTACCTGAAAAATAACTAAAGTAAAAAAAGGACTACAGGCATGACAGCATGGCTCAAGTGGTAGAGCATCTGCATAGCAGGTGGAAGACACTGAATACCCCAGTACCACAAAAAAATTAATTAATTAAAAGAAAGGATCCATGAGGTCACCAACCAGTGACCATGCTACTCTAGGGCAGCAATTCTTAAATTATATTGCCTAGAGTAGCAGCATATGAACTTAGAAATGCAAAATTCTAGGGGCCTCATCCTAGTATCAAACTCTCCAGGTAATACTGATAAAATCTGAGAGGGGGAACTTCTCTGGTCTTGAAGCTCAAAAATCTAAATTCCATAGGGTGGGCAAGGGAGAAAGGCTCTTTGGGCAGATCTAAGTTCCTATAAGGTCAGAGCCAGCTTCAGGAAGAAGCATGAGAAGGACAGAACAGGACACCTTCTATATTCTGACAGTTCAGCATGTATTAAGTGTGCCCGCTTCTGGAAGGTTCTGTGGCTGACACTACAATGGAGATGCTCTCACTCTAAAGAGCTCAGAATCTAGTTGGGAAAGAGACCATAAGTACAGCACTAGTTGTAAGATCATTTGATACTCACACTGAGCAATGGGACTCATCCCAGATCAGATTCTAGATGTGATTTTTACCAGTAAGACCAGTGTAATGACTTTAACACTAGATTTTTATACTATAAAAGAGAAAGATAGAATAAGTGTCAGAAAGAAAAAAATTATCCTTATTTGGAAATGATATAACTATATGCCTAGCTAACTCAATAAACTAAAAACTGGAAAGAGTTTAGTAAACTGTCTAGAAACAAAACAAGTATATATAACTTAGTAGCTCTTCCCTATGTCAGCTTATCCAGTTGAAATGGAGGGAAAAAAATCCCATTCACATTAGCAACAAAAATTCTAAACACCATGTGGTAAATTTAGTTAAAAAAATAGTGTTAAGTGAGGAAAACTATATGGCATAAAGGAATAAAGGAAAATTATATAGCACTGGGGGTGCAGCTTGGTGAAGATATTATAAACAAAGGCTAAACACAAAAGGGCTAGAAAAAATCCTACAACACATATGCTAAAGAGTAAATATATCTAACATACAAACAGATTTTACAAATCCGTAAGAAAACACCCTGTCAGAAGGAGTACAAATGGGTGTATTTTGGAATGTAATATGGCAACATTAAATTATAAAACATGTACATAGTTTGACCCACCATTTGCACCTCTGGGACTCTAGCTTATAAAGTCAAAAGCACAAAAAAGGGTACTTATTGCATAGTGCTGAGTAAAATAACTAGAAATAAACTCAAAGTGAATAATCAGAGAACAGCTGGACAAATTATGATTGATCCCTATTATAGGAGGAGACTCTTTAAAAATAATTTAGGTTTACAGTTTCTGGTTCACAGGAATGTCAAGGATGTACTGTCAAGTAAATGGTGTGAATGCTTTCTGTCTTGTTTTGTGGTCCTGGGGATTGAACCCAGGGCCTCACACATACTAGGCAAGTACTCTGCCACTTGAGCCACACCCCTAGTCCTTGATCATTTTTATTAAGTAAAAGGGAAAAGCAAAAGCAATAACAAACCAAGAGAAGTTTTAATAACAAGCCCTCTCTGTGACGCCACACATATATAAGCATACACACAAACACACATATGAATACACACTCACACATAAACACACACATACAATGCCCCCCGCCCCCACCCCAATAGGCCAGACTGAGAATCCAGCCAGGACAAACCAAGGAGGTGGGCAGCCCTGCAGGCCTGGGTGACCAGTCCTGTCTATTCTCATCAGCAGGGAACACTGTACAAGGTAAAAGAAAAGCTGTCCAGAGAAACTAAGTGCTCGAGCTCACTCTGTGAAGACTTTCAGCTGGACATTTCCTAAAAACACATTTGAAAGTCAAACCGAAAGAGACAATAATGGAATTTTATCTTACTAGGGGAGTTCCAGCTTGGAACATTAAGCCATATTGCAAAAACCTCTGGTTACGTCTACCCTTTTAAACTCAGCCTTTGACCAAACAGTTCTAACATTTCAAATTTGCTCCTTATTTTCTTTCCTTTCATAAGCAACGCAGTAGACTGGCTTAGGTCCAATTATGCCCAAATGAAGTCAAAGACTTGCTGCTTTCCATGAGCAAAAAATTCCACTCAATCTTTCTCTCGATTGTATTGACTTCTAGAGACTGATGCTTCTTAGCCGCACTTTCATTTGTGTTTTACAATTTTTATTAAAGAACCAAGACAAAGAATAATAAAACTCTAACAACTACACTCACACAACCTTGTAGACAAGAGATGGCATCACAAATGAATCTCAACTATAAGGCAGCAGGGAGCAAGCCCATGAGATGATCTGAAATGTTTCTTCACTGATGGATTCACAAAGAATCCAGTTTGCTTTTTGACAAGTTGCTCAACAGTACCAGGATATAATAGGTAAAAATGTGCATTGGTTTGTTCCAAAGGAGAATATATGAAAGTTAAGACTCACTGTAATTTGAGCAAGTACATATGCCCAGACTAAGATAGTGCCTGAAGCTAAACATACATTATCCCAGTCAGAAACTATCTCTGGAACTACCCTGCTCTTCTTTAGCTTAGGAGGCAGAAACAAATAGATACCTGAAGAATGTGACAACCCTGTGGTCTTACTGAGGAACCAGAATTCCAAATCACCGTCTGTGTATTTTTCAGATGACAAACTACAAGTTAGGGAACAATTAGGCTCCATGCCAAGAAGCAGTCTGGGAAAGGCTGTATCTATAAATCCCTACTTACCATACCTCAAGTCTCAAGGACTTACTAAGCTCCCTTCACAACACTTATTTGAGATACATTCCATTGAGAAGAAGTAGAAACAAATGGACCAAATCCTCAAGAGATTAGAAGAAAAAGAAAAGGCAGAAACCAATGGGTGATATAAGCTGCCATGGTATAGGAAAGAAACAGGATGTCTGAGCCCTGATCAAAACTGACTGTGTGACTACTATGTACCAGCCAGTTTGTGTCACTGGACTTTCCAGGCAAACAGATTGGAAGACCAACTGGACATGTGGAGAAAGACTTATCCTGGCTCAAGGTCTCTTGGCTAACATAAGCTCTATGACTAAATAGTAGGCGGCAATACCATGCTTGAAGAGGAAAGTGCAAAGTCATTCTCATTCCCTCAGTGATATTTGCAAGGGCAAAAGCAGAAGAACTCTGAGAGATGGATACCTCTAAAGTTGTGGCCCAAAAGAGAGGGGATGAGGGCTCCTGGGGAGATGTAGGAATAGTACCCTAGTAAGGAAGAGTACGTGAAAAGTGAGCAGGAAGATGGAAAAGCAGGCTCTGAGAGTCCTCTACATAGTACGCTGACTTGAGCAGATGGAGAGAAATGCAAGCTAGAGAGACTTGGCCATTACCTAATAGTGGACTGTAAGGAAAGTGACCTTTTGATGGCATGAAAGATGAATTAGCAAAATGCAGACAAGGAGGCCAGAAAGGGTCTGAGAAGCAGATAGCACGGTTGGGACAGCTGAGTGGACCTCAATGACATTCTAGGGCAACCATTCTGAAGTTCAGCTACCTGAGTAGTGAAATTGAATGGATGGGGTAAAAGGGACCTTAGAGATCACTTTGAGGCCCAAATCCCTCACTTTAAAGTTGAAGACACCCAGGCTAAGAAGGATTCATGCCTTATACAAGGTTATAGAGCTGGTAAAGAGGAGAGGCCAGGACTGAAAGTCAGTTGTCTCCCCTTTTGTTATTAATATTAAATTTATTTATCTGGTTATTTATACTTTCCAATACACTTTCTATAGAGGTGATCTAAAGTCAAGAAATAATCTTTTGTTACAACCAACAGTAGAACCAAACCGATATATTCAATAAAACAAGCAAGAAAATAGGGAAACACTAAACAGAGTATTCAATTTTCCAATTCCTCAGATGGAGCTCTCTGCTGCAAGCCAGAGAGCTGTGAGACCTCCTTGCACCTGCCTGTTGAGCACTTGATGCCTGCTAGGGACAGAGCAGACAGGAGTGGAGACAGGGATGAAGGAATAAACACAAAGATGTCAGCAGGGGTTCCTGAAGGCCCAGAGGACAAGATAGTGCTAATGATTTGGTCCCCAGCCTGTGGCACTACTGGAAAGTAACAGAACCTTTTAAGAAGTAGGAACTAATGAGAGGTCTTCCAGTCATTGCATGTGTTCTGAAGGGTTACTGGGACCCATAGTCCCTTCCTCTTCCTCTCTTTCTGTTTTGCACCCTAGTCATGAGGTGAGCTGCTTTGCCCTGCCATGAGCTCCCCCACCAGGATGTGCTGCCTCATCACAGGCCCAAAGCAAAGGGCTAAACAACCATGGTCTATAACTTAGAAAACTTGTGAGACTATATGAACCTTTTTTCTTCAAAAGGTTCTCATACCTATAATCCCAGCTACTCTGGAGGCAGAGATCAGAAGAATCATGATTTGAGGATTGCAAGACGCCATCTCAACTAGTAGCTGGGTGTGGTGGCACACATATATTATCCTAGCTATTTGAGAAGCCTTAGGTAGAAGGATCACAGTCTGACACTGTCCTGAACAAAACACAAGACCCTACGTGAAAAACAACAAAAAAACAGGCTGAGATGTGACTCAAATGGAAGGATGCTTGCCTTGAGTTCAAAGTCCAATACTGAGAGTCTTTGCTCCCATTTCCTGTGTAAGGAACAGGAAATGCTTCTCTCTCTCTTTTCTCCCCACTGTTCCTCTCCTAATAAACTTTACTGTTACTTTTACTAAAACCAAAAACAAAAAAAACTCCAGTACTGCACCCCACCAAAAAAGAAAAAAAAAAAAAGATTATCTCAGTTATTTGTTACTTACCAGCTGACTAACAACAAGATCAGTCACCACTGTAAACCAGCCACCTGGCCCATCAAGGGAGACTGACATCAATCTAAGATCCAATAGGGCCCTGGCATTTACACAAATGGCCCCAGTCTGTCTAGCTGGCCTGGGCCTGGCCAACCCCCCTACCCTGCTGGGGTGGTGAAGAGTGCTGCCATCTGCCCCTCAGTTCTGATGGCTTAGGACTTTGCTCCTCCACCAGCAGAAGGAAACACACTCCAACATTTTTCAAAGCATAATGAGCAAATCTGTTTAAATAGAGTTCATTTGCATGTAACTTCCCTGTGCTATTTTAGGATCCCATTATGTAGAAGTCCAAACCATTTCCAGCTGCCTTCACACCTGTCCCGGGATCTCTTGCCAGCATAAAGCAATGACCTAACAGGCTTTCCCTGGCAAGGAGACAGGTGCTCCCCCATGTTCTTGTCAGGCATCTTCTGGTTTTCTCATGAGTACTCTGCAATGTCTTCTTGGCAATTTAAAATTCACAAGAAAAATCCTACCTGCGTCTATCTTTCTTTTTCAAAGCATTTTTGTTAGCATATATTAGTTGTACAGGGGGGATTCATTGTGACATTTCTGTATATGCTTATAATGCATCTTGGTTAGGTTCACCCCAACCTGTGTCTTATCTTAATGCTCCTCTGAGTGGGGATCTCTGGGAGGCTAGAGGCACAGAAGAGATTAGGGGCAAACACATATGATACAGAAGAGAAGGCAATGGATCTGAACAAGTCAACCAGACATTCAGGAATGGTGAAGGCAATTTCAACAAAGCCAATGTGCAGCCAGGACTTTCAACAAATTGAAAAAGAATACGCTCAGGAAACATTTCAAAATATGAGTTATGTTAGCTGAGCTGCTCTAAGTAAAGCTTTTGAACTCCGACTCAGTCATGAGAGTCTTGAAAAGGGAATAAATCTGATAGATCTTGTATACAAATGAAAAATGGGAATAAAAGTGAAATACAGGCTGGCAGAGTGGCTCAAGCGCTAAGAGCACGTGTCTAACAAGTATGCTGAGTTCAAAACCCAGTGAGACACACACACACACACACACACACACACACACACACACACACCTTCAATAAATATAAAAGTCACCACACAAGTCAATGGTAATTGGATTCAAAATGCACCCAGACCAAAAGACTCTGCAATCAGTGGAGGTATTATTAATATTAGTAGACAATTACTTAAGCAAGTAAAATATATGAGGCAGTAGACAGATATATGTACTTGAGTCAATAATTTAAAGATCACTTAAGCAGGGAGGACTGTACTGGGGAGTTGGATTCAGGGCTTTACCTTTGCTAGGCAGGCAGTCTACCACTTGAGCCATTCCGCCAGCCCTTTGTGCATTGGTTATTTTTGAGACAGGGTCTCACTTGATGCCCAGGCAGACCTGGACTGCAATCTTATTTGTGTTTCCCAGCATAGCTAAAATGACAGGTGCGTTGCACTCCACAGCACCCAACCACTGATTGAGATGGGGGTCTTGTGAACTTTTTGTTGTCCAGACTGGCCTCAAACTGCAATCCTCCCAATCACTGCCTTCCAAGTAACTAGAATTATAGGACTGAGCCACTGTGCTTGACAAAGACTTTTTTAATAACTATTTGCCAAATGCACAATCTAATGAGTAATGAGTTGAAGAAAAACATTTGAGAGAATATCAAAGAAAAATAACTTGATGAAGCTCTAACTAAATAGAAACTAGATAAAATTTGCCAAGATGAACAACAACAAAAAAATACCCAAACTATTAACTTGCTTTCAATCCAATTCAACAGGGAACAAATTAGTAATTTGGCCACTGAGGCAATTATATCAAAATATGGACAGGTAAGCCATGTGACAAAATGTCAAGACTTCTCGACTTCTGGATTAGATCTTCCAGGGGGATAGAGAGGACCCTTCAAGTAGACTCACCTGCAGAGAAATCAGTGGGCTGGTGATGGCTGTCCCCTCATATTAGGTAAAACTGGTGTTAATGTCACTTTGCCTTTAATATGACTCCATCCCAAGGGAAAAGACACAGGATGAAGAGGTAGGTGGATATTTCCTAGACCAGACTGCTTAGATCTTAGCCTTAAGCACGTCATTGCTTGACTTTTTCCCCTTCATTTTGTTTTTGCCTCCCTCTTTCCAAAGAAACAGCAGAAGGAAGAGGCAGACCATGCTTGCCCTCACCCTTGCAAGCCAGGACTTAGAGAACACAGCTGTACAAATGTAGCAGATGTTAACCACTGGGAAACATAAGGAAAGGGCATGTGGCTTCACTGAATACCTCTTAACTTTCTGTAGTTTGACAATTTGTGTGGGGAAAAAAAAGTTTGAGCAAACAAAAAGTATGTATAGTTTCAAAAGGTTGATGTAGGAAAGGAAGGAAAATGGAGTCATTCCTCAAATCTGGGCACAAATATTCAAAGATAAACGCTGGCTAATTCACTCTGAGCCTTTGATCTGAAACTATAAATTTGCACCAATAACCGTGAATATTATTTAAGAAAAAAAAGTCCTAAGCAAGCCGCTGTGGTACTTTTGGTGTCTGCTTTCCCAGGCCAGAGCCAAGGCTGGCTCAGAGCCCCATCTCTATTTCCCCTGGAGTAGTCCCCAGCACCTAGCAGACACCACGCACTTCTGTGGACTGCCACGTCTTCTCCCCAAAACTAGCCTGGCCTTCTCAAAGAGTGCCACAGACACCCTCATCTGAGGACAATAACAGTACCAAAGGATTAAACAAGGGCAAGTTTTCCTAAGCTTGTGGTTGGCAAACCAACCGTCATGGGAGTGGAAAATTTTGCTGTCAAGGGATGAAGTTCATTCAAATGATGACCTGTTCCATTGCTGGCCATTCCAGGAAAGCAGGGAGGGGAGCTTTTGAATGGAAAAGGAAATCTGTCCCTCTACATACATCACACTTCACTTCATGACTTGGTCAGGAAGGAAAGAAAATCTATTTGAGTTCAGCGCCTGCCTGACTAGCCCCTTGCTGACCTCCCCCATGCCACCGGGCCCCTCCTCACCCCATTCCACCCACTGTAGAAACCAGAGGACCAATATAGCTCCCTCTGTACTCTGCAAGGACTCCCAGGGGCACCACACGCACTTCCTAAAGGGCACGGCCTGGCTTCCAGGGCTGGGACTTACCAATGTCATTCAGCAGGGTGAGGATCGCTCCTTCCCGCAGGCCACAACAGTTCTCAAACTGGTTCAGATACTGTCAGGAAGTTGAAAAGAAGTGTCATTGTGGATGGTCACAAACCATTGAGAAGCCCAGCGGCATCTTCTTCCAGCCAGTCATGAATGCTACCACTGGCCCTGGGCTTTGGGGGACGTGTGTAGAGGAAGCTGGGGCAGTGGAGGTGAGGCAGCACCTCACATACTTGCAGTGCTGGCCCTCACACAAGTGTGTGAGTCACCCTCAGATGAGGACCTGTCAAGCCTCACTGGCTAATGCAGTTCAGGAGAGGATGGAGTCTAAGCTCAGTGGCAACCAGCTTTACTCAGGAGAGTCCTGCAGATGGGACAGGACTCATGGAAAACCACCCTCTGACCACTTCCCTGATATGGCCATGCCATGAAAGGTGATGAAACTACATTAAATGAACATTTAATATGTTTATGAGCTCTGCATGATCCTACCTATATCATTTCCCTGAATCCCACTGTTCCCACGACTGAAGGGCTGCAGTTTCCTTAGATGTGAGGAAACTGAGATTGAGGGAGGCCAACATCTGACACCACACAGATAAGAGGTAAGGCTGGAAGGTGAAGCCAAGCCAAGCATGTACCCCTCTGCCCACCCTGCCCCTCAACTTACCAAGGGGCTTACCATGCTCCTGGAAGTCAGCCTTGAATAAAGACAAAGAGAAAGTAACTTCCCAACTGGAGCTTAGGGTCATTAGTTTATATTCATGACACTCCCGGGTTTGTTTACTGTTTTGTACTGGGTTTTTCTTTTTGAGATGATATATCACTGTGTTGCCTAAGCTGGTCTCAAATTCTTAGGCTCAAGCGATTCTCCTGCCTCAGCCCCTGAGTAGCCTGTCCCATGCCCAACTGACTTAACTCTTAAAATCAATTCTGAGTGTAACATTTGCTTATATGCTGGCCAAGCTTGTCTCTGTATTCATGAGTGTAAATTTTAAACTCTTCAGAAGAGAGAAGGACAAGCTGCTTTATTTGGAAACAACAACTCATAAGAGCTCTGAGCAGCACTCCCCCTCCTCCCTTCCCACTCCAGATGACAGCAGGGACAAAGGCTCTTTAAGACAGGATTGTCTCCGACCTCCCCTAGACCATTCTGCAGCCCATGCCAGGGCGGTCATATGAAATTTCTGCTTGCCTCATCTTCTTCCCTACCTCATTGACTCTTTGCTGCCTTGAAGGCTAAGTGAAGGCTCCACTGCTAACTCCCAGGCCTTCCATAATCTTGCCACACCCTCCTATTCCCCCGCAGTCCTCTAAGAACTCTCCACTTGGTGACAGCAGCATGGCTTTACCTCCACAGCCACAGCTAATAACTGGAAGACTATCAAAAGGTTAGGAAAATACAGGAGAATCAAAGTGCCGTCAGACTCCCCATTTCTCATGGGTTATCAGTCCTATTCATGGGTCATATCAGGGATGGTATTCACATCCGGCCCTGACTTGCACCACTCCCAGGACATGCCACCTCCAAGGCGGAAGAGTCACTCACACAAACCAACCATCATGGAAACTTTCCTTTTATAAAGTAAGATGAAAAGTCCAGAAGAGTACTGAGTACAGGACATGACATGAACCTGGGAAACTGCCATATAAAGACAGAATGAATAAGTAGGCACCCTCCACCGTGAGCACCACAAATCATGGACCTCCTAAAGTGAAGAGCTGAAAGAAGCTGTAAAGAACAGATAAAAACAACTTTTTTTGTCAGAACTTTGATTTTTTTCCTAATACCATACGGCATTACCCAGTTTCACAAGTGGAGAGGTACCTGCAGCTGGGTTTATATGGGTTATGATCCAAGCTCTACCACTGTAGCTATGTAAGACTGGGTCCTCAGTCTAACCTCTCTGAACCAAAATGTTCATCTATAATGCAGAAATCCTATCATGGGGCTACTGAAAACCACAAATGGGGTGCATGCAACGCAGGTGCATCTGGAGGTGCACACAGAACTGTCACTAGGACTAGGAGGGGTGCCATAACCCACCTTCCAGTGTGGATTTGGGGTAATAGAAAGTACCAGAGTGAGAAGGAAGAAGGCAAAGGTGGCAGGTGAGTAGTGGAGGCTTGGAAACTACAGCAAGTTCCCTGGTAACTAAGTAGCACCCTTCCTGCTACACTTGGTGACTGTGCAGTGCTGTCAAATCTGCAGAGAAAGTCCTCCTCATAAGGACAGCAACGATACTGGTCATGTAAGCCTGTAGTGCCCTAATATGAAAGGAAGGAGACGTTTGTGTTGGAACTCATTCAGCTTCTCCTTGTAGTCCAGGATCTGGGGATGACTTTCCTTGTCATTTTAGTGACCACACTGCATACAGAGCCTCTCCCTAACTTTCTTGGGAGGGACTTCTGATTCAATCTCTTGATTCACACACATGTCACCCCCAAGGGGGCACAGAAGAGGGATTTGGGAAGGTGAAGTAGGCCACTGAAGTCATTGTGACCCCAGCTTCCTGGTGGTACCAGTGAAAGGCCACCTCACTCCTCTCTTTCTGGTGTTCCAGCCCTGCCCAGATGGGCTTGTGCCTGACATCAGGGAAGCCTCACCTTCCGGAGATCTCCACCTTGGCAGTACTCCATGGCCAACAGGGGCAAGTCGTTGGGTGCCAAGTTCTGCATCCCTTCAGGGACATCCCGGGCGGCTACCACATTGGGGTGGCTTAACCTAGGAAGGAGGGAAACCAATGAGAGAACAACCCAAGATTCACCTCAAACCCATTCCCCACCTCTGTGTCTCAGCCACATTCACCTTCCAACAAAGGCCAGGAATATCCAGGGCCTCAGAAGTAAACAGAGGAAGGGGGGGCCAGGAACAGGAGGCTTACTTCAATGCCTGGGTCTGTAGGTATCCACCTATAGCCCTACTTTCAGCACTCTAAATTCAAACACCCTGAAAGTGCATCATGTGCCACTTAATTTTCTTTACAGTACCCCATTTTGTCCTCAGTGTACTGCAAAACTGCTTCTTATATCAGAGAAAACATGGAATTTCAACCTCACACCATCTGGGGTGGGGATGACTATTGCAGGCATGTGGGCGCACAATGGTGAGGCCTGCTTTTTCATCTTTTTAAGAGGTTAGCAGAGGGGGCGTCTGTTTGCTCCTTCTGGGTTGATTCTTACAGCGCTTACCTACAGGCCCTATTAGCTTGAAGGAAGCATCCACCTAGGAGGGACGGACCCTGCCTCCACACTGGAGGAATAAATATCCACAGTGGCAGACAGCAGTGGAGAGTCACATGCCACCATGGAATTGGAAGCATGGGGGAAAGATTTTTTCTGACAAAGGAAAATTTAACATGATGATTACTTATTTTATTTTTGAGATAGGGTCTTGCTATTTTGCCCAGGCTGGTCTCAAACTCCTGGGCTCTTGAGTAGCTGGGACTACAGGCACACACCGCATACCTGGCTGTAATGAATATTTTAAATTATTTAATATAACAAATAAAATTGACAACAAGGCTTGGTGTAATTTTTAAATGCTATTCCTCTAGAAGTCTCTGGATAGCCTGGCTTGGTTTCCTGATGGAGGAACAAGACTTATGATCCTCCTTTCTAGGCACAGCAGGTAGGGCCAGTGCTGTGGGGTTCATTTCAGCACCTCTTGGATCCATGGCAGCAATCACAGCTATGTGCCAGGCCCTCACCTCCTCATGATCTGGATCTCCAGGCACCAGCGATCTCGGTTCCGTGGGCTGAGCTCCTGCCGGCATTGCTTGATTGCAATCTGCTCACCTGTCTCCTGTGGGAAGGGCACAGTGCAGATCAGCAGATAGAACAACCAAACATGTGACCACATCTTGGTTCTTGGAGGCCCCCTAGGTCTCTCTGCCCCAGTCTGGCTGCTCTCTCCACCATCCCCATCTCTCAGCCTGCCTGTTCCTGCCTCATCCACCCATCTAGAGTCTAGATACTTCAAGCCTTGCTCCGTCCCCTCCTCCTCCATGAACTCCCAGAGGGATTTCTACTTCTCTCTCCCAGCTCTCGCTGCTGCTGTATCAGTTTAAACCATGACACTGCTGGCATTTGACCAGTGTTCCCAAATAGTTCAATCTAATACTTAATGCCACATTGAGTTTCTCTATTGTTTCATGTAATAGTTCTATTTAGAGAGACTACAAGAATACAATAATCAACAGAATTCAGGCCCACTCCAATTCCAATTGCCTTTTGTGACCTGGGCAAACCACTGACTGACTGATGCATACACTATCTTCATCTGTAAAACAGAAATAATGACACCCCATCACATATACCTTTCATTGTTGTCATGAATGAACACTAGCAGTGTCAGCCCTTAGCAGATGTTTGCTGACCCTATGAAGGGACAACCCATGTCAGAATGCAAGTACCTCTGCCTTTAAGATCCTTCAAAGCTTGGCTCCACCCTGCCTGCCCATCCACTCTCCCCTAGTTTGGGCATCTGACACTGAAGCTAGATGAGACCACAGTCCTGTGCCCTGTAACAGGTAATTCCTTCACTGTACCCACCTGCCAGCAACTTATTTTCTATAGGATAATAGAGGTTTGGCTTTTTTCCCCCTCTTGGTTTAATTATAGGTATGTCTGTATCCATGGGCTCAGGCCTCTACACTAGTAACCAGCACAATGTCCTCCACTGTGGTTTCTTGCACAGGAGAGAAACCTATTGGTCAATAGGTTTTGTTTGTGACTAAATAACTGAGTAGCTGGTTCCTCAGGTCAACTCATCTCTCTTCATTTGTGCACTGAGGAGACCAAGGGGGGTAAAGAACAGCAGTGCTTCAAGCTGCAGTCTGGAAGCTGACCCCATCACCAGTAAACAAGTTGACCTTTGCCAACACCCTGTGTGTTCTGTGCACTTGCAGAGCCTCCTAATTCAGCACATGGAGAAGGCACAGGGTGGGAGAGCAGATGCAACAATAAGATCTACAAAGCTGTATAAAAATTCTACAGATTTTACACCTTAAAATACATTTTTTTTCAGTACTGGGGCTTAATCTCAGGGCCTACACCTTGCTTGAGTCACTGCACCAGACCTTTTTTGTGATTGGTTTTTTGAGATAGGTAGGGTCTCCAGGCTGGCTTCAAACCAAGATCCTCCTGATCTCTGCCTCCTGAGTAGCTAGGATTACAGGTGTGAGACACCAGCACCTGGCTTAAAAAACACTGATATTTATACATAAGTTTTCTGTTTCCATGCATAAAAGACAAAGAATTCTCCAAGGACCTTCAAAATCAACTACAATCAATAGAGCTAATACTGTTGGTCCCTGTGAAGAATATCCCAGAAGCCCTGACAGATCATTTTCTATGAAAATGCATACTAAAAAAGATCCTAAATCTTGTACTATTCATATGGTATTGAGTGGGACTTAAAAAGACATGGAGAGGACTGTGGCGAAACCTCCCAGAGTGCATGCGGCTGTCCTTAAGACTGTCCAACTGCACTACAGCCTCACTTTTACCATACTGTCCAAAATCCCCACAGGACCAGGACCTAACCGGTAAGAAAGGGAAATGGAAATCTCTAAATACAACTAGAAGTTGTATAATAAGATCACTGACTATGGGGACTATGGGTCAATAAACTAATCCTAAAACTGACATTTAAGAATTAAAAGCTTCAGAAATAAGGAGGAAGAATCTTTTGACCATTTCTGCTCCAACACCAGACAACAGATAATACCACGCCTCTAAAACACTCTCAGAAGCTGCTTTTATCAAAGCCCAATATTTGCTTAAGCTCTCCAAAATGCAGTTACTTCACCTGCCTACGTCTTTGTAACATCTCTGCTGAGATATAATTCATGCAGCATACAGGAAATATACAGTGCAATGATTTTGGTGTCCTCAAGAGTTGTGCAACCAAAATCACATGTTCACCATCCCCCCAACATAACCCAATTTCCATAGCAGACACTCTTCATTTTCTACCCTTAACAACCAACAATCTAGGCCACAGATTTGCCTATTCCAGACATTTCATATAGGTGGAGTCATACAGAACATGGGCTTTTGAGACAGGTCTCTCTCATTTAGCACAATGCTTCCAAGGTTTATTCACACTGTAGCCACATGTCCACTTTTGTGGCCTCCTCACTGCAGCCTGTGGTAGCAGGTGTGGTGAATTAGGCTCTGCTCTGAGTATCATTCTCTTTTCTTTGTCTACTAGAAACCTGATATTTGGCCTGGATTCTGCAGCTCTCTCTGAAGAAGAGATGACTTTTAAAAAAAAGAAAAAAAGAAAACGTCAGCAGAGATATGTTCTTTTCTGGAGTCTCTAAAAGAGAGAATCCATTTCCTTACCTTTTGCAGCTTCTAGAGCCTGTCCATATTCCTTTGCAGCTTCTAGAACCTTCCCATATTCCTTTCCAGCTTCTAGAGCCTGCCCATATTCCTTGACTCCTTGCCTTTTATATCACTCTCAAATCCAGACGTGGCCAGTTATAGATTTCCTGTCTGGTATCACTCTGATATTGACTGTCCTGCCTCCCTTTTCTGTTTTTAGGACCCCTGAGATTACACTGGGCCCACCCAGATAATCCAGAACACCCTCCCTACCTGAGAACAACAATTAGCAACCTCAAATTCATCTTCAAATCTTCTTGCTCCTCTCTGCCATGCAAGCTCACACTTTCACAGTACAGAAAATTAGGACACAGATATCTTTGGTGGAGAGGACATTATTCTGTCTACACAAATAGTATGCTTCCTTCATAAAATTCAACAGATAATCAGACTCAAAGGTGGATTTAAGTGATTTAGGTAATCTGTCAGGCCATATACTGGATAACTCCAGTCTTTTACCCAACACAAACGTTGGACCTAACACACAGCTGTCACCTGGCCCAACCCAGAAGTCAGGAATAGATTTTTATATTGAAAGTTGACATTGAAGAGTAATGATTTGAGAATATTTTAAATGTACAAAATTCAAACTAAAAAGAAGGAACTAAGAAGTCTTGTAATAACTTTCTCTTTCTGGACAACTCACCTTAGCCCTACCGTTGAGGGGAAATCCTAACTTTGTATGCTGAGGAATGTCTGAGATAGAAACAGACACATGAATTTTTTCCTTGCACGTCTACTTCTAAGAAGTATTCAAAAACCTTCCAATTTTTCCATGAGTAATGTTTCATTTGAAACAGAAATCCAAACAGATTGACTTTGTTACTAAAAACACTCCTGCTCTAGAAAGCAAAATTCAATTGGGGGCAAAGAAACAGCTGATAAATACTGGTTTGAAAGCCTGGGGAGTTTGTTCATCAGCAGCCAGGAAACTGAAACAGCAGTGAGTGACGTTCATTTTGCCTGGAAGCCCCTAGATTGAGTTCAGGGTTCCATGGAAACCCAGGCTTAGCTGGAAGCACCTTGTTAGTAACCAACTCTCTAAGAAGTGGACTCCTTATGTGGGACAAAATTTTGGTTTGTAATCTTAATAAATAACGAAAGGGACCAACAGTGTTATCTATATTGAGTGGTTGACTTCGAAGGTCCTTAAGAGTTTGCAATTCTTTGCTTTTCATATGTGAAAACATAAACCTGTACATAAACCTGAGTGTATTATAAAGTATAAAGATGGGGAGGGAGACATATCCTCAGACTTCTGATGGTCATCAAAAGGTGTCTAGGCAGAAGCAAGCTGGAGGGCAGGTATACATGGGAAAGAGAAAGGGCTGCCAAGCTTCCACAGTAAGCCTCTTAAGAGCCAGGGGAACCTCACAAAAAGCCAAGAGTTCCACTTAGAACCTCAGCCCAGACAGCCGATACTTGTTATCATGGCAACCACCCAACTAGCCAGAGTGGCACAGCGGATAATCAGTAACAATCCCTTTACTCCTTTGCAACACTGTTCCCCAAGATAAATGTTTCAGAAAGAAGATGCAAAGCTGGACCCAGAGCCATACTGCATGGGTGGGACCCAGGCCAGAGAGTCAAACGATCCAGGGTCTGGCTGCAGCTTCATCCCTGACTCAATAGGTAATGGACACACCCTTTCCCTAGACACTGGCCATTCCACACTTAGGGACTACAACAAGTCCATCCTTCTTCTTGTGCAGACACCCAATGGCAGGACAGACTCCAATCTTGCCCACAGGAGCCAGTAGCATGGGCCCAGGAGACAAATGTGTAACTCCTTCCTTCACCAGGTAAATGTATGGTGTAGAGCTCATTTTGTAAGCCTGTGGATCTTTACCCATAGATGGAGATGGCAAGTCCTAACTCCTTCCACTGATGCCAATTTTTAAAATGAAATGTGGCATCTGATCCATAGTGAGTCTTGGATAAACTACAATGCTATCATCTCCTTTCTTTGGCCCAATGTAGATGTTGCTCCACCACTTGAATCATCTTCTTTTCCTGTCAGGCCATCTAAACTCTACCTCTTTTGAGATGGAACTAAAGTTCCCTCTCTTCCCTTGCCTAGGAGCATTCAAAAGAGATAATGTGGGCACAACACCTGGCACAGCTGGCACATGGCACTCCCACTTACATTTAGACTTACTCGATATATTTTAAGTATTCATTTTATTGCCTCAATTACAGTGCAAACACATTAAAAATAGGGTCACAGGGTCTTCTCTGTGTTCTCCTTCATCTCTGATGAAGCTTTGGCTCATGCCCAATAAACCTTTAGTGAACTGACTGATGAGATCAGAGTTTTAGGACTTCAAAACACACAGATAAGCCCAAGTGAGCTTAGTCTTATCCAGTAAAGGTTAGCACTACTTCATAAGAAGGAGAATTGATAATACCTTG